GCCAGCCTAACCTCCCTGTGGCCCGGGATCTCCAATATGTTTTTATTTGAAGACCTTAAGGTCCTCCGTGGGACATACCAGGAAAGGCGGTCCCATAGGTACGAGCGTCCTAGGCCATATAGGGCTTTAAAGGTTAAAACCAGCACCTTAAACCTGATCCTGTACTCCACCGGGAGCCAGTGCAGCTTGTATAGCACTGGGTGAATGTGATCCCGCGGCAAGGACCCCGTAAGGAGTCTCGCCGCAGCATTCTGCACCTGCTGGAGTTTCTGGGTCAGTCTCAAGGGCAGTCCCACGTAGAGTGAGTTACAATAATCAAGCTTGGAGGTGACCATCGCGTGGATCGCAGTGGCTAGGTCAGGGCGAGAGATGTAAGGAGCCAACTGCTTAGCTTGGCGGAGATGAAAAAATGCCCCCTTTGTTATAACTGCAACCTGCACCTCCATAGAAAGGGAGGTGTCAAAGATTACACCCAAACTCTTAACAGACGGCGCTGGCACTAATTGCGCCCCCGCAAGAGATGGGAGTTGGCCCCCCAATCCCATATTGTCCCAACCCAGCCAAAGGACCTCTGTCTTCGAAAGATTTAACTTCAACCGGCTCCCATGTAACCATCCAGCCACAGCTTTCAAAAGTGAGAATTACTCTAGGGCAAGCCCCTGTTTTGTGCAATTCCCCCTAATTAGAAGGCAGGAAGCTCACAGAACTGATTCATGCATCATCTCAAAGGGAGACACCTTGGAGGGCAGGTAATTCTGCTACACCTCTGTATCAGGAATGAGGCAAGCTCAGATCAGCGCATGCAAAGAAACAGGGGGCTGCCTTCTCTAAGGGCAGGTACTGTGAGCTCACAGAGCTTTTAATTACTTCATTAACTTATTTTATTTGTAATGACGCACTAGCAGTTCCTAGAAGTAGGCATGGATGAATCGGTTCATTTTGGTTTCTCAATTTTCCTGTCTTAAATTCAGTTCTCCATTTTTCTGCAGCACTTAAAAAAAAATGTCATGAAAATTCATCAGCAATTTATTGTATGTATTGTATTGTTGTATGCAGTTTGGGCTCCCATGCAGATTTTTGCAAGCTCTTCTCCCTAATATATTTTTTTCATGTTATTTTAACTAATGCATGCGTTTTAATGCACAATTCCCCCTAAGACAAATTTCCCCTGTGTACACATTGTTTGAAGAAGTGCATTGCAACATTCAGAGAAGCGTGAATTTCATAGGAAGTTGTGTTCCATTCACGTATTGATTTGATGAGTACAAAATAGGTAGTCTTTAAAATACAAACAAAATCAAATCCCTCCCCCATCTCCACCCAGGAGTACTTGGTTTGAAGCAAAGCCTGTTGAACTAACTCAAAACTGGTTTAAATCTGTAGTCTGAAGAGGCAGCTGGCAGCTACATTCACATTTACTCTTCCCCCCGCCCTTGTTCATTCATCTTACTCATTTGCAATTGCTTCCAAAATTTGCCCTGCTACATAACGAAGTACAAAAACAAGGTATTCTGTTCTCTGATCCCATGGGGTTGTTGCGTCTCCCTGAAAAACGGCATATGAATCAGAAATTTTTATTTTTAGGTTTTGCTAAAACAAGCAAACTCTCTCCTCTTGCTGCTGACGTTCCCCTTTCCTTCCTGCTAAATTTCTAGGGAAATACTGGGTGAGTACATACAAACAATGACATAGATTTCTAACTGTGAAAACTACAGTACTGCCTGTTTTCAAGGATAACTAATGAAGGATACTGCTCCAAAGGGAGAAGGTATGGGTTTATACCTAGACAGCATCTTAAAAAACAGAGACATCACATTGCCAACAAAGATCCGTATAGTTAAAGCCATGGTTTTCCCAGTAGTGATGTATGGAAGTGAGAGCTGGACCATAAAGAAGGCTGATCGCCGAAAAATCGATGCTTTTGAATTATGGTGCTGGAGGAGACTCTTGAGAGTCCCATGGACTGCAAGAAGATCCAACCTATCCATTCTTAAAGACATCAGCCCTGAGTGCTCACTGGAAGGACAGATCCTGAAGCTGAGGCTCCAATACTTTGGCCACCTCATGAGAAGAGAAGTCTCCCTGGAAAAGACCCTGATGTTGGGAAAGATGGAGGGCACAAGGAGAAGGGGACGACAGAGGACGAGATGGTTGGACAGTATTCTAGAAGCTACCAGCATGAGTTTGACCAAACTGCGGGAGGCAGTGGAACAGGAGTGCCTGGCGTGCTCTGGTCCAGGGGGTCACGAAGAGTCAGACACAACTAAATGACTAAACAACAACAACATGGGTTTATAGTGTGTTCATAGTTATAGCTGCAATTGAAATTTTAAATAATAATGACAAAACATAGATTTCCTTGCAACTGAATGTTTTCATATAAGGCTACAAAGATTCCTCAATTTAATAAAGTGCTGTCCTTGCATCAGTGGTGTAAAAAAAGGTGTGTGGGGGGGGATTCTTGAAAGAAATGTTAGGTCCCTCCAGCTGTTGTAGGACTACAACTCCCATAATCCTTAGCTAGCAGGACCAGCGGTCAGGGATGATGGGAGTTGTAGTACAACAACATCTGGAGACCCTAGTTTGAGAAACATTGTGTGCTTATTGCATTGGTGGAGGTGGACAACGAGGGAGAGTTGACAAAGTGATGCTGAAAAAAGACAGCATGCTAGATTGTCATTCATAACTTGGGATACAAATGGTGTTTGGGTCGGCTGTTTGTGTGCTTTTGTATTTTATGATTTGATTTCCCATGGAGAATGGGGTGGAAGGCAGGGCTTTGTGTCATATCTTGGATATGCCCGCAGGAACGGTGGGTGTCAAGTGTGAGAGAAGAACAGCATCCATTGTGTGCCGATACTGCCCTGCCGTTTTGCAGTCTTTGCCCCTGAGCAAGTCATTTCCAGAGCACTGAATTTTTATGGGGGTGAAATGGCTGTTGCTATGGGCTGCCTACAAATCCAGTGCCCCAGAAATGGCAATGAGAAATTGGCCAGGAGGGCAGAGACAGATTTCATATTACCATCTGCAGGGCAGCCATCCGATGAAGAACGACAGGGCCTGCTGAGGCTAGGAGTCACCAGCTGACGCCTCAGCCCCAGCCTGAGTACTAGGCCTTGCTGGCTCCAGTAGCAGTAGCAGCAGATGGGCAGAGTTGGACCCCTGGGCATGCCTCTGCCCTACAACACGTACAGTAGAGAGGCAGAACAGAAAATGGCTAAGTGGTCCATTTCTGCTTCTTTGCCAAAGCTGTCTCACCCACCTGCCCTCTGCTCCTACCCTGTGAGGAATGTTTTTCCTGAGTCATCACTTTTTCAGGAAGGAACAGGTGTGCCTCTCCCCCCCCCCCCTTTGCCAATTCCCCACTTCCTCCTCCTTTCCTGGGATACAAATATGAATAACTATTTTTAAAAAGCAAAGGGCATGTTAAAGATTCCACCCCCGCCTGGAGAAAACCGCTCCCTGTGAGATGACTGGTTTCCAAAAGCCCCTTCAGTCAGAGGAAGAAAGCCAGAAAACCGTAAAGTAGAAATGACAGAAGGAAGCCCTTAGATTTGTGTATCAAGTTAAAGGGACCCCTGACCATTAGGTCCAGTTGTGACCAATTCTGGGGTTGCGGCGCTCATCTCCCTTTATTGGCTGAGGGAGCCGCCGTACAGCTTCTGGGTCATGTGGCCAGCATGACTAAGCCGCCTCTGGCAAACCAGAGCAGCGCACGGAAACGCCATTTACCTTCCTGCCGGAGCGGTACCTATTTATCTACTTGCACTTTGACGTGCTTTCAAACTGCTAGGTGGGCAGGATCAGGGACCAAGCAACGGGAGCTCATCCCGTCACAGGGATTCAAACCGCCGACCTTCTGATCGGCAAGTCCTAGGCTCTGTGGTTTAACCCACGGTGCTACCCACGTCCCTCAGATTTGTGTATATATGTCTGTAAATTGGTATGTGCAGATTTGCACCTTATGAGCCTTTTTACTGGATTTGTAAGTACTTAGCAGTACCAGTGAAGGCAGGTATCTTCCTCATTTCTGAACTGGGAGACAGGATTCAGAAAGGGAAAACCACCTAGCATAGGAGCCAATTCAATGCCCCAATCTGGATTAAGGATGCTACAATTTTCTTGAAATTACAAGAAAGGAGATCCCGACTTAACATCAGGAAGAACTGTTGACAACAGTGGAACGGTTTCTCTCAGGTGGTTGTGGCCTCTCCTTCCTTTTGCTGACATTCCTGCATTGCACGGGGTTGGACTAGATGACCCTCAGGGTCTCTTTCAACTCTACCCTGTACTGTTTTTAACACTTGATTGGGAGCCGCCCAGAGTGTCTGGGGAGACTCAGCCAGATGGGTGGGGTGTAAATAATAAATTATTATTATTATTATATTTCTATGGTTCTATTATTTTAAAGAAAAAGAGGTCTCCTTTGGTCCTGAGACCTCCGCACTGTGCTATTTAAGAGTTGTTGGGAGAATGAAACCCTTGTGTTCTGTTGCTTGCAAACTGAGCAAGGAGGAAAGGGGGGGGGAGGAGTGCTCAAGAGGAGAAAATGGGGAAGGAGGGTGCAGAGGAGGATGAGTTATGGGGTTACAGGGTGCGCTGGGGAAAGGGATCTAAAAAGGGGGTGCAGAGAGAAAAGGGGGCAAGGCAAACGAGGGGCTGCAGAAAGTGTGTGTGGTGGGGGGAATAAATGATAGTAGGATGTGTTGTACCTTGCTGTGGTGCACCTCCGGGGTGAAACTAAGAAAAAGCGAATTGGGTGTGAAGAGAGGTCGGGAAGCACCTGTGGCGAGGCCGAGAAAGGCGAGGAGGGGATTAACCGAGACCCTGGCAGGGGAAAAAGGGAAACGCTCAAATGGCAACAGAAATGCAGCGAGGCGCCTCCGTCCGAGTTCCTGAAATGCAAAGGCAGCCCTCGGCATGTATATCATTGCATGTAAAAATCTCTCCCTGCTCCGGGCAGCGGGATGTTTGGGGAGGGGGGAGGGAGGCGGGCTGCGAGAGGAGGGGCGATTTTGCGGCAGGAAGAGGAGCTGCCGCTGCTCCCTGCAGCCGGGAAATCCTCCTTCGCTTGCACAAAATACACACACCCTCGGCTTTGCCCGGGCGGCGATCCTTGCTCAGCCGGTGGAGAAGGGAGGTCCCCCTTTGGCACGTTAGGAAGGCTTGGTTTGATGGCGCTGCAGCCGGGAGTCTGGGAGGTAAGAGTTTCCTTCCTCGCCGCCGCCGCCATCCTCCTCCTCGCCTCTTCCATTCATTGCTGGTTTGCAGCCCCAGCAGTTGCGGGGTCCGGGCTGCGGCGCCGCAAAAGGGGGACACGGAATTTCCTCCTCGCCGCTGCTCCCCAAAGTGACATTTGCCCATTGATTCGCAAGCAGGTAGGCGCGCGCGCTTCCTTTTGCGCCTTTTGCGCTGCGGGAGAGCTTGCAGCGGGAGGCGCAGGGCAAAACTTTCCCCTGCAGCCTGGTTTGTGTGTTGTGTGTGTGTGATCGGCCTCGGGGGGGCTCCCATCCGAGGCCGAGAGAGCTCATGGGAAGCGGGGACTCGCTTCGCCCAGCAGAAAAGGCCATGCGCCCCTCGCTTCCTTGCGCCTAGACGCGCCGCTTTCCTGGAAGAGTCTCGCAGGACTTCGAGGTTTTCTCTCCGCGCATTTTGCGTGGGTGTTTTGCTCCGCGACGCTTCTACACACGTGTTGCGTGTTCCCCACCCCCGCAGCTGTTTCACTCTCTTCCGAGGTTCACGTGGCGAGCGCCGAACAACAGTAAGCAAGGTAGCCTTTTGTTAAAGGCTTCCAGGGGGTTGCATTGAACTGAATGCAGTGCGCTGCGTTTCGTGAAACGTGCCCGGCAGAGCAGATGGTTGGCCGATGGAAGTCGCCGGGCATTTCTTGCCAGTAAGTTCCCTGCAACGTTACAAGGTTGGCGTGGTTCGGCTCTTCCAGGGGCGAGGTTATCCTTGGGTGAGCGGGGCAGACGTATTTCCTCCGAAGCACATGGCTTGCTAAAAAGCAAAGGGGAAAAAAGCTCTAGTAGCGCTGCCCAGACGTCTGACTGGACCTTGATCTTTCCAATATCCTGTGCTTTAAAAACCAGATTCCTCATAAGCTGTATAAAAGACGAGAGAGGGTTTTACGGAAAAGCTGTGAAAGTCCAGACTGTAATTAGATACGGTGCAATAACCGTATTCCACGTTTCTTTCAACTTGGCAGTTGTTCCTGATCCTTTCCCATCTGCTTGTTGCAGGATTGCAGAATATACAAGTGTTAGTTGGTTTCTTTCCCTTGGTGTTTTTAGACTGCAACCCGACTCGCAGTGCCCTGGAAGTCCCATTGAACTCAGTGGGTTTTATTTCTGGGTGTACATGTTACTGGATCACAGTTCCCTTTTAAAAGTTACCAATTTCCTTGACTCTTCAAATAGTGCTGCTTGTCAGCCGAACATTTTACAACTGTGAGTACAAACATTGTTAGTGTTTATTAATTACCAAAGAACCATATTATTAATGTTTTGTCAGGCCTTTACTAAGTGTGTGCCCCAGAAAGGCAAATAGAGCCCACCATGCGTGGATTTCCTGTAGGGGCATGACACACCTGTTATTGCTACCTGTCTGAGACTGCAATAAGGGGGAGGAGGGTCAAATATTTGACAGGCCACAGGGCATGCCTCGCGGGCTGCATTTAGGCTGGGGAATCAAGCTGCAAATCTGGTGTTACTGATCTTATACAGAAGACTCAGCTATACAGCTGCAAATGAAACGTTTTAAGTGTGTTGTAAAGTGCGTTATACATATGTGACACTAGATGGCGGTGGTGAGCTATGAGAAATTCAATCTATTTTTTTTCAAATCTTTTTTTTTTTAAAGCATTTTCACAACTTTTTTTATATGTGTGTAGATTCCACCAGAGTGTTTTGAAGTCAGTGCAGTGATCCCAGGGAATATCCTCCCCTTCCCCAGCCCGTGATTGTGATCAGTGGGCATGATCCAACTGAAGCTTAAGTACACTTGGATTCTATTGATTCCATATCATAGAATCATAGGGTTGGAAAGAACCCTAAACATCATCTCGTCCAACCCCTTGCAATGCAGGAATATACAGCTGTCCCAAATGGGGTTTGAACCTGCAACCTTGGCGTTATAAGCACCATGCTCTTACCAACTGAGCTAAAGATGCCGGAAGATATGGAGAGTTCAGCAGGTTCTTAAATCCCCCATGGATATTTGCTTAAGATGGATTTTACCCCAATGTGTTAGGATTCAGATGATACCTGGATAATTGACTGCAGCTTGCTTCTGGACTTTAGACGGCAATCCTCACTGAACACAGGGGGACTTATTTCTGGATAAACCATACAGAGAACTGCGCTGCTAATTTCCTACATTGTGGAACTGGTCCAAATAAAGTTGGTCCTGCTTCAGCCTCTTTGAAATCAGTGGGACTTAGTTGATTTCAGTGGGACATAATTGCAGTTATTACTTGCAGTGATAAATACTAATTTAAATGTTTCTGCAGGCAGAGGGCCTTCTCAGTAGTGGCACCCGCCCTGTGGAATGCCCCCCCACCAGATGTCAAAGAGAAAAACAACTACCAGACTTCTAGAAGACTTCTGAAGGCAACCCTGTTCAGGGAAGCTTTTAATGTTTAATAGACTATTGTATTTTAATATTTTGTTGGAAGCCGCCCAGAGTGGCTGGGGAAACCCAGGCAGATGGGCAGGGTATAAATAAATAAATTAATAATAATAATAATAATTGCTGAAAATATAAAACATGGGATCACTAATTGTAAATTATTTACAGTGACAAAAATGCATCCAACTTGACTGACATTCCTTGAAGGTGTATTCTGGTAACATACCTGGAAATATAATGTGTTGGCTTGATATTCATAGGCAGAACTCTTAGGATTTATGTACCGTATTTTTCACCCCATAGGGCGCACCTAGTTTTTTTTTGGGGGGGGATAAAGAAAAAAAAATTATTTCCCCCCCAGGCGCGGGGCTGGGGCGGGTGAAGCCCGAGCTTCCCCTGACCCCAGCCCCCAGAACAGGCAGCTCTCCACAAGCCTTGGGAGACCGGCGCAACTTCCTGCCAGGCTCCCACGGCTTGCGGATATCTGCCTGAAGCCCAAACCAGGTCGGGGAACAGCGGGATGACGGCGCTCCGCCTCCCCGCTGTCCCCCGAGCTTGTGGGGCTGGTGGCAGGGAGAAGCATGCTTCTCCCCGCCGCAAGCACCCAAACCAGGTCTGGGGCAACGTGCCCCATGCTTCGAGATGCAGGTTGCTATCTGGAAGCCTAAGGAGCCTGACGGGAACTCCCGCGTCTGAAGCCTGGAGAGCGAGAGGGGTCGGTGCGCACCGACCCCTCTTGCTCTCCAGGCTTCAGCGAAAGCCTGCATTTGCCCCATAGGACGCACACACATTTCCCCTTCTTTTTCGGAGGGGAAAAAGTGCGTCCTATAGGGCGAAAAATATGGTAGCTGTTGTTGCTTCATACAATGTCTTCCATTGTATGCAGTGGTAGAACCGTGTGACTTTTCTCACCATGGGCAAGAAAACTTGAGGAGCATCCTTTAGGAAGTTTTCCTGTACTGGGCCCATTGAAATCTATGGAGTTGCACAAGAGTAACCACGAGCATCTGTGCAGCTCTCATTGATTTCAATGGGTCTTGTTCAAAAAAACTTCTGGGGGAATTGTGCTCACACTAATATAGTGCCAAACCTGTGGTATTGACTGATCATTTACTTTGCAAAACTTTATTTGTTTTCATGCCAACTTTTCAAAATTTGAATAATAGCTATTAATAAATATATGTTTTGTAGGTGGCTTAGAATAGATTCTCAGTTTGGAGGATTTCTGCCGGAGGAAAGCTTTAATGAAACTGAAGAAACAAAAATGTAACTTGCATCTCCCTTGCATATTACCCATTGTATGAGCCATATTTTAAAGCTCAGCATAAATTTACATTTAAAGCATGGATTTGATTATATCCCCAGCTCCAAAATAGCCTGATTATGCAGATTTGGCACAAAGATGATACCAGTTAAAATGTAAGTCGGCCAGGAAAAGTTACATTAACACTGATAGGGGTAGGGAGCAATCAGTATCTGAGCTGTCAGTATAGAAAATCAGTGTATATATTTTTACTGGGCCTGCAAGAGTGATTCATCGCTGATGGAATTAGGAATGATACGAAAAGTGAAAATTGTAATGAAATGGCACTTTGAACAGGGTGGCTGCTCCAGAAGTGATACAATAGTGAATGTTGCATAGAAGGCTGAAGTGCTGAGTAGTTATTTACCGCCATAGTTAATTGGAACCACCCATGTTAAACCACAGAGCCTAGGACTTGCCGATCAGAAGGTCAGCGGTTCGAATCCCCGCGATGGGGTGAGCTCCTGTTGCTCAGTCCCTGCTCCTGCCAACCTAGCAGTTCAAAAGCACGTCAAAGTGCAAGTAGATAAATAGGTACTGCTCTGGCGGGAAGGTAAACGGCGTTTGCATCCGCTGCTCTGGTTTGCCAGAAGCGGCTTGGTCATGCTAGCCACATGACCTGGAAGCTGTACGCCGGCTCCCTCAGCCAGTAAAGCGAGATGAGCGCCGCAACCCCAGAGTCGGCCACAACTGGACCTAATGGTCAGGGGTCCCTTTACCTTTATGTAGAAAGGCGCTGTATATCTGAGCGTTATAATTTGAGGATGTTTAGAGGATTCCCTGCTTATGAGTTCCTGGAGCTGGGTTGGATAGCCAGTGGGCAGTGTTAGAAACTCAGATATATAAGCTGGACACCAAATGGCTCCTTAAATATGAATGGTCCATGCCACCATTAAGAAAAAGAGGTAGGTACAGTATAGACCAATATATGTGGGCTTTCCCAAGGTTACAGTCACCAAAATGAAATATATAGTTGTCATTTTTCGGCAAGACAGCTCCAATGCCTTATTTTTCAAATAATGGACTGGCTGATTGCTTATCTGTTAAACATCTGACTTGTTCAGACGACAACCTTGAGCTAGGTTACGAACTTGGAGAACTTAAAGAAGAAAAGTCACTTTATCCAGGGAAAGCCCACATCTATATTAGCCTATACTGTATCTACTTCTTTTTCTTAATGGTGGCATGGACCATTCGTATCATAGGAATATTTTTCACAGCTGTGAGCAGTGCAGTGGGGTGGGGTAAGTGAAGACAAGCTACAACAGTTAACTATAATGTTGTTCACTGCTCCTCCTCAGGCTGCACAGAAAAGGCATTTTGGTTCCTGAAATTCATTGTGATTGTGCAAATAAAATATAATAATAATAATAATAATAATAATAATAATAATTTATTTATTTATACCCCGCCCTCCCCAGCCAAGACCGGGCTCAGGGAGGCTAACAACCAATAATAAAAACAAGTTGATTAAAATACAATTTAAAAAAGATTAAACTACAACATTAAAACATTAGGATGCAGCCTCTTCACAGGAGGAGAAAGGAAAAATAAAGAGGGGGAGGGAATCAAACTGATTCTAAGCCAAAGGCCTATATATATATATATATATATATATATATATCAGATAGAATTCTACAGGAAGGAGTATTCGTGTGTGAAAACGGTCAAGATCCAGTGATTCCCCAAGCATGCACCTCCAGATGTCAGGTGCCATCATAATGCCCAGGCATTTTTAACTTGCTCACGAGTTGCCGATAGTCAGGGGCAAAATGCGCCTGGCTCATTTCGAACACTGCCTGTGGCCCTCCAGATGTTGATGGACTACAACTTCCACCATCCCTGACCATTGGTTATGGCCGATGGGTGTTGGAGTCCAACAACATCTGGAGGCCCATGTTTTAGCCACTCCAGCTTAGAAGCATCTGGCTGAGTACTGCTAGAAACCAGATTTCGTATGTTGGGGAGCTCCACAGGTTGGCGTCAAAGTTATTTGTGCTTTAATCCCATGGAAAGCGATAGAACAAATGAGTCTAGTTGAGGTGTGAGGGATCTGCGGTCTGACTTCAGGTAGCCCTTGGAATAATCTGCATCCTAAATTGGTAATCTGCGGCCTAACTTCATGTAGCCCTTGGACTAATTTCAAGCCAAGGAGCCAGCAGGCTAGTATTACAGTTTGCAGAAGGAGGTTGAAGCATAGCTGTCAACTTACAGATTTGAAAATAAGGGACCAGCAGCCTCGCAAATAAGGGATCAGCAGCCAAAATAAGGGATTTTCCTTAGCTTATGAGTTCCATCGGCCCTTCCCCACCCGAGAGGGAGGGAGAGAGACTCTCACCCACGCCACCCATGAGCCCGGCATGAGGTGGTTGCGGCACCACTGTGGCCACTGAAGTGCCGCCCTTCTGTGTCCCTCCCCATCCCCTCCTCTTCCTCCTCCCTCAGGCCACCGCTGCCGCCTCCGGCTTCCCCTGGCAGCGCAGCGGAAGTCTCACAAGAGAGGGGCTGCCTGCCTGTCCGCCGCCACCCGTCTTTCACAACGCGCCCCTGAGGGGGAAAAGGGAGAGAAGGAGACGCGGCAGCTCGTGCACACGCTCTCTCTCACTCTCTTGCGGAGGAGGACCCCGAGCCGCTGCTTCCCTCCCGAGCTGGGCGAGCATGAAACCCGGGAAATTTAAGGGACATCATCGATCCAGGACAGCAGAGGGACGCGGTGCTGTGATAAGGGAGTTTCCCGCCAAATAAGGGACAGTTGACAGCTATGGGTCGAAGGCGAGAGTACAGGCCTTTCTTGAGGCTATCCACTTTGTTAATCTCTCAGCTTAGTCTCTTGCTTCACTTAGGTGCCACCTCGCTCATTAACTCACTGCTTGGCTTTAGGCAAAGCCACCGTCGTGTATTCCTGTCACGCAGAGTATAACAGTACTGGCAAGATCCTACACAGTGGTTATCAATACTAGGGTAATGTATGCAGAGCACTATGCAAACTTAGCAAAAGCTGCTTCTTAACGCTGTTCTTATTGATTACATTTCTATCCCACATTTCCTCAAAGGAGTTCAAGGTACCCAACCACCTCCTTTATCCTCAACAAGGACCCAGTGAGGGATATCAGGCTGAGAGAGTGGCTAATGCAAGAGGTGGCATTCGGTGTAAGTTTTATTCAGAACAGACCTGTTGAAACAAATGAACCTAACTGAGTGACGTTCATTAATTTCAGTGGATGCGCTCTGAGTAAAACTTAGTTGCATGCCAGCCAGAGTTTCCCAGTGACCTTCAGGAAGGTGTGGAGATTCAAACCCAGGTTTCCAAAGTCTTAATCCAGTGGTTAAAATAAGAATAACAGAATAATAGAATCGTGGAGTTAGAAAGGACCCTGAGGAGCATCTCGTCCAACCCCCTGCAATAATAATAATAATAATAATAATAATAATAATAATAATAATAATAATTTATTTGTTTATTTATTTATTTATATCCCGCCCTCCCCAGCCAAAGCCTGGCTCAGAGCAGCTAACAACAATAAAAGTAACACAGTTTACATAAAATCACAATCAATTAATTGAAATATGCAGGAATATGCAGCAGTCCCATGTGGGGATTGAACCTGCAACCTTGGCGTTAATCAACACCACACTCTAACCAACTGAGCTATCCAGGTTCTGAAAGTTTTTTCTCTAGCCCACACTTTCAGAATAAAAAATTTTGCTCTCAGCACGCTGGGTTTTTTTTAATTTTTTATTGATAAGAAATACATTCGAAAACAAAAAGAAACAACTTCTGACAAATTGAATACATTTGACTGGATATACAGCATTCATGGTCCGAGTAGCAATAAATCTGGCTTAGTAACTTGCTATTCAGCTGGTCACCTGTGGTGAGTAACAATTGCCCCCAGGCAAATAGGCAGGGAAGCTTTACAAAAGTTGGTTCCTTTTTCTGTTTGAGGCACAAATGACTAACATGGAGTGGGTGTGAGTAGGCTGGTAACAACTTTCGCTGGCATGTCATTTTGAGGATTTATTTCCAAGGCTGCAGTAAATCCTGTATTAAATGAATTTTTTTAACTGTCGGACGCGATAGAGCTAGAGAAATAGGATTAGAAGGGGAATTTTTCCTTAAATGGGTGTGTTTCTCGTGGGGTCCTTGCAAAGTCAGCTGCCTGTTTCCATTGTTGTAGAAGTGGACAATATAGAAGTTATGGCAAAGACAGCTGATGTTCAAAACTTGATGGGTTGATAACCATCATTTGTTTACATTCTGTTTTGATCTTCCATTTGTTAACTTGCTGTAATTTCAGATACACTCACTTTAATGATATTGTCTTACAAGGTTGTCTTACAGCGTATGCAGTTAACTAACACTCAGGAGTTGCTGTGTCTTCTTCCCCCAGCTTCCATTTGCCTTCATAATATAATACGTACACACGTCATTTGTATCAAACACTGATGTAGTCATTGGTTTTATCCTTGACCCATGCTTCCACTCATACATTTGCACCATTTATTCATCACGTTTAACACACACGCAGAGCAATCTGTTTTTTAAAAGTTGAAAAACCGTTGTGTTGTTGGCATCTGTCTGTCAGGGAGACAATGAAAGGGCACGCCTTCAGGGGTAGAGTCAAACCGTTGGAGAGTTATAGCGCCTGCTATGACTGTAGAGAGGGACGCAGGTGGCGCAGTGGGTTAAACCACAGAGCCTAGGACTTGCTGATCAGAAGGTTGACGGTTTGAATCCCTGCGACGGGGTGAGCTGCCATTGCTCGGTCCCTGCTCCTGCCAATCTAGCAGTTCAAAAGCACGTCAAAGTGCAAGTAGATAAATAGGTACCGCTCCAGTGGGAAGGTAAACGGCGTTTCCGTGCACTGCTCTGGTTTGCCAGAAGCGGCTTAGTCATGCTGGCCACATGACCCGGAAGCTGTACGCCGGCTCCCTCGGCCAATAAAGCGAGATGAGCGCCGCAACCCCAGAGTCGGTCACGACTGGACCTAATGGTCAGGGGTCCCTTTACCTTTATGACTGTAGAGACCAGGGGTCAGCAAACTGTTTCAGCCATGGGCCGGTCCACTGGCCCTCAGATCATGTGGTGGGCTGGACTATATTTTGAAAAGAAAAAAATGAACGAATTCCTGTGCCCCACAAATATTTTAAATAACCCAAACCCAAACCCAAATATTTTAAATAACAGCACACATTTTACTCATGTTAAAACACCAGGCAGGCCCCACAAATAACCCAGAGATGCATTTTAAATAAAAGGACACATTCTACTCATGTAAAAAAAAGCTGATTCCTGGACCATCTGCGGGCCAGATTGAGAAGGTGATTGGGCCGCAGGCTGCCTACCCCTGGTAGAGACCAGTACAGGAGAGACATGTTTCATTGTAGCTGGGGCAGATGAAGGCATCCGGTTTTGCTGCTAAAGGTGAACTATGGTGCTTCTCTCTGTGGTCTTCCCAGGGACCATTCCTCCTCTGGTCATGGCTGTGGATAATAATAATAATAATAATAATTTATTTATTATTTATACCCCGCCCATCTGGCTGGGTTTCCCCAGCCACTCTAGGCGGCTCCCAATCAAGTGTTAAAAACAGTACAGCATTAAATATTAAAAAATTCCCTGAACAGGGCTGCCTTCAGATGTCTTTTAAAGATAGGATAGCTGCTTATTTCCTTCACATCTGAAGGGAGGGTGTTCCACAGGGTGGGTGCCACTAGCGAGAAGGCCCTCTGCCTGGTTCCCTGTAACGTCACTTCTCGCAATGAGGGGACTGCCAGAAGGCCCTTGGCGCTGGATCTCAGTGTCGGGCTGAACAATAGGGGTGGAGACGCTCCTTCAGGTCTACTGGACCGAGGCCATTTAGGGCTTTAAAGGTCAGCACCAACACTTTGAATTGTGCTTGGAAATGTACTGGGAGCCAATGCAGATCTCTCAGGACCAGTGTTAGGTGGTCCCAGCGGCCACTCCCAGCCACCAGTCTAGCTGCCGCATTCTGGATTAATTGCAGTTCCCGGGTCACCTTCAAAGGTTGCCCCACGTAGAGCACACTGCAATAGTCCACGACCTGAATGTCATGTCTCCAAGCACCACAATTGTCTGCAATGGATTCCCATAGGGCTGGGTTAATGTAATATTGCCAGCCTTCATGTCACATTTCATGTCCTTGGGGATCCCGCCATCCTCCTTTCTGTGTACATGACCAAGGCAGCATAGATGTTGCTGAGACACAAGTGTCTGGGAATGTGGGCCTGGAAGAGCACATCTTTGAGATTTGGTTTTCCATGACGTCACAAGTTCCAGCCAATTAGTGCTGTGCACATCGAGCTTTTCCTTTGGTCACATGGAACCAGTTTTTTTCTGTGCTCGGTTACCTTGATGAGATTTCTTCCCATAGGCATCTTGTTGGCCATTGTGGTGCTACACTCGATGAGCCTTTCAACTGATCCAGCGGTACTCATACAGTATGTTATTTTCTTAATATAGAAGGAAATATTGTGTATCCCGTAAGGCAAAGACTTGGGAAGGACTTCAGCTCCCTAGTTGGCAACTAATTATGCAGTATTATTAGAAGATGGGCCTACGTTTTAAAACTATTTCCAAATAGATATTGGAGACGTCAAGCTTCAGGCCACTTAACTTCAGAATAATTGTACTAATGAGTGGAACTAATTCCAAATAGATAATTATCTGTCTGCCTGTCTCTCCATCCTTTAGTTGTCTTGTGTCGTTTGATTGCTCAGTTGAAACAGATGTTAATTACCCTTTCTTTTCTTTCTTGCCCCTTCTCTTTCTTTGTGCATTCAGTAACAATACATTTTTCAATTAATCATCATCAGATTTTTTGATTAGCAGTGTGGCTAGTTTTTAAAATGAGGGCAATTAACATTTTCCATTATAATCCTTTTGTCGTCTTCTTTCTGATCCAATTACTAGAATGAAAAGAGAATTTTGATCCTTCTAGGGGCAGCGGCATTCAGGGATCTAAAACAATTAACTGCTGTACCGTGAACTAAAAGCCATAATTTGGGGGAGGGGTTCTGGAAAAAGCAAACATGGAACATTTTTAGAGCTCCTCATAAAATAATCGCAACCAAATGACTGTACCTCCCATTTGCTGGATTGCAGGTTTTTCTTTCTTAGTTGTGACTGAAACACACCCAACATATGGTAAATTGGATAATCAGCTTAAATAAAAACAAGCATTTTCCACACAGTGTACGGTAAATAAAGCAATGATTTCTTGAATTGAGAATGATGGATAGGAAGAAAGAAAGAAAGAAGCAGGAAAAATAGCCATACAACACACACATCCTTGCTACCTGTCCCCCTTAACAAAAAGAAGAAAGAAACCACTTTTAAAAACCAAATACACCTTTTATATTGATCATCAATGGCAACAGGGAGCTGGACCTTTCCACCGAGTTTTCCATGAATTTTACTATTTGTGTGGGTAGATTCACATAGACTATGAATGACCATAATCTATTTTGGAGAGCAATGGGCAACTGGGAACACTTTGTGTATCAGTTATTTGCCACACAGGGAACTTTGGCACACTTCCCGCACTGGTTTGACAAAATAGGTGATCCTTTTGGTTTCATCGCTGCTGTTCCTATTACTCTAATCATAATGCCAGAGTCTTTGTGAACCTTATGTAAAGTAGGAAATACATGCACAAAGGTCCAAGTAGGAGCTACGGCAGGGACACAGACATGGCAAAGTGTCGTCCATTTTGATCCAACATGGCTGCTCTACTGTCTGCGTAAAACATACCATAACTGCTGGGTGTGATGGAGGTTTTGCAGGCCTAGCAGGGCTCACATACCCTCCAATATTCCTCCGATGAAAATAGGGACATCTTGTTATGTACTGAAGTTCTCACCCTGGGCCAGCAGGGGGGGATACTGTAGATAGTTTTCACTCAGGTCCACATATGCAAATAAGGGATTGAAAGTAACGTTCAGTGATTGGATAGTTACAGAAAATGGTTACTGTTGCATTCTAGTGGAGCTCTATATAAGCAGGCTGGCTGAACCCTTCAGTTCAGTTCAGTTCTGGCCTGTGAATAAACAAGAGCTGTTTGAAGAATCGCTGTGTTGTCTGATATGTTCACCCACAACTTAACACATCCAGTGCTATTTTTGTAGAAAAAGATGCGCAGAAACACACCATGAACACCTCTCTTGTTCTCTTAGAATGGCAACGGTACCCACCTGAGAGGTGCAGGGACTGAGTTCCAGTGAGTTCTGGCTGGAAAAAATGCCCTGGAGATGGCCTATTCCATTACCCTCCAACATTTCTCCAATGAAAATAGGGACGTCCTAAGGGAAAACGGGACATTCCGGGATCAAATCAGAAACCAGGAAAGCTTCTGCAATCCAGGACTGTTCTTGGAAAATAGGGACATTTGAAGGGCCTGGGTTGAGATTAACACACAGTGTGTCTTTGTGAGCAGTCATAGTGCTCATTAGTGATATATCTGGTTACTGCTCAATGTTTTTTAAGCCATAGAGAAATTGGCTTCTTTTTGTGGCAGACAGTGATACGTATGTTTGTCAAGTTCCTGTTTGATTCATGCTGAAACTATTTCTTCCGCTGCCCAACCCATTCCTATGTGCTCTTTACTTTTCCACTATATTTGCAAAGGCGGTGTGACCAGGTCATAGAATGAATCTCATACCCCAGATATATGAAACCTATCTCCAGATGGACAATAGGCATTGTATATTTCTAGATACTTATTGTTAAGGTCATAGCTGTGGAATGTGTAAAAAAAAACCCCAGCCTGAACACCTTGAACACAGTCCAGAAAAAGTCAAGCGCTTGGAGGTCCCAGTGATCTCAGTGGAGAAGCAAAACACCTGTTTTAGTTTTCCTTGTTTTTTGGGAATATTCCCTAAGGGTCTTCCAGCTTGAGATTTGTCGTTGGGAGAGGTAAGAAGCAAAGAAGATGCAACAGGCATGAAAACTGAGGGAACTGCTATTCAGGGCCAGCTCTGCTGTTAGGCAGAGTGAGGTGGCCACTTCAGGCAGAAGATGCTGAGGGGCAGAGAATGGACAAAGCTGTAAGTGCCGTGCAGTCTGCCCTGTATCCCCTAAGCTCACCTGCTGCCCTCAAGTGCACTCTCTGCCCCATCACCGGTGTTGTAGTCAGAGTCACTTGCTAGTCTGGTTGGCTTTTGTACGTAGAACATGATATGTACTACCTTGCTTTTTGATTCAGGTAGCAACATGTCTTGGGGCAGCCCCGACTATGTGTTACAAGAAAAAGGAGCCATATGTTATGTAAATTCTCTCCTTAGTATCTATAATTTCTTACCTAATTACAGCCTGTGATTGGGGGAGGGGGTGGGACACCTCAACAAAACGCTGCCATTTTTAGTGGCAGCCTTATGTTCTCTGCAATGTGTACTTTTTTGGCCTAAGGTTAGGCCAAAGGCTTCATAGGGAAAGTGGATTTCCCATGCATGCAGAGCTCTGGGTGCCGTTCCTTGGGTTTCCTTTGAGAATTTTGAGTAATGGGTTTCCCATTATGAATAAAGGACATACTCCTGTATGGTAGAGTGTGATGGAATGTGGGAAACTGTTTAGACCCATACACATAGTTAGGAATGCCAGTTTAGGTTTAGGTTCCATGCAGCTGATGGACTGTGGTCCACGAAAGCTTATGCCGAGGACTTGTTAGTCTTTAAGGTGCCGACGACCCTTTGCTGTGTGTGCTTAATGGTTCTCCCACTGAACTCAATAGGACTTAAAAGTGATTAACGTGAATGGATTGTGCCACGTAAAATATGTGTTGTGAAAAAGCAATGTAAGCAAACAACCATTCTAGTTAAGGCATAATGCAGTTTTTCATGTCATAGGCTGAGACACCTGTGCAGGTATCTGCGTGGGGGACTGTGGGGCAGGGCTTATTACTGGAATTTAGTGAACTATCTGACACTGTATCAAGAGAAGAAGCAGTTAAGAGTCCTACAGAATTGTAGATTTGGAAGGGACTACAGGGATCATCAAGTCCAACCCCTTCAGTTCAGGAATCTTTCACCCAACATGGGGCTCGAACCCTTGCCCCTGAGATTAAGAGTCTCATGCTCTACCAACTGAGCTATCTGTGTGGGAACTCTGCAAGCAGCAGCAAAAAGAAGGAATTGCTCAGTTCCTGTTTTAGGGCCAGAGCAGCCAGGTGAGTCCTGTTGCCAGGCAAGGGAGGGTGTGTGACAATACCCAACGGGGAAGCATTCATGCTACAGTTATTTTTAATATCTGCACATTGTAAGATGAGCCCTACTGAAACAGACCAAAAGCCCTTCTAGTCCAGCTTCCTGTTTTCACAGTGGCCAGCCAGATCCACGGACCTGTGTGTAACTGCAGGATGTATGGAAATATCCCCATATCCTCAGGGCATCTCCACACTTCATCTGTGGGTGCTGTCATTTCCTCAATCCCATATAGTGTTGATGACAGCCGCTCAGGCATCTTTGAACCTTCACGTTGGGGAGGATGCCTGGCATATTCAAATAGGCACTTGCAAACTCTCCTCTGTTGCTTATGGGGCTTTCTTTGAGGGGGTGGGGCACCCCAGAAAGTAGAATTAAGTTTGTGAAGGTGGGGAGGGGCAGAAATTCAGAAAGTTTTAGAGGCGTGGCATGGTGTAAAGAGCTTCCTCAAATTTCCATGTATAAAATTAATAGCAGTGATGTGTTCTTTCTTTCCAGAGAGCTGAGTTGCACGACAGGACAAATTGTTAAGAGCTGCTACACGGAGTGCAAAATGAACAGCGAAGCTCAACATACAAGATGCAGAGGGCAGTCCAAGTGAAGCAAGTCGGGTTGAAAATGTCTGCGTGTAGTGATTTTGTGGAACACATCTGGAAGCCGGGCTCCTGCAAAAACTGCTTCTGCCCCAGACACTTCCACCAGCTGCAGGCGCCGCCCCTGGACCTGGGAGGTAGCTGTGGCCTCTTGCAGGATCTGAATGGAACCAGAGCCAAAGCTGAGCCTACGGCTCTGGAGGATGACGGAGTAGTTTCCTTGCCTTACTCCAAGCCAACAATTGCCGTAAAACCAACGATGATAAACTCGGATGTTGCTGATGTGTGGGCAGATGGGAGCCTGAGTGCTGATATCCCACAGGTAATGTTTAACAAGGGGCATGGTGTGTTTTACAAGGTTCTTCTGTTGTAAAAAAAATTGTATTTGACGTAGAACAGTACTGGTATTTGTTATGACACAATTGCTGCAATTTTTCTTCATTTAGCAAAGGAAGGTTCTGTTGTCAATGGCTTGAGATTCCACTCCTTGTCAGTAAGATAGGAAACCCTTGCAGATTTTCTGGGTGTGTTTCTAGGTTCTTGGTGGGCAACATCCTCTTCAGAGAATGTTGAAGAGGTTTCAGAGAAAGCCGGAAAGCTTTGCATGCTTCCTCCAGGGTGAGCTCACCTGTGAACCTCCAAATATTATTGGTCTACAAATCCCGGTCCCGTCTCTGGCCTTGCTGTCTGGGGCTGATGGAGTTGGAGTCCTGCAACATCTGAACGGCCACAGGTTAGCCACCCCTGACTTACTTTCATGCAAAACCCTTGCCAGCTGCCATGTTACCCTTTGGATCCAGGTGAGCCCCACTGCTACCCAGACTGACACGAGCAAGTTTTCATTTGCCCTCTTCTAGGCATCAGAACCTTCTGACCCTAGGTGCGCGTGAGAGTCATTCAACTTCTCTCAGGCATCTTCAGCCTGGACTTTATTCCCTCAGGAAATGCAGCAGTGCCTGCCTCCCAAATCCAGCATTCCTTGAGATAGGTGAATAGAACTCGAATCGACCAGCCCTCCTCATATCCTCACCCCTTAACTACACAACAATCCAAACATCAGGTGCTGGGCTTGTGGTCAGAGGATCTACTGCTTCTTGTGACTTCTAGGGATCCTAACCCACAGGACGCTACGCTTGCCAGAATGGTAGGAAGTACTTTCCTTGGTAAGTGGGCTTTTGGCGTTTGACAGCTTCGCTATAGGGAGCTCTCAAGCCGTCCCAGATGTGAATACTTGAGGAATTCGCGCTTTACACATTCCAATATGAACTGATTTGTAGCAAAGCTTCAATAAGCACCAACTTCCATACTTCCCCAATATTCAGATGTTTGTTGTTGTTTAGTCGTTTAGTCGTGTCCGACTCTTTGTGACCCCATGGACCAGAGCACACCAGGCACTCCTGTCTCCAGCAGTTTGGTCAAACTCATGCTGGTAGCCTCGAGAACACTGTCCCACCATCTCGTCCTCTGTCGTCCCCTTCTCCTTGTGCTCTCCATCTTTCCCAACATCAGGGTCTTTTCCAGGGAATCTTCTCTTCTCACGAGGTGGCCAAAGTATTGGAGCCTCAGCTTCAGGATCTGTCCTTCCAGTGAGCACTCAGGGCTGATTTCCTTCAGAATGGATAGGTCGGATCTTCTTGCAGTCCATGGGACTCTCAAGAGTCTCCTCCAGCACCATAATTCAAAAGCATCAATTCTTCGGTGATCAGCCTTCTTTATGGTCCAGCTCTCACTTTCATACATCACTACTGTGAAAACCATGGCTTTAACTATACGGGCTTTCAGATGTAGTTTTTGGCTAAAAAAAGAGTAAAGTATTTTGAAATGTGTATTTTGAGAGAGAGAGAAATTAATTAAATGCATTTAGAAGTGGTAACAAGAACTGAAACAGGGCAGATTTATGAGTGAACACATGCACAAGTGGCATGGGCTGAAAACAGACTCATTTGTACACCGCGAGTTCCTAGGGGATCCCACCTAGGGGATTCTATTAAACTCAGTCCTCTACACTGAGGATGCAGGATATCTCAGCGAACTTGGTCTCCCACAAACAGACATTGAAGTGGAACATGAATCAGTACTTCCACCTGAGATTTGCCTTGAACTGTTCTGCCTCTTCTCCCTCTGAAGAGAAGGTTGTAAATAATGCTACAGAGTTTACTGTCATTTCTTAAACTACAGTGTGTTGTAAGAAGTATTTCAGGCAGAGATGTGTGAACACAGCCGCTGCCACCACAACGCATCAAGAATTGTCACTGGTATTTAAAAAAAAAATCCTTTTTTGCTGCCTATTTAATGCCTTGGATCTTTTCCCCAAGCAGACATTTCTGCCTTAGCCTTGATATTTTGCTCTAGGCAAAATTTGCCAGCAACTCTTAACTGTAGATAAGACTTATTAAGCAAAGAAAAGACCAGAAAGGTTGGCAGAATGAGTAATTTATTTCATGCACTAACTTGAAAGTACTGGTGTTTCTAATTGGGCTTGGTTTTTAATGAGCAAAATTTCATCAAAATCAGTTAAAGCAGAGTTCAGCGTTCAGTTACCTACATGTGTCACTGAAAGCCTTTTCAGGCAGGCCGTGAATGATTCATGTCAGTTAGTGTGGAGAGAATAGAAGAAAGGCTTTTCTGCTTAAGGGCTTCTGCTACTTTGATTCTGGGTATCTTTTTTTATATTCATTTTTAAAAAGCAGTACTCTAGCCCTCTTTGTCCAGGAGAAAATGGAATGTGCCTCAAAGCTGCACATTTGAAAGGGGAAAGAAAAATATATTCCGAAGCCTACATGTATTATGCTTTCAGATCCCATGATTACAAAGTCTATTTGAAGTTTTCGAAGACGTACTTTGTAATTTTGAACTTCTGGGATGAGTAGCTCAGGCATTCTTTGTCAGAGCATCTGATTGGAAAATTCACCTTTCCAGGAAGCAGGGACTCGTCATATTTGATATGAAATTGTTGCCTGTTAATACTTGCCACCCTTTTTCTCTGTTCAAAGCTGTGCACCACCTTTTTTCACTGTTAAATTCAGATTAAAAATGAGGCTTCCAGCTTTAATCAGTAGATTAATCAAGTAGCACTTGGAACTGACATATGTAGGGAGAAGAGTTTTAACTATTTCCTCCCCAGAAACGATCCCCATGAATATTCCTCCATGTGGCAATTAGTAAAGGTAAAGGGACCCCTGACTCCAGTCGTGACCGACTCTGGGGTTGCAGCGCTTATCTCGCTTTATTTGCTGAGGGAGCCGGCGTACAGCTTCCGGGTCATGTGGCCAGCATGACTAAGCCGCTTCTGGCGAACCAGAGCAGCACACGGAAACGCCGTTTACCTTCCTGCTGGAGCGGTATCTATTTATCTACTTGCACTTTGACATGCTTTCGAACTGCTAGGTGGGCAGGAGCTGGGACAGAGCAACGGGAGCTCACCCCGTCGCGGAGATTCGAACCACCGACCTTCAGATCGGCAAGCCCTAGGCTCTGTGATTTAACCCACTGCACCACCTGCGTCCCTTGTGGGCAAAAAACTCCCATTGACCCACAACCCTGTTGGCAATGCTGTGCATTACACATTTAACTCAATATGTAGTTAAGCCCTTCCTGCAATATTTGCACAGAAAGAAAAAGTAAAGAAAGAAGCCCACAACTTTGAAAAGTTGACACTGTGCTTGTTTACTCAGAATTAAGTCCTGTTGAGTCGATGGGACTTGCTTTCAGACAAGTGTGCACAGAACTGCAGCCATAACATCATTCTGGATCAGTCTGTAAAGGTGGCTGGGTGTGTTGATGCACAATGGATGTCTCGTTTTTCTACTCAGCGAGATCAGAAGTGACCAGTTAAAATTATTTTCCAGATGAAAGCCCTGTTGTTTCTGCTGTTCTTGGGAAGAGAGTCTCCACACGGCTCTTTGATGTTCTTCCTAACACACAGGTTTCCCTTAATGTGGAGGGATCCTCTCACGGCTTTTGAACTGCCGTGACTTTGCTTCTCAATAAACCAGATGCCAGTTCACAGAGGACACCGCCTCCTCCTTTGTAATGCTTATAACAGATATGGGCAGCAAGAAGGCTGCTCCATTTTATAGCATGAAGTGGGAGAGGAAATTATCAGTTGCCCTGAACTGGGGGTGGGGATGTCCTTGCCAGAGTGGCTTTTGTTTGATCACTAACGTTAATGAACATTTCCCTCTCTTCTCCACTCTTATTTTCCCATTTAAGTACATGCACTTTAGGCTGAGTTCTCCCTGAGATGATAAAACTGCGTGTGGGCTGCACAGTGCAGATTGCAAGTGGGAGGGGTTCACATGAGTCAACTGTCCTGCTTGCTTACTTACTTACTAAATAAATAAATTCCTTCATATTGGAAACTGGCCTTTCAGGGAGAAGGCTAGACCTCCTCTCTTAGAGGGTATTTTGTTTTGTTTTGCTTTGGTATTTGTTGTTGTTTAGTCATTTAGTTGTGTCCGACTCTTCGTGATCCCATGGACCAGAGCACGCCAGGCACTCCTGTCTTCCACTGCCTCCCGCAGTTTGGTCAAACTCATGCTGGTAGCTTCGAGAACACTGTCCAACCATCTCGTCCTCTGCCGTCCCCTTCTCCTTCTGCCCTCCATCTTTCCCAACATCAGGGTCTTTTCCAGGGAGTCTTCTCTTCGCATGAGGTGGCCAAAGTATTGGAGCCTCAGCTTCATGATCTGTCCTTTGCTTTGGTATAGAGGAGCATATAATCAGTTGAAGTGAGGGTTTTCTACCCTAGCAAGAACCAGGCCTTACTAGACTCAGAACAGTTCCACCTATATTATTCAGAATAAGATTATAGACTGAGAATAGACGAGAGAGGGACATATTTTTGAATGTGCACCCACATTTAAAACAGCAACATCTCCCAGCGCATAGTGAACTATCTCACCAGGGAGAAAGGATCTCTTACCTGCATGGACAGGGTGTGAGTGTTGTGTTTTTGTTTTACATCAATAATATGTCATCCACACATACAAAGTGATGCAAAACAGAATTGTATTGTCTCTGTCTACCACCTTGGTCAGTGTTGTGTGTATTATTATTATTAAAATTTCTATACTGCCATTTATCTGTAGATCTCAGGGCTCTTTAGGCCTCCTTTGGTTTCATTTCTCCAAATGAAGATTTTAGCTCAGGGGTGGGGAAGTTTTGAGTCCACCTTCTATCTTGCTCATTCTTTTGTGGGCTGCATGCAGGTGGGGAGTTGGAGCCAGAAGCAAAAGGTGGATAACACCAGAAGCAAAATGCTCTATTCCAGCCACACAAAAGTCAGAGGTTTACAACACACACAGACACACATATATTTCCACCCAGCCAAACAATATATCCTAGTTCAAGGATACGTTCCAGCTGGGCAAAAGCCGTTGAGAAGTGTACAGAGCAGGACTAGTGAGAGGTGCAACTTAGGGAGAAGAACACGGACTTCCAAGAGTCCCATGGGCCAGAGAGGGGCCACAATAAGCCCCTGAGCCCGAGGTTTTCCGCCCCTGGGATTAGGCCTGTGTCAATTTACCTGTACCTGCTTGCACAGTAAAGTATGGAAAACCTGTGCATGGCTTTTTTGCTTACAGATGAGGATATTTTTTTTATTTTAGAATACCTGGACAGAGGGCTTTGGCCTTCTGCTCTTCAGTGTTTAGTATTACAGCAGGACCACCCTAGTCAGTAGATCTAATTTGTTCTGTTAATAGATCTAATTTTATAAATCTCAAGTTAGAAATTACAGACATATATAATATTTTTGTTTATCAATGCAGGTCAACAAGAGAATGCCACCCAGAAATCTTGCCTTGATGAAATCTGCAGAAGAACAAAGAGTGTGTATTGACAAATTCAGCAACAACATCATAAGGAAGGCTGTCATTCAGAATACTCCAAATGATCGTACTTTGCACAGTCCTCCAGGCCCTTCTTTGGCCGGTTGCTCAAGTCTTGAAAGCAGTGCAGAGAGAAATGTCGCCTTCAGTAATGTGGCATTTCTGAATGATGTGGGTGCACGGGAGAATGGAAATGAAGTGGCCAGCAAGGAGAAGCTATCCTTGCCATATCTGGGCCTCTGCCACAATTCATCCTTTTTGAGTGACAGATGCATTGGCTTTGCCGTGGACTCCGTGGGATACTCTCCCATCCACCAAAGAGAGGAAGCGTCACTTTCAGAAAGAGCTGCTATGTTCAATTCTTCCGATTTAGAAAGTGAAGGCGGGGAGTACTGCTCCATCACAGACTATTGCAAAGAGGCTCCTGTCCACCAGGGGTTTGACAATACCAAAACCAAAGAGGTGTGGCGTGAAAAACCTGTTTCAAAACTTCAGGCGTCAGAGGCTGTGACAAATGCAAGAACTGAGTCCGTAGACGTGAGTTTCAGTGAAGGGGAAAGCAGAACCTTGAATTCAGACTTTCAAAGGGGGGAGAAGCATCCGCCACACAGTTATGTATACAACCACTTATGTTCCGAAACTGACACATTAGTATTTCCCTCAGATACTGGCAGTGGCCCCTGTGGTTCGCCCAAGGGAAATTATTGCTGTCCTTCGGTTAGAGAATCAGATCAGACTGTAGACAAGCGTATAGAAAATGCAAGCAATTCCGCAGAGCAACAGCTTTCCTGTGAAGCAGCCTCTCAAAATGAGCCTATCTATGCTGAGAGCACGAAGAGGAAAAAGACGCAGCTAAATAATGCCAACACGCATGCAAGGTGTGATGCCTTGACTTATAGCCCCTCTAAAGATAAACAAGATGGCCTCTGGAGAGGGAAGCCTCTCCACTTGGAGTGCGAAAGAGAGTCCCAAGAATCTGTCACGCAGGTACCAGCGACTATTACCATTGTGGCGGCCCACACAGAAGATGACAACCGGACTATTTTCCTTAGCAGTCCAGACTCAGCTGTAGGGGTCCAGTGGCCAAGTCCTAGCCCCACTTCTAATTCAGATGCTAGGAAAACGTCCCCTTTCTTCGAATACAGAGAAATGCCGCAAGCGAGCAGCGAGATGAGCCCAGTGGAAAATGATCCAGGTCTTCAGTCCCAAACAACTAGCAGAAATGGGATAGGTGAGACTCCTGCTATTCCCCCAAAATTGTCCAAAGGGAGCCCGCCTAGAGGAGAGGGGCCTTTCACACAGTCTGTAAGTTCTTTTGTGGCAGAAACTTGTGATAGCGACGGCCATCGGGGTCTTGACATTCCAAAGAACGGCGCAGATAGCACAATCTTTGAGCCCGCATCGTCCATATGCCCTCATACGAACAAAATCTCTCCAGAGGAGTCGAACAAAGGTCTGGCGGCCTTGAGCTCTGAGAGGAGGCAGAAATACTACAATCTCTCCTGGAGCAGGCAGTGTAGGATAGAGGAAGAAGAGGAAGAAGAGCAGGGATTCTTGAAAAGCACACCAGAGACAGAAACGGAGAACGGGGCAAGCAGTCCCTCAAGTATTTCTGATTGCCATCAGGGGGGGAAACACACTGTCCAGGACAACAAGATTGCAGGAATGAGCAAATCGGCATCTTTTGCCTTCGAGTTCCCTAAAGACAAGAATGGAATGGAGGAATTTGCACCACCACCACCACCTCCAAAGAAACAATCCAGGTACAGGAAAAAAATGTTTTGTGTGCATTCTTGTTGGTAGCTGTCAGATGGCAAGGGTGGTTGCTCACGAGTAACCAGGCAGGACTCCGACCTGTCTTTTACAGGTTTTATTTAGGTGCAAAACTACTGTATTTTTCGCTCTGTAAGACACACCAGACCATAAGACGCACCTAGTTTTTGGAGGAGGAAAACAAGAAAAAAAATATTCTGAATCTCAGAAGCCAGAACAGCAAGAGGGATCGCTGTGCAGTGAAAGCAGCAATCCCTCTTGCTGTTCTGGCTTCTGGGATAGCCGCGCAGCCTGCATTCGCTCCATAAGACGCACACACATTTCCTCTTACTTTTTAGGAGGGAAAAAGTGAGTCTTATAGAGCAAAAAATACGGTACTTATAGTGCAGAACCCCAAAGTTTATGTCTGCTTCAATCGCTAGCAGAATCTGGGAGCGCTTGTTTCCTGGACCTCCCCCAACATAAAAGTCTCGTTACGCCCATCCTTTTCCTTCCCTCTTTGCGCTTTAGACTTCTGCACAGGGTGGGCAGTGGAAGGGGCGTGCTTCCCTCCTGGCCGGCTTGGCCAGAAGCGGTGCTGAGGCTCCCAGCAGCATCCTCTGGTCCTTTCATCTCTTCTCCACTGGAGGTGGGGCTTTCCTCCTCCCTGGAAGAAGAACTGCTTCGCAAGATTTTCGGAAGGTCCCTGTAACACAACTGCCCCTCTGTTTCCCGCCCCTGTTCTGATGACAGTTCCCTGACAGTAGCCAAAGATCAATAAGGTTGAGATAAGTGAGCTTTGGTATCTCTACAGTTGTATCTTGGTTTTCGAACAGCTTAATTCTCGAATGTTTTAGCTCCTGAACGTCGCAAACCCGGAAGTGACTGTTCCGGTTTGTGAACTATTTTTGGAAGCCGAACATCCGATGGGGCTTTCGAGGCCTCTGATTGGCTGCAGGAGCTTCCTGCAGCCAATCAGAAGCCGCGCTTTGGTTTCTGAATGTTTTGGAAGATGAACAGAGTTCTGGAACAGATTCCATTCAACTTCTAAGGTACGACTGTATGTGCTAAATTATCACTTGGGGGGGGGTGTAGCAAAGTACTACCACCACAATTACTGATTAACACAGGGCTTATCTATATAACAGGCTTAAATCTGTTGCATTGTCACAGCTTAAGTACCCTGACAATCCCAGTTATGTAAGGGGCTGCCAAAAGAGAATTTCTGCCTGCTCAGTCTCCTGCCTTTTGTGGTGTAGCATGTAGAATAGTTCCTAGTGCTGCTTGTGGAAAGTTCAAACGAACTTCTTACTTCACATGTGCAGAACTCTTGATAAGAAGGCTATACTCTGTCTTCCAAAGAGTCTTTAACACAGCAAGAAAACCCAGGAGGTCAGTTTCTGTATTTTAATTTTTTTGCAGTTGTAGGGAACAGCCTGAGTGCCCTTTCACGTTTGTGTGAATTCATGTTTGTGTGAAGTTAATTCCCACATGGTGTCGTCTAGCAGTTCCCAAACTACCCCCTGCCCAACTGATCAGTTGAAAATTGTTGAGGGTTTTGGGAGACCACTTGATGATTTTTGCCTTTTAAAAAAGTTTTTATTGAATATTTTCTTGTGTTAGGAAATAAACAAATAAACAAGGGAAAGTACATACTGTATAGTGTCTCCACTTTCAATTCATAGGGTCTTTTCCACAGTTCATTAATGTTCAGTATGGGACACTAATGCCATAGACATCTTACAGCTAAGGGGAGAGAAGGGGAAAAGAAATGAGGGGGGGATATGGGGGTATTGTTCTGTTTTTATATTGCTTAGTGCTAGTGTGGGGATTTGTGTCAGCATCGTATGAGTAGGTCCTTTATTTATATATTTATATATTTATTTATCTTTATTGGCATTGCGAGGGGTTGGAGGATCCAGAGTTTGGTTGGTTGTATTCAGTTGGTTGCAATGTGGCTTATTTGTATGGCGTGGGGATGGGGGGGAACATTATTGGGTCAGGTTAGCCATATTGCTTATTTTTTTTGACCTGTTGTAGTTCTCAAAAAGCACTGTGCTGGTGGGTGCTGGATAAGTTTAATCATATTTTTATTGCTGCTTTTATTTCTTCTATATTGTACTTCTTTGTATTTTATAGAACTCAAATTGTAATGTAAGAAATAAAAGCAATAAAAATACAATTAAATATCAGTATGAATATTTAATGCCATGAATGTGCAGCACCACAGTTTGAGAATCCTGGTGTTGTCCATTTTTTTTCTGAGAGGGTGAAATGGAGGGTAACACCAATAAGCAGAAGAACAAGGACTTCACATGAGCTAGGAAATAGGAGGAAATAAGGAGATGCGGGTGGTGCTGTGGGTTAAACCACAGAGCCTAGGGCTTGCCGATCAGAAGGTCGGCAGTTTGAATCCCCGCAACGGGGTGAGCTCCCGTTGCTCGGTCCCTGCTCCTGCCAACCTAGCAGTTCGAAAGCACCTCAAAGTGCAAGTAGATAAATAGGTACCGCTCCGGCGGGAAGGTAAACAGCGTTTCCGTGCGCTGCTCTGGTTTGCCAGAAGCAGCTTAGTCATGCTGGCCACATGACCCGGAAGCTGTACGCTGGCTCCCTCAGCCAATAAAGAGAGATGAGCGCCGCAACCCCAGAGTCGGCCACGACTGGACCTAATAGACCCTTTACCTTTACCTTTAAGGAGATGCAGTAGCCCAACATAAAATAAATAGAATCAAAAAATAAAACTGGGTTGCCCCTGAGGAAGGGTTTCCCATACACACTGGGCCATAACATTTCTTTATAGTAATCTGTGTCCTAGCACCTTTCCAATTTCCTCTACCAATTTTACCCAGACCATTGCAGCCCTTCTCTTAGGCACCATATGGAAAACTATTAAGAGCTTTTTTCTGTCTTCCGGTCTTCGGTGGCTGATGCTCTGCAAATGTAGCATTTGAGCTGGGCCTCAGTTTTGTCTGGGCTCTGAAACTTTTTTTTTTTTACTGTATTGCTGATAGATAAAACGGGTGCTTCTAATGATTCAGCAATGAATCAGTAACTTCTCTGGGATTCTTTCCCTCCAACGAAAGCAAAAACGCGGGGAGGGGGTGGGGCAGGGAAAGCAGATGTGTGTCGAAAAAAGCTTCACTTGCTCTGGAAAAATCTTCATTATATTTCTCTACGTGAATCTGTTTTAAACACTTGCCCTGCTGGGTTATTTTATCTCCAGCGGCAAAGAGGAAGTCATAACAAAAGGACTTTGACTAGTTGGAAGGTCAAAGATTGACTGTGATTAAGGGGTAATGTTCTTAGGAGAGAGAAATGAGAACCGCTGGAAACAATTAATTGGAGAAATAGGGCTCTCTTACACAGAGATTGTATGGGGCTTGTCCTTTGTTTTCCGTGGGGAATTCCTCTGGGTGTCTGCACCACCTTTTGGTCAGAGGCTCCATTCTCTTGAGAGAGAATAATAGCAGAGTTCACATAGTGGAGTTCCCCTGTCCATCGGTACATACACCCAAGAGAGACGCTTTAATGTGTACAGATTTCTATCTGTATTTCAACTTCCCCTTTGTGGGTTTGTAGGGATCAAGTATCTGGCTACTGTAACACATGCTGTGGTAAGATCTGGGCTGGGTTACTGCCATGCACTCTGCATGAGTTTGCTTTTGAATAGCATCCAGAAAGTTCATCCAGTCCAGAACTGGGCTTCTAACAAGGACTAGGCCTTTGCTCTTACGCCAAGAGAACTGCACCGGCTTCCCAGCTCATTTACATGTTGAATGCTAGTGTTAAACTTTCATACTCTACGCTAGTGGAAGTCAAGAAAGTAGGTATATCAGGATCTGCTGGTAGATCTCTTGAGCGATTTACAGTAGGTTTTGCTGAGTTTCCGACTCCCAACTATTTAACAGTAACAGCAACGGAAAGGCTCTCCTTCCTCCTCTCTAACTGGATTGCTGGTATGAGGAAAGTTTAGAAGGAAACCAGGAGTGGGTTTTGTGTGAGCTCGGTGCAGCCAGCCTTTTGGTAAAGTGGGGTGGAGCAAACTGCTTTGGTGTTAGATCTGGACTCCCCTGGGAGAGGTGGCGGATCCATCCGCTGCTGTGTCCTCATCCGCTGGCCTCCTCCTCCTCCACTCCTGCAGATCTCCTTTTGGAGCAATGTGCTGTTACAACCATAGCTGTCAACCGTCCCTTATTTGGCGGGAAACTCCCTTATCCCAGTGCCGTGTCCCGCTGCTGTCCCTTATTGATGATGTCCCTTAAATTTCCCGGGTTTCATGCTCGCCCGGCTCGGGAGGGAAGCAGCGGCTCGGGGTCCTCCACCGCGAGAGAGAGCGTGCGCTGGCGCCATCGTCCTGGCGCGAGGAGTTCCATCGGTCCTGCCCTGCCCGAGAGAGGAGGGGGAGGGAGAGAGACTCTCGCCCGCGAGCCCGGAAGCGGCAGCGGTGGTGGCAGCTGAGGAGGTGGCCTGAGGGAGGAGGAATAGCAAAATCCCTTATTTTGGCTGCTGATCCCTTATTTTTGAGGGTGCTGGTCCCTTATTTTCAAATCTGTAAGTTGACAGCTATGGTTACAACTTCAGTGTGATTTTACAAATGGAGACCTACAAGGAAGGAAGGGCCATAACAGGTGCATGGCACAGTGCAGTGCTGGTGTCATGAGCAGGGAAGCACAAATACTGAAACAAGGGCCTCCCCGATCCATTATTCACAATGGTCTCTTGCCTCTCACGTCATCCATTCCTTTTTTACCTTCTGAATTGTTTTGGAATAAGCCTTGATGCAAGGAGAGTTAGGAGCGTTGGTTTTTATCTCTAAATGCCCTTCCGTTCCACACCTGGACAAGACTAGTTCCTGTGAGAGGCTTACTCCCAAACCGCCATAATGAAAGATGTATCTATTTTATCAGCCATCTACTCGGTCGCAACCGTTTGAGTCTAACCTGCATCTCAAATTGGGCTGTGATCTTCACACCCCTTAAAAACCTGGCTGTTTTGGGCTTTTTATTGAACCAGCTCAGTTCTCAGTGCTTCTAAGGAGACCAACAGCCCTAAGCCATGTCTACTCAGGAGTAAGACCACTGATTTCAGTGGAATTTGCACTTTGAAGTTCTACTATAAAAGGAACAAAAAAAGAGATCTCACAAGGTTCAAGTCCTGTCCTATAAGGTCTGGATCTAGGACATTTCCCCCTCATTTTGGTCTTAGGGTAGAGCCTTGCTCCACATGATGATAATAATGGTGTTGTGTCACATAAGGACTTAGGTTTGCAAATAATGCCCATTTCTGCTTTTCTATAGATTGTGGGGGGACGGACAGAAGTGGTTTTTCTGGTGGGGCAGAGCCACAGTGCCCAGTTGCATTGCGGCAGCCCCATCACTTGTGCACTGACTCACTTCCACAGAAAGAAGAAACTACAGAAGGGTAGCCAATGTGGTACAGTGGTGCCTCGCAAGACGAAATTAATCTGTTCCGTGAGTCTCTTCCTCTTGCGGTTTTTCCGTCTTGCGAAGCACGGCTATTAGCGGCTTAGCGGCTATTAACGGCTTAGCGGCTTAAAGAAAAAGGAAACAAACTCGCAAGAACTCGCAAGACGTTTCATCTTGCGAAGCAAGCCCATAGGGAAATTCGTCTTGCGGAACGACTCAAAAAACGCAAAACCCTTTCGTCTAGCGAGTTTTTCGTCTTGCGAGGCATTCGTCTTGCGGGGCACCACTGTACCTTGCAGGTGTTGTTGGACTACAACTCCCATGATCCCTGACCGTTGGCCATGATGCTGGGAATTATAGTCCAACAACATTTGGGAAGCTGCTCCTGTATCCAGTCACAAACCAAAACCCCTGCATGAGAGCTACATTTTTATTTTTTAAGCTCCTAGGTTGCATCTTATGTCTCCAAACTGAAATCCGTGAACACTTGAATGAATAAATTAAATTTAAATTATGCCCTGTATTTCTAGATATGACCGTTCTGAATTTCTAAACTGTTAGTTTGCGATGGAGGGGGAGAAGGGATGTCGTGAGAGAACCTTTGTCTCGATGAATGGTCCACGAGCAAGTAATCTCCGCAAAAGATAATCACCCATTTTGTGTTAGGCGGTGGAAAGGGAGGGTCCGCCTTTGTGCGTTACCCTGAAATATGCCGCAGGCAACACTTAAAGAAGGAAAAGGTTCACTGTGAGAGATGGAAAGTAATTGACCACCATTTAGTTATTTTTAGCACTTAAAGCCACGACCCCTTTGGAAAGGGAACTGTAGAACAACAATAAAAAAATAATGATTGGCAATATGTACATCTTCAGCCTTTCCACCTTCCAGATCCAAATTCATACTCAGATTAGGTTTATAACTTAAATTAAGGAATATGGTTATAGATAAGTGTGCACTTAATTTGGGAGTAAGTCAGTAGAACCTCTAAATATATGTGTGCAGGTATGGGTTTGTTTGGGCTGCATACATTTATTTCCTTGTGTGTTGTAAGTCCTTCGTTTCTTTCAACTTCAAATGGCTTTTTCAGATGTTCTCTCCCCCACCAGTTTACCTAGAGAGAAACTATGGGTCAGCCTTGAACTTGTGCTCTTCCCTCTTTAAAGAGGTTTCACTCTTGCAGATTCAAGGTGATCCCAGCCTTTGTCCAGGTAAACCTGGAATTTTATGGTGAGGGTGAGGCAGGGGAAACACCATATAAGCCCAAGTTCTCTTCCAGTTGGTCTCCTGCTTACAATTCTGAAGAGCAGTAACTCCAGGGTAGCTCCCAAGATTCAGTTCTCCCAAATTCATGGATGGGGAACCTCAGGCCCAGAGGCCAAAGGTGGCTGTCCAGGCCTTCCTGTGAGACATCTGGAACTTAGCAGCCCTGCTTTGCACCCTCCTTAGATGACCATGGCTGTAATGCGTCCTTGAACTCTGATAATGCCTCCTGCTTGCCTGAATTGAGGATGAAGAAGTGTGTGAGAGAGTGTGTGTATAGAAGCAAGCTGTCAAGGGTGTTTCCCACCCAAAGAAATGCACACGGCACATAGTTAACTCTCTATTGTCAAAGATAACACAGTAGCTTCTTCAGCCCTGGATTCCTGTGCACACTAATCTAGCATCTAGGCATCTATTCCTGGATCCATGCTCTCTGGAGCAGTTGCAGCAACCAGGCACCTCTCGCCCTCCACCAGTTTATGTACCTTCCCCTGACGGGCTGCACACATGCAGCCGGAGACTACGCCTGCATAGAAACATCCTCTGCTCTTCGCTTTTCAGTCCCCTCCTGGTTCTGGGAGACAGTAGTGCAGGAGAGGGTGGGGAAGCACCTGGCCCTTCACTTGCCTGACCTATCTTTTCCTCTGACCCACCCTGTGCTCCATTCTCCAGCTCTGAAGCTTCTCCTGCTTCTGACTCTAGCCTCCTGGCTGGTACAGTTCCCCGCAAATCACTGACCCCCTCTCCCGAATCAGACTCCAGCCCGCTTTCCCGTCAGTGTCCTGTCAGTCCATCACACTAAGCCTACTGTACAAAGGTAAAATTCAGAGTTCCTTCAAGAGAGGTGGTAGAATTGTGCACTTACGTAACAGCTCCCTGTGTTGGGGATGTCTTATTACATGTATATGTCTTTCATTTTTGCTTTGCTATCCGGTTTGCTTTGTTAATACCGAGCAAATTATGTGTAGAAATGAAATTTATAAATTATTCAGTTCTCTTGGGGAAATCCCACAAGATAAAACCTTAGAAGGAAAGGGGGATCCCCACCCCAATGGAAAATGCCCTGTCATTAGCAACAGAAGTTTAGATTAAAGTAAAGGTAAAGGGACCCCTGACCATTAGGTCCAGTCGTGACCAACTCTGGGGTTGCGGCACTCATCTCACTTTATTGGCCGAGGGAGCCAGCATACAGCTTCCGGGTCATGTGGCCAGCATTACTAAGCCACTTCTGGCAAACCAGAGCAGCACACAGAAATGCCGTTTACCTTCCCGCCGGAGCGGTACCCATTTATCTACTTGCACTTTGACGTGCTTTCGAACTGCTAGGTTGGCAGGAGCAGGGACTGAGCAACAGGAGCTCACCCCGTCGCGGGGATTCAAACAGCCAACCTTCTGATCGGCAAGTCCTAGGCTCTGTGGTTTAACCCACAGCGCCACCTGCGTCCCCTAAGTTTAGATTAGGCCCCCTCAAAAAAAATACGGCTCTATAGTTTTGAAAAAGATATTTGCTTTATTCACATGTAGAAATCTCTTAGTCTAGAAATGTCCACATTTGTGTAAATTCATTGGCCTTGGTTAGCAGAGAAGAAGCAGTGCCATATATACTTTGGAAAGCACAGGAATATAATTGTGCCAGTTCCCCCACCTAGGTTCTGCAAAAGTGTCAAACCTGGCACCCCATCTCCTCCAAATTTTCCTGCACACCCTGAGGCGCTGTGCATTTGGCATTGCTCGTGACTGTAAACTATAACAGAAGAAGGAAAATTTTAGCACACTTTCCATATTTTCTGGGGAAATGTACTTTCATTTGTTGATACTGAAATGTGGGGAGTGGAGGAGGTTATGAATCCAAATGAGGGCTGCTGACCTACTTGAGAGTAAGCCTAATTGAATTCATTGGGACTTAGGAGTAGGCTGGTATAGAATTGCACCTTTGGAGCGTTTGGTAATGTACACTTGGCTCACTTCAAAGGTGCCAAGAACTCCACTTGTTTCAAGAACCACACTTGACTGGAACTTTTGTCTCAAGCTGTGCAAACAAAATGCATGTTGCTCCAGTTTTTTTTATGAGCAAATGGTATTTGGGATAGTGAAATACAGGAAGGGAAGAAATCAGTTTCTACCTATCTTTTATTTAGGTTTCTGTACTTTAAATATGTTACATACTTGAATTGAATGTGACATCAGAGAACAGGATTTGATCATTTTTGAGGTGAAAGAGATTTTATAGTCAAGTCTATGACCGAGGCTGGAGTGTGCTGTTAGTTTAATTGCATTCTTCTGATTTTACAGGCTTGGTAATACAATATTTATTGGACTGGTTGTTACAAAAGTACAAGCTTTTTCATTTCACAAACCTCTTTTCCAGGTATAGAAAGGGAAATTTTGTCTATAACTGAAAAGGGATGCCAACTTCTTCGTGTGAATTGGTGTTAAGAGTAGGTTAGAGATGTGCAGCCAATCTTTTGGCTGGTAGATTTCAACCCTGCTCAGTTGGAGGAGGACCACGGAAAACTATTTCTTCACTTTGTCCTTGATGCCTGCTCTCTTGTGCGCATACTTTCTTGGTTCACACATAACAATAAACCATGGTTTATTAAACCGTGACTTACTAGTGATACCCTTCCCAGCACCTTACCACCAACAAACCTCAATCTGAAGACATGGCTTGCTGCCAGCTTAGAAGCCTTTGTCAGTTTTAAGTATGGCTTGGTGTTACATGTGAACCCAGCACCCTTAATCATGGTTTGTTTCACCACCGCACCTCCAAAGCTCACCAAACCTCAAAGGCAAGAGGCATGAGCAGCACTTAGCACTTAGAGCAACAACAGAAAACCAAGCTATGGCTTGTGTCATCATCTGTTCAACAACTCATGGTTTGTTAAGCAAACCATGGCTTAAGGAAACCACGGTTTAGGATGATGACTGAACCAGGCCACTGCGTCCATGTTGTAGAGCTTGGACAACCATTCAACCCCTGTCCAATCAACTGCTAAACAGCCAAGCTTGTGTCAGTTATCTCCCTCAAGAGCACACTCACATCTTTAAAAGGTAACTTGATAAATGGCTCAGTTAGTAATTGTAGTAAGGTGTCAGAAGCACTCTTGATTTGCAGTTTTCCAGAGAGTTGTCCTGCTATTGGAATCACGATAAGCATTTTGCCACACTGCCAACTCCCTTGTGTTTCTGTAATGCTAACATGCAGAATATAATCTCGCACAAAATTTGAAATTTGTCATGCTGGTTGGCCTTCCCATGCTTGCTGCCGCAAATGCCACCTTGATGGCAAGCACTAAAGAACCACTTCTGCTTTCACGATTTTGCAAGACTCCTGGAAAGAAATACAGGTTGTTTAATTGTGTCACAAATGGAAAAGAAAAGGTCAGTTTGAGAACTGTACATTAAAGCAAAACAATACCAGTAAAAGTACACCACTTGGTTTCCAGTACAAGAAATGGTGAGTCTTTCAGCAACTCATTTCTTAGACAAGAAAAGGGAAGGGTAACACCCTGGGAAACTGGATAAGAATTCCTGTGATTCTTATTTGGGCAAGATACAGTTGGGAGTTTTGGACTTGGCTGGCAAATCTGCTCTGTTTATTAGCAAAAATCCCCATGAAGTATCATTATGTTTTGCTCGTTTTCAATTCCAGTATGAAAAAAAAGTATAGATGATCCCTGTGTTTTCACCCCCTCTCTGCCCACCTGGTGAACACACTGATCCATCGTCTTGTTACCTCCAGTCTCACCCTTGAACTCCTGTAACCTTTTCTCTGGCTGTCCTTTATCATCTCTCAGTCTTCTCACCTCTGTCCAAAACTCCCCCCTCCAAAAAACCCCATTGCTTATCATTGCTCTGATCGGGTGATGCACCTCCTTCAGTCCCTGCTTTAGCTTCCCGTCACCTTCTGTATCTGTCATGAATTCTGTTCTCACCTTTTGAGGACACTTTGGGTGGTATTTCCCTGTCCTACCCACTGAGACTCTCGTATTCGAGCAAAAAATGGTACAGGCGCAGCAGGAGTTCAAGAACAGGGCAGGAAGCTCAGATTCGGACAGAAGCAATGAAGATGTCCCAACAAGGTTTACATACCCTGCTCGCCAAGCTTTTAAAGACGAGGCATGGTGTGCTCACTTGCAAGTCTTGCTTGCCTTGCAGGATTGTGTGCTCCCCTGGGGTAGGTGGGCCTGCTCCTATGACGGTGGCTTCTGGTTTTAGGTGACAAGACTGCACCCTCCTGTTTAGTCGCTTCTGCTTTCCTCCTTCATCTGCTCAAAGCCCCCCTCAGCCTCCACTGAGGCTCTCTGCTCTGCAGGAAGGTCAGGGATGACAACCACCATCCCTGCTCCCCTTTCCAAAGCAGCTGAAGTTGGGGCAGATCCCTCTCCCTCTGACCCAGTTCCTCATCATTCAGTCTCATTCCCCAACCACCTATTCCTTTCTCCTCCTGCTGCATCAGAGACTGCCAGCCCAAACACAGATCCCAACAGCTCTGTGGGGCTCATGGCATGAATCTCAATTGCCACATTTTCTTAAAGTTATCCTCATTTTGTAATTTAGCATTACAGATCCTGTACCTCTCCTTCCTCCCCCCCTTCCCTACTTCCTGACTTTCATCTCTGCTGTTGGAATTTCAGATGGAAAGCTCTCCTGAGCAGGGATTGCTTTTGTTCTCCCCAATCCTCCAGCCCATGTGTGTGTGTGTCCCTGAAAAGTGCCATGTATATTTATATGTTAGATCAGAAATAAACAATACTTTACGGAGAGTGCTGGAGGTTATTATCTGGTGTGGCAGTAATAGGCAAGGCCAAGAGCGGCTGTTCCCCAAGCAGCGATGATTTCTGTTTCTGTTTTATCCCCTATTCAGAAAGTGCATTTTGTATAAGGCACCAGGGCAGTGGGAATAAAGAGAGCTCTCCTCGCATATATGACTTCACAACAATCAGGGCTGTACTTTGCAAATGCAGCTAGCTAGCTTCTGAAAAGATCTCCAGTCCTGAAATGCGCCACTGAATGCTTATGTTTCTCTGCCAGTGTTGATGTTAGGATGTCAAACCCTCCTGAACAAAAGTTTGATCTGGTATTGCACCATTTACTGGGATGGTAAGTTAGTCTGATCTGGTTTTAAAGCATTTGCTGGGGTGGTGTGTTACCTATGGTTAGCATGTTCCAACTATTTTTGTGTTGTTGTTTTTTTGCTTTCTTAAGTATTTTTTTAAAAATCGGTATCATGATTTTTAATAATTTTGTTAGTTGCTTTGTAGATCATTAGGTTGCAAAGTCACAATGCACATATTTTAATAAATAGATATTAGAATGGATAGATAACATGGATTTTGAAAGAGACAAGTTAGACCTGCTTACCTGGAAGTAAGCCCTATTGAGCTGGTTGGGAGTAGCATCCAAGAAAAAGTTGCATTGGATTGATCCATTAATATATTCGTTTCTGAAAAATCAAGAACTAATAATTTCTTACAGAATTGATAATATGTTGTGTGTAGATTGTGTGTCAGAGACAGGGAGAAAGAGAAGCCCTAAATGACTCTTGGATATGGAAAAGGTTATTGGGTAGGGAAAATGTGTGCCTTGTCATTTATGATTTATTTGGCGTTCCTGCATTGCAGAGGGTTGGACTAGATGATCCTTGGGGTACCTTCCAACTCTAAAATCCCCTGTTTCTATGATTCTAATCCTAACCCGTAAATGAAGCTTAAGATGTGCTTGATAATGAGGCCAATTTAGAGGAAAATAGGAAATTGTATTAAGGATTATTGCTTATAATATGAGGTGCAACTATAAAAGGAGGCTTCTGTAATGTTAATTCCTGCGGGGTCTTTTTGTTTATTTTTCTTAAGCTCCGAATATGTTGGAGATAAGAATTAAAAATATGAAAGTTTAAATTATCTGTCTCTTGCCTGTTATATCAACATGAAGGGGCTGTTTCATTATAGAATATAAAAAGTGGCAAATTTTCTCTGTGTTTGTCTATTCGACATTTTTTGTTTTCTGTTGTCTGCTTTAAACAAAAAACTGTTTGCTTAAATATGGTTCCCTGCCTAACCAACAGCCAAGATGCTAACAAAATCCAATATAAACAAATATAAAACCACAACAAGCTTGCTAAAAATATAAAAAAGCAAACAGCCAAGCAGAAAGAAAGCATCGGCAAAACACAACAGTCTACGTAGTACTGAAGTCACTTGCATTATCCTTCGAATGCCATCCAAAATAGCCAACTTGCTCAAAGACCAGTAATGATAGGTCAGTGGAGGGTGTTCCACAATTGTGGTGCCACGACCCAGAAGGCTCTGTATAATCCACTCATCAGACATTGTAAGATGGAGGGACATGGAGCAGGGTCTCTGAAGTATCCTGAGTAGTCTGGCTCACCTTAACACCATTAGAACTGGGGTGGCCCTCCAGATGTTTCTAGCCTGCACCCCCCATCATGCCTGATCATTGACCACACTGGTGGGGGGCTGATGGAAGTTGGATTCCTAAGACCTGGAGGGACGAAGGTTCTCCATCTCTGCATTAGAATGAAACCTTCAGGTTTCTGCCATTCCAAAAAAAAAACCACACAAAAAACCCAGCAATCCACAAAACATGATTGGACATATGTATATACGTATGCATGTGTATATATTGCATGAGGGTTTTTTTCCAAGGAAACAAATTGGGTCAGATAGAAATGAAATGTAAAAATTATACAGTCGGTTTAGTAATATATATTATTATAGGGATATCAGACAAGTTTAAGGCTGCATATCGGCTTGAAAGTTAACTTTGACTGAAATGACAGGGAATCACAAAATTGTGCTTGGGGATTGGGGGGCTAAGCTGTTTTATAAAGAACATTAAATAACCGAAAAGAGATAACGCAGAAAAATAGCATTGTATTGTTGGCGTAATGGGGAAATGAAATTGTAAATCGCGGTAAGAAAATAAGCCTTGTGAGCTTCTGTTGTGATCTTTAGCTACAGATAAAGACGTGTTGGGTCGGTAGGCATTTGTTTGTTCCTTTTTAATCAAAAAGACATTGTACCTTGGAAAGGAGCTTTCAATGCAGTGCTTCGCTTGCTTTCTTGCAGATATACTGTGTGTAGAAAACAAAAGCAAATCTATTGTTTTGCCTTCTGCATGCATGTAGAAACCCCCTGAGCTAGAAATGGAGGAATCCTTTGCAGATGGAAGATTAGCTCTGTAGATCAATTTGAGTCCTTTGGGGGAAAGGGCAGGATATAAAAATGGAATAAAATTAATAAAGGTTGCCTGTATAGAAACGTGCTACTGCGGCAATACAGTGCCGATAGTCAGGGATGCAAAGGTGAATGCCTGGTAATGCTGGACAGACGTCACTAAGAATGGTGTCCCCAGCCATTGAGGCAGCCTGTTGAGCTTGCATTTGAGTCCTGTAGTTGCCTTTGAAGTGACAGCTTTTATTGACTTGTGGAAAGGCTTATTTAGAAGGAAGAGCACCAGCGTGTCACCAGAAATTGTATCTTGGTATGCCTGCTCAGAAATGAACTGTTTTACTTCTCCCAAGCCATCACATACCAACGAGTTGACCAAGCAGTATGCTGAGACCATTCTCTGATTTGCTTGGCCTTCTCTCTCTCTCTAACCTTGTGTTGTTCATGCATGCAGGTGCGGCTGAAGTGAGGTGGGTGGGTAGGGTGGCATGCTCCTGGCCTCCCAACAGCAACATCTCCACCAGTAACTGGTAGCGGCAAGCAGTGTTTGAAATTAACCAGGTGCGTTTTGCTGCTGGCCTGGGTCCAGTGATGAGTATATGGAGATTTCTGGGCTCAAGTTTGGCAACCACAGTTTAACAACCTCTGCCTTAAAGGTAAAGGTAACGGGACCCCTGACCATTAGGTCCAGTCGTGGCCGACTCTGGGGTTACGGCGCTCATCTCACTTTATTGGCTTAGGGAGCCGGCGTACAGATTCCGGGTCATGTGGCCAGCATGACTAAGCCGCTTCTGGCGAACCAGAGCAGCGCTCGGAAACACCGTTTACCTTCCCGCTGGAGCGGTACCTATTTACTTGCACTTTGACGTGCTTTCGAACTGCTAGGTTGGCAGGAGCAGGGACTGAGCAACGGGAGCTCACCCCATCATGGGGATTCGAACCGCCGACCTTCTGATCTGCAAGTCCTAGGTTCTGTGGTTTAGACCACAGCACCACCCGTGTCCCCACAGTTTAACACAGTTTGGCAACCACAGTTTAACAGGCTCTGCCTTAGTTCATAGTAAATACCATTTCCAGTTCCACTGTGTGTGTTTCTCCTTCATGCATATTGGGACAAGTGAATTGTTGCAAGAGCAAGCCACAGTCAAGCAATGTAGTTGAGATCATAGAATTGTAGATTTGTAGGGTCATCTGACCCAACCCCCTGGTGAATAGACATTCCGTTTCAGCAATCGTAACCTAGGTTTAAGGTGATGTTTGGCGCCTAGCTTCTATATCTGAGTTTCTAACACTGGTGGTGAGGTGGCTGGAGGGTCAGCACTGTGTGAGCAAACCGGGGAGCTGATCCAGTGCTCCTGCCTGTGTCCACACAGCACTGATCTCTCTACCACCTCTCCCAGTAAGAAGTAGCAATGCCACTGCATGTATGCAAAAAACAAACAAAAGCAAAAAAAAAAACCCCTCAAAACAATATACTGTATTTTTTGCTCTATAAGACTCACTTTTCCCCTCCTAAAAAGTAAGGGGAAATGTGTGTGCGTCTTATGGAGCAAATGCAGGCTGCGCAGCTATCCCAGAAGCCAGAACAGCGAGAGGGATTGCTGCTTTCACAGCGCAGTGATCCCTCTTGCTGTTCTGGCTTCTGAGATTCAGAATATTTTTTGTTTTGTTTTCCTCCTCCAAAAACTAGGTGCGTCTTGTGGTCTGGTGCGTCTTATAGAGCGAAAAATACGGTATATAACAAAAGAAATAAGAGAGGAACAAATCAAAACAGGATCACAGGCGTTATTGTGTAGACATAGCCACATTCTTCAAAATCTGATGCAACGTGACTCTTGTATAAATTGCTGTTTTCTCATTATGTATTTCCCACATTTAATCTCTAGGCATTTTCTAAAAATGAACAGAAGCAATTCTGAGTTGGAGAAGCTGAGCAGTGATTCTACAGAAAACCTCAGTCCTGCTTTCCAGGGAATCCATGTCACTTTCACCGCTGGCTCCACGGACAGTTTGAATTTGGACACAAATGCATTCGGCAATGGAGGTAGCTAAAAGTTGTGTGTTAGTGTGGGGCTGTGGGGTTAATGTACGAAACACGTTCTGTAAATTGTGACATAGTGACCCAGTTTGCACATCACAGGAAACCATACTTAATGGCCTACTGTGAATATGGAGGTGGCTCCTGCCTTGCTGCCCTAACTGGAGCAACAAGCTATAATCCCTGTCTTTGTGTTATATCTGACTGAGAGACTATGCTTTATTTCACTCAAACAAACCATGATTAATAATATAAGTGAGTTTGCAGCAAGCCATTAACTATGGTTTACTGTGTTGTGTGAATGTGGGCAATAAACACGCCCTGTAAAGCTACATTTAGAATTTCACTTCCCCAGGGAAGCTTTACATGGTCTCTTCCTTTCACCCTTCAGGTGGGTGTAAGCGGTCCTTAGTATCCATGATACTTTGCTGTTTTGAATGCCCATTTATTCAGCTTTGTTGCTAATGTGCCAAACTATCCCAAAACCAAATGGAACCTTTGAATGAATGACAGGACAGCACAAGTCATTACTACAAAAGCAGTCGTAGAACTTGAAAATATGTGGGCTGAATGTAGCTTAAATTCAAGGTATCTGGCATTTCTTATGATGAAGTATCAGAGCAGTTGGAGGACCATGCTTCCTGTGATGTCACCAAAATTAGGGGCAGGACTTGTGCCCCCTACAGGCAACAAGCTGCGCTGCAAGGGCTAGCCATGGTGGCCAGCTATCAATCATACGATCAACAGGAAAGCCAGTAGCCATCCCTTGCGCTGTCTAAGTGCTGCATAGTAGTGAAGAAGACTACGTCCGTGTTGGGAAAGGGATGATGATAATAATAATAATAATAATAATAACAACGCACTGCATGTGAATTGTCTTAACTTTTCAAATATCTTGGGCTTGTCCTACAAAATAAAGGAAAAAAATAGCAAGTAAAAAAATTCTCTGAGTCCTCACATAGCTTGCCATGTTGCTTAAATATTTACCCTGTTCCAGCTTCGCTGCTCTTTGGCAGCCAGTGCCCAGTTCTGTGACAGAGAGCCAGGTTGTCTTCAGAAACGCTATGCAATGTTAACTCCACCTTCCAATAACATTCCTTTACTCAGTTGGATAGCCTCATTCACAGCGGGGATATACAGGTTGCATTGTGCTTAGCTTGCGGAGCTTAGGTAATTGTAATAATAGTCACTTTGGGCTTCCCACTTCAGTGCTAAGGTTGCCAGTACCAGAACTTGATGGGTTTTAAAATGAGGAATTAGGGATGCACAAACATCCCACTCTTCGACCCAAACATGAATTGCCTTCCCCTTTCCATTCAAACCGCAAAACCCCTCAAGCGATTCGGGGTGGGTGGGTTTGATGATCGTAAAAACACCCAGGGAAGCCTGGTTCCCAACATGCTAGCAGAGAAAGGACTTCTCTTCTACAGCATTTATTTGCTGGCGGAGGAGAGGGGGCTTCCCTTTCTCCATGGTGTCAGGAGCCAGAGTCAGGAATAGGCTAGAAATAAAATACTCGGTGTCAGCAAAGTTAACTCTTTATACCAAGAAACCAAAACAGCGCAGGCCTAGTGATCATAGCAACTCTTTCCAGTAGGTCTTGCCCCAGTGAGGATTGAAGGTTCTCACGATCTCTCCGCTCCCTAAGGCTCCTCCTTTGCCAGGTCCTTCCCAAGCAAACTCGGGCTCCATCTAGTCCATCTAGTCTCTCCTTGCTCCACCCTCTTCATTCCTCTACATGTTCTGGGAGACCATGTAAACCCTTGTTACGGCTATTGGTGTGGTTGCTCGAGAGCGATCAGGCAAGATCCCTCACTGGTCTTTTCAAAAGCTTTATTATTGGTGCAAAAACCTTTACAATGCAGAACGCCTCTATTCCATGTCTTGCTCACTCACTAGCAGAATCTGAGAGTGGGCGGTCCTTAAACTTTCCCCAACAGAGTAGTATCTTGACCCCCAGCCGACGCCTCCCCTCTCTGCGCGAAAGCCGACTGCGCAAGGAAGGCTTGGGTAAAGGGGGACCGCCCTCCTCCCCGCTCTGCTCAGGCAAGGTGTCCCGGCACTGCCTTGCATCCTCCGAGCCCTGCAACTCTTCCCCACTAGAGGCGTGGCTTCCTTCCTCCGCTGAGGAAGTCCTGCTCCCCAAGATTTTTGGAGGCTCTCTGTAATCCATCTGCCCTTCCCACTCTCGCCTCTGAGCCAATGGCAGTTCCCTGACAACCCTGTTACCTCTTCAGCTTCCGACACCTCCTCCTCCCAGTCTGCTCTCTCTTCTCCCTCTGACCACTCCTTGACATCCCACCACCAATCCCCTGGCTCTGTGCCTTCTTCCCCTGGGGGTTTCCTTGGGGGTTCCCCAGCAGGTGCCTCCCACCATTCCTCTGCACCCAGCCAGCCCATGGCATTGGTTAGCATTGAGACACAGTGTGTTCTGTGGGTGGGGAAGAAATTGGATTCAGTTCACATTTCATGGCAAATCTCCCAAACTTGCACTGCAGCCAAGCCGTCCTTCAAAACCCACACTTCTCTGAATTTCCTGATGAAATTCTCCAACTAGATAATGTATAGGAAAAACGTATTACGTTAGGAGAAATTGAGGTGTATTAGGCAAAATTTCACACTGAAATGCTGGCATATTCTCATGAGGACTTAAAAAGAAAATTGGCAAAGAGGTGCCAAAACGTGGAGAGCTAAACTTAAGATTGGAAAAGTAAGAAATGGACAAATTTGCCCATCCCTACCCTGCAGAAGGGGGTTGGGGGGTGGAAACAAGATAGCTTTGCCAGGAACCAACATGGCTAGCAACAGTGCTTCTTGGGCAAAGTGCCTTGCTTTCCCCTGCACGGCCTGGAAGACTCTGCTCCATGCAAAGCAGGAGAAATAAAGGCACTCTGCCCAGAAAAGGAAGAAAGCTCTCGTTAGGCAGGGCATCTTGTTCCACCCTGTTCTACAAAGAAGGGGAGGCTTGAGAGGAACTGCGCTTCCTGCCCCGATTTTGATTGTAGAAATCAGATAGGGTTGTTTGCCTGTTCATCCCTAGTATATTGGGAATATGTCTGGCAGGATTTGTGGGCAAGATGATAAGACTCACCATTTTGGGAGAGCTTGAGAACAAACCTCGTCATGCCTGGCATAAGCAAAGGCTTGTCAGGAACTGCTTCCTGGTCACTTCTGCTTTTCAAAAGTCACATATTTTAGTTTACAGATGGCTAATGTAGGGATAAGGGACGCGGATGGCGCTGTGGGTTAAACCACAGAGCCTAGGGCTTGCCAATCAGAAGGTCGGCAGTTCGAATCCCCGCGACGGGGTGAGCTCCCGTTGCTCGGTCCCTGCTCCTGCCAACCTAGCAGTTCGAAAGCACGTCAAAGTGCAAGTAGATAAGTAGGTACCACTCTGCCAGGAAGGTAAACGGCGTTTCCGTGCGCTGCTCTGATTCGCCAGAAGCAGTTTAGTCATGCTGGCCATATGACCCAGAAGCTGTCTACGGACAAATGCCGACTCCGCCTACAGATATGCGAGATGAGCACGCAACCCCAGAGTCGTCCACAACTGGACCTAATGGTCAGGGGTACCTGTAAGGTAAAGGTAAAGGGACCCCTGACCATTAGGTCCAGTCGTGGCCGACTCTGGGGTTGCGGCGCTCATCTCACTTTATTGGCCGAGGGAGCTGGCGTACAGCTTCCAGGTCATGTGGCCAGCATGACTAAGCCGCTTCTGGCGAACCAGAGCAGCGCACGAAAACGCTGTTTACTTTCCCACCGGAGCGGTACCTATTTATCTACTTGTACTTTGATGTGCTTTCAAACTGCTAGGTTGGCAGGAGCAGGGACCGAGCAACGGGAGCACACCCCATCACGGGGACTCAAACCGCCAACCTTCTGATCGGCAAGTCCTAGGTTCTGTGGTTTAACCCACAGCGCCACCCGCATCCCAGGGGTACCTTTACCTTTACCTTTAATGTAGGCATATGCAACCAGATCACCTATTTTAAACATGTTGTGGCTTAATACCAGAGCCATGTGTGGTACAGTGGATGGAGACTTGAAATGGGGAGACCTGGGACTCAGCTCTGAAACTTGCTGAATGACCTCCAGTGTCAGTCACTTTCCCTGAAGATAAACTAGACATGGTGATGATGGCAGGACTTAATCCAGCTCCAGCCTATTCCCTATAAAGGCCAGGAGGAGCAGAACCCCAACCCATCTTTTTCCACCCAAAATCTCTTTGTCTCCTGGCAGGAGTCACATCCAGACATGGACTTCCACAGAAGAGAAAAACAGCTTTAAAAAAGTGGTTTGGGGGTGAGGAGCAGGCAGGCAGGTGGGAGGGAGCCATTCAGTAAATTAGGCTTATAAGAAAGGATCTAATATTAGAGTATCAAAACCAGATAGTATAGCCCTGTTTGACAATGGCAGGGAGAAGGGAAACCCATAACTAAATGTGAATTTACGTGGCACTGATAGATAAAATGCAGAAAATACAGAAAATGATGAAATGAAGTTTCAGGGAAGTTTTTAATATTTAACGCTGTTTTGTTTTTAACACTTGATTGGGAGCCGCCCAGAGTGGCTGGGGAAACTCAGCCAGATGGGCAGGGTATAAATAATAAATTATTATTATTATTATTAAGCAAGAGAGGTTTAGACATGCTAGGAGTAAACCCACTGAAATCAATGTGACTTAATTTAATCAACTAATTTAGTCCTCTTGATTTCCACAAGTCTACACTCGGCCTGGGTACACCCATATATTATAAGCACTTAACTCCCTATGGCTTTTTTCTTAATACTTAAGATTAAAGCCTGTGCTTTTAAATTGGCTTTTAATTTTTCTTGCACGCACCTAACACCTTTCCTGGCAATAAATGCCACCTTTCTCAGAATTCTCTCTACGAACCATCATTTTTATTCATTGTGCCCTTTTTGGAACCTAATCACTTTGCGTTACTAATGAAGGCAGATGCTCAAACAGTCAGCCGAATAATTTCATGCTGATTTCTGTATCGCCAGTCATACACACTGTGGCAGCCCCCCATCCCCCCTGGGTCCTGGGCTGCCGTGGGGAGGGAGATTCATCCACAGAGGCTCCCCTCCCTCCTCATCACAGCACAGGACCCGGGGGGGCTGGGATACCGCCATACAGACACACATATCATGTCTCATAATTTTATCATGCTCTAGCGTGACTTTGACCCCATGTACAACGGCCATTCTTGTTTTGGCTGCTACAAATGATCCTAGGCTAATCTGGGTGCAAAGTTTCATTACCCTTTGCTGGCATGCTTACCTTTTTAGATGGAACTTGATCTAGGCCTCGCATTGTAAAACATCTTTTTTTATCCGTGCTGGTAGGAGTCCCCGGCTTATAATTGCTTTATTGTCTGCATGTGTTTCAGGACAGTCGTGCAAAACGAGCCTTCGTTCACCCACCCGTACCAGGAAGCCGACCTTTACTTCAACTCATTTCCCCGCATGTCCCAGCAAAGACAGGCCGCACTGCAAACCTTTACAGCCGCCTCCTCTGCCGCAAAAGAAAACCGTCAGTAGAGCTGTTTCCTCGCCAGATGGTTTTTACTGGGGCCCGGCTTCCCCAGCTAGAGCTTCAGGTCCCGCAAGCCCCAAACTGAACTTCAGTCAGTCGGAAAGCAACGTCTGCATCCGCGAGGAGCCTCCGTTCGGCTCCACCTTAGGAATCAACCGCCAGACATTTTCTTCTTCTGAGTCACTGGAGAAAGCCTTCAGAGGATCCCATTCCCCATATCCCTGTTCTGCTAAGAATGGCGGCGCCTGCTGTAGCCAGAGCAAAAACCTGCCGCCTCGTTCCTCCTCCCAGCACAGCATGTCCACCACGGTTTCCTCAGGTTCTAGCTTTCAGCTCCACAACCTCCTCAGCAATATTGACAACAAAGAGGGGGTGTACGCCAAGCTAGGCGGGCTGTATGCGGAATCCTTGCGTCGCCTCGTTTCTAAGTGCGAAGACTGTTTCATGCGCGACCAGAAGAGCGAGCTGCATTTCAGCGAGAACAACTGGTCCCTCTTCAAGCTGACGTGCAACAAGCCTTGCTGTGATTCAGGGGACGCCATATATTATTGTGCCACCTGCTCCAAGGATCCGTCAAGCACCTATGCGGTGAAGGTATGTCATTGCAAAATGCTTATTTTGTCATGACTTGCTTTGTGCTTTTGGCCTTTTCTGGCGGTTCCCTCGCTACGAGAAGCCAAGTTACAGGGAACCAGGCAGAGGGCCTTCTCGGTAGTGGCACCCGCCCTGTGGAACGCCCTCCCACCAGATGTCAAAGAGAAAAATAACTACCAAACTTTTAGAAGGCATCTGAAGGCAGCCCTGTTTAGGGAAGCTTTTAATGTTTAATAGGTTATTGTATTTTAGTGTTTTGTTGGAAACTGCCCAGAGTGGCTGGGAAACCCAGCCAGATGAGCGGGGTATAAATAAAGTATTATTATTATTATTATTATTATTATTATTATTATTATTTTCACTGGTCTCTGGCTGCCATGAATTCGAATGATCTGATGACCTTCACAAGGATGGGGGGACACACACCCCCTATATATTCAGTGGTACCTCAGGTTGCCGATCAGAAAGTTGGCAGTTTGAATCCCCGCGACTGGGTGAGCTGCCGTTGCTTGATCCCTCCTCCTGCCAACCTAGCAGTTCGAAAGCACATCAAAGTGCAAGTAGATAACTAGGTACCGCTCCAGCAGGAAGATAAACGGCGTTTCTGAGCGCTGCTCTGGTTCGCCAGAAGCGGCTTAGTCATGCTGGCCACATGACCCGGAAGCTGTACGCCGGCTCCCTCGGCCAATAAAGCAAGATGAGCGTTGCAACCCCAGAGTCGTCTGCGACTGGACCTAATTGTCAGGGGTCCCTTTACATTTATCTCGGGTTACAAATACTTTGGGTTACAAACACTTCGGGTTACAAACTCCGCTAACCCAGAATATTACCTCGGATTGAGAACTTTGCCCCAGGATGAGAACGGAAATCGTGTGGCGGCGGGAGGCCCCATTAGTGAAAGCGTGCCTCAGGTTAAGTACGGTTTCAGGTTAAGAATGGACCTCCAGAACGAATTAAGTTCGTAACCCAAGGTACCACTGGGTTCTTTCAGAATTTATCAGGTGTGTTGCCTGATAAGGAACCTTGAAATATGCTTGAATTTTGCTTTAGAGGGGAATCTGCTGTCAAACTGGTTCTATTTAGGAACACACGTACCAAGGATTTTGCTGGTCTGCTTAAAAATATATATATTGCAGGGAGTCGGACTAGATGATCCAATGGGGTCCTTCCAACTATAGTTCTGTGATCCTGTGATATTATTATTGTATTCTGCTGGAATTCATAGGATATTTTGTCTAAGAAGGAACCGCCAGGAAATTTCTTTCACGCAAAAATTCAGTGGCAAATAGCACCTAGCAAAACCCCAGGTACAGGGCAGGTGAACTGCCTAAAAATACCAGAGATCAAAGAATAGAGTCCAAAGTTTCTGGTCAGAACAAGCAAACACTCGAGAGTCGAGCTCCGAGAGTTGCCCAATAAGAACCAGAGGGAGCACAGAGTTTACACACAATCCGTTGATTAGCCTGCCAGCAGCAATTCTCCTTTTTCGCAAGCAGGGCTGATGAGAGGCTGCAATAAAGGCAGTAGGGCACAGCTGGGCCTGGTTGCCGTGGCAACCCTCACAGCGCAGGTATAACAGAGCAGGGCTGGGAGCAAGTCTTCATACCTAAATTTCCAACTGATGTACTGCCAAGAGCGGGCAAGTCATATATCCCTGTAATCCAAAGGGTTCCAAATTGCTTAATGTTGCTTGCGGAAAAAAGAGGCACAGGTCATGATTCCCAGGATTGTTTTTTCTCTCTCTTGCATGAAACCCCGGCAGAATGAACAGGCACTGCCACCTTTCCCCTGGCCTTCTCTTCTGTGAGTGGGGACGGAAGGATCTGGCAATTTCACTTCCCTCGGTTTCTCATTTCCCCCAATCTTAAATTAAGTTCTTCATGTTTCTGCAGCAATCTGCAGTTTTGTTTGTTTGTTTTTAAATCTTCCTGAAAATACGTCAGCTGGCATTTTAGTGGAAATTTCTTCTAATTTTTAATTTGCTGTTCTGGCTAGTATACAGTTTGCAAGTCATTTTTTTTCATAATGTAGTGGATTCTTATTCTTTTTTAATAAAATCTTTAAATTAGTTTCCCAATATACCCCAATAAAAGCCAAATTATAACAATAACAATTACTTCCCAAATTATACAATTATCAAAATGCCAATCAACTTCCAATTAATACATTTTAGTTAAAGTGGCTCCCTGCTTGATAGTTTGGGTGCGCTTCCAATCTTACATCACTGCGTTCTGTAATCTTAATTAATGTCAGTTGCATTTCAGTTATAATAATAATCCCTTAGTCAACAGCTACATAATTAATAATTTCCGTTCATGATGTTACAATATATAAATTCATAAAGCTTCAAGTGAGGAACTCAAACTATTATTCTGCCCTGCGTGTGAAAAGGAAAGCAGAAAAAAAATACATTTGGCACCAACTTGGCCTCAGGTTTTGTCAGGATGAGGCATACGAGGTGCCATCCAACTGTCTTAGGGACTGCATTCTGGATTTGTGTAGGTTTTACTTCTTAACACACAAAAAGCACTTTCTAAAAGCAATAAAATATTTCTACAAAGCTCTAAAATGATAAAACTATATATTATAAAGTCTAGAAAACCATAGAACCCCATTTACAAATTGTTGTTGTTGTTGTTTAGTCGTTTAGTCGTGTCCGACTCTTCGTGACCCCATGGACCAGAGCACACCAGGCACTTCTGTCTTCCACTGCCTCCCGCAGTTTGGTCAAACTCATGCTGGTAGCTTCCAGAACACTATCCAACCATCTCGTCCCCTGTCGTCCCCTTCTCCTTGTGCCCTCCATCTTTCCCAACATCAGGGTCTTTTCCAGGGAGTCTTCTCTTCTCATGAGGTGGCCAAAGTATTGGAGCCTCAGCTTCAGGATCTGTCCTTCCAGTGAGCACTCAGGGCTGATTTCCTTCAGAATGGATTAGTTTGATCTTCTTGCAGTCCATGGGACTCTCAAGAGTCTCCTCCAGCACCATAATTCAAAAGCATCGATTTTTCGGCGATCAGCCTTCTTGATGGTCCAGCTCTCACTTCCATACATCACTACTGGGAAAACCATAGCTTTTACTATACGGACCTTTGTTGGCAAGGTGCTGTCTCTGCTTTTTAAGATGCTGTCTAGGTTTGTCATTGCTTTTCTCCCAAGAAGCAGGTGTCTTTTAATTTCGTGGCTGCTGTCACCATCTGCAGTGATCATGGAGCCCAAGAAAGTAGAATCTCTCAGTGCCTCCATTTCTTCCCTTTCTATTTGCCAGGAGGTGATGGGTCCAGTGGCCATGATCTTCATTAAATTCCATTAGCAACACACACACACACACACACACACACACACACACACACAGACAGACACAGTGTGGTAAAGCCTTCTTGAATAAAATTGTCTTTATTGTGTGTCTGAGCATCATGACGTTCTGCGCCTGTCTAATTTTGGCTTAGACCTATTCTTAGAGGCTCAGACCTTAGAGGGCCTGAAACTGCATAATTTCTAGTCCCAACATCTTTTTCTCCACCCTGTGTGAATTGCGGGGCTCATTTTCAATGCATCACACGCAGGGGCGTCTGCGTTGATGCCCATTTCACAAAGGGGGGGGAAAGGCCTGCCTTTCTGTCACTCGGCTTACTTCCCTTGGTTTGGGCTCCCAGTGGATGCGCGCTACAGAGGGAGCGTGATGGCGAGGGAAGGAGACAAACCTTGTTTTGTGTTCATCGCAGACCACACGTGTGTGTCCCCGCATTACAAAATGCGCCTTTATTGTCTGACTCTGGCAGACAGTAGCATGCTAAAGCTGAGCCAAAGAACTGAGATACAAGCTCCGCCGCTGTGTGTGCGAGTTCTAAGTGGGGAAATGTAGCTAGGCAACTTTTTGGAATGCTTTCATTTTCGTCGCTGGAATATTTCTGACAGACAGTGGTTTCAGGGCTTTCGTGCCTTTCCTTTTTCTTTCCCTGTGAATGTGGTATTGTTGCAGTGACTGCAGACATGAAAGAAGCTACAGATCTGATTGTTGCCTCAAGTCAGGCTTCAACAGGCCTGTTTCAAAGTTTGAGCTAAGATAAGCTTCCTGTCATGCCTTAGAACCCTAGACCCAGCTAGTGCTTCGACTCATATGCATGAATTGTGGGGAAATGGAGCCAAAATATTCTCTCTTCCAAAAAAAAAAAAAATCTTCCTTTTATCTTCGACAAAAGACTAGGGACTTGAGAATATGGCTCTCTCTACCAAAGATGTAAAAAGAGGTGGGGGGAGCTCAATTTCAAGGTGCACAGTAGCAAGGGGAGGGATGCTTAACCCTTCTCCCACCCACTAGTAAAGGTAAAGGGACCCCTGACCATTAGGTCCAGTCATGGCCGATTCTGGGGTTGTGGCACTCATCTCACTTTATTGGCAGAGGGAGCCGGCGTACAGCTTCTGGGTCATGTGGCCAGCATGACTAAGCTGCTTCTGGCGAACCAGAGCAGCGCACGGAAACGCTGTTTACCTTCCCACTGGAGCGGTACCTATTTATCTACTTGCACTTTGACGTGCTTTCAAACTGCTAGGTTGGCAGGAGCAGGGACCGAGCAACGGGAGCTCACCCCGTCGCGGGGATTCGAACTGCCGACCTTCTGATCGGCAAGTCCTAGGCTCTGTGGTTTAACCCACAGCGCCACCCACGTCCCTTCCTCTCCCACCCACTACTTCTGCCTTTTTCCTTTCCCAGCCAGGGTCTACAGACATGTGTGCTGTATTTGGGGGTAGATGAGGGTGGGAAGGCCTGGAAGAGAAAACGAAGGGGGAGAAATGGATGGCAGCGCTTGTTACGTTTCCTCTGCATATTTCACCCTCCTTTCCCTCTGCTCACCCCACCCAAAGCTTTTATAGATGCTCCGCAGAGACTCAGGTTTCCAAATCCCATTCTTCTGCCAAACATCTAGTTTGGCACTCAAAATATATTCCTCTGTGGTGGCCCTATGAACACGCTTGTAATTCAGTCACGTGATCAGACTCTTCAGTTTGTTTGTTACTTGATTATTATTTCTGCACAGTGCATTTGGCAAGGTAGGAAAGCGAGGCTGCCGTCCCTGCACTCCTTTGGGCTGCTTCCATCCTATTACCACCAACCGGATTCTACACAGTCTGATTGTACACAGCGGCGCAGCTCTGGAGAACAATAGGAAAATGTGCTCCATAGCCTAAAGGAGCCCATCAGTGTCTCAGAGCAGGCAAGAGCATCTCACAACCAATAATGAATAATATTACCATGTGGAATACACTTAAAATGAATTTGCTGTCCAGAGATTTCATTAGACTCATTCCCAGCCACTGATGCTATTTGGATGCAAGAGAAACAACTCGGTCCCCAAACCGAAGGCGCTTTAAATCAATTGCTGTTATTATTTGGGGATCCTTCTGTACCTCTTCAGGACTCGATACCTTGTTTTATTTAAACAAATATTATTTTCTAAACATACTTAACCGAACAAATCTAAACAAATATTATTACTTATCTAAACAAATGATATTTTCATGGAGGGTTCAACATGAATCATAGAATTGAAGGGACCAGGAATCTTTTTGCCCAGTGTGGGGCTTGAACCCACAACCCTGAGAGATTAAGAATCTCATGCTCTACTGACGGAGCTATCCCGGCCCATCTGTGCTTCCAACAGTGGCTTCTCCTTTAAATTCCTGGGCGTCCCTTTTAGTGAAGATCTTACTTGGAAGGTCAATACAGCCCAGGTGGTTAGGAAGGCCCAACAGACTTCATTTCCTTAGGGTCTTGTGAAAGAACAATGTTAGACAGCAACTGATGATTTCCTTCTATCGGTCCACAATAGAAGTGTTCTCTCATACTGTATTACGGTGTGGTATGCTGGTTTGACAGCCGTGGACAGAAAGTCCCTACAGAGGGTGGTGAAGACAGCACAGGATATCATGGGCTGTCCCCTGAGTCCGCTAGATGTTATCGCAGGAGACCGTTGCCTCAGAAGAGCAAGGAACATTCTCAGGGATGACTCACACCCTGGCCAGCACCTTTTTAATCTCCTGCCCAGGAGATATAGAAGCATGATAAGCTGCACCAACAGGTTAAAGACCAGTTTCTACCCATGGGCCGTGAGGCTGCTGAATGGAAGACAGCAACATTGCAGCTGACGTTCGGGGTTGGTGGTCGTATGACAGCACACAGAGTGTAACAAGGACTGAGAGATTGTGGGAGGGGAGGGGGGCCCCCGTTTAATCTCACTGTAAACAAGTGGTACAGTGACAATAAAGTACCGTATTTTTTGCTCTATAAGACTCACTTTTTCCCTCCTAAAAAGTAAGGGGAAATGCGTGTGCGTCTTATGGAGCGAATGCAGGCTGCGCAGCTATCCCAGAAGCCAGAACAGGAAGAGGGATCGCTGCTTTCGCTGCGCAGCGATCCATCTTGCTGTTCTGGCTTCTGAGATTCAGAATATTTTTTTTCTTGTTTTCCTCCTCCAAAAACTAGGTGCGTCTTATGGTCTGGTGCGTCTTATGGAGCGAAAAATACGGTGTTTCTATTTAGACTGCCTCAGCTGGATACTTCCAAGTGAGAAGTAGGAAGGCCCCTCAACAATGTCTGGACTTGCTGCAGTGTGCCAGGCATGTTGCTGTGTGCATGACAGAGATCCAGCTCAGGAGTATGCCAACGGTATGCTGAATAGGCTCCAACTGGAGATCCTCCAACCCTGTGCTTTGAGGCTTTCATTTTATTATTGTGTTGCAAATCGTACCAGTTTCGCTGGCGACGTTTTTGCAACCTGCCCTTGACCCATTTGGAGTGAAGGGCACCAAATGAATATATTGAATAAATAAAGTTTCGGGAGGTTTTGGACCATGCTGCTTCATTTTATTTAAACTTAAGAAAACAGGAGCAACGAAAAGTGGACCTGGATTCTGCTTCATATATGGCATAATAAATTGGTTGGTTTTAAAAGTGGCCCAGGATTTGATGCAATACATTTGACTTTACCCCTCGGAAGGGGTGGGGAAGAGTAATTTTAGAAGAATTAAGGAAACTGTATCAGCCAGCTTTTATTTTGGGTTTGGCTGTTTTCCATTGAGTTACAATGGTCCTCGTCCCCATCTTTGGTGTGCCTTAACCATCCCCCATTACTAAGCTTTTAGCTACAGCCCCATGAAAGCAAAATTGAAATGACAAGAGTGCAACGGTCTACCGGTGTAGATGCACCCTCAGTTTCTAAGTTCATGTTGAGGTCTGATTACTCAATTGTAGACACCAAGATAAAGACTTCCTTTGGGGAGTTTCCCTAGTTGTTAAAGTTGTTTTTACCTTTATTATAGATCTGGGTGTTTTTGAACTTTTAAACTCACACGTTTCCAGAACCCCCATTGCTTCTTACTCTACTGCTACTAATCATCTTCATATGTTTTTTGTGCGCGTGTATATTCTGCTTTACACGCAGAAGGTCCTGGGTTTGAGCCCCAGTGGAACCACTAAGTTGCTTAGGAGATGCGGGTGGCGCTGTGGGTTAAACCACAGAGCCTAGGGCTTGATGATCACAAGGTCGGCGGTTCGATTCCCCGCGACGGGGTGAGCTCCCATTGCTCGGTCCCTGCTCCTGCCAACCTAGCAGTTTGAAAGCACGTCAAAGTGCAAGTAGATAAATAGGTACCGCTCCAGCGGGAAGGTAAACGGCATTTCTGTGTGCTGCTCTGGTTCGCCAGAAGCGGCTTAGTCATGCTGGCCACATGACCTGGAAGCTGTACGCCGGCTCCCTCGAGATGAGCACTGCAACCCCAGAGTCGGTCACAACTGGACCTAATGGTCAGGGGTCCCTTTACCTTTACCTTTTATGTTTTATTTTTAATTTTTATCCAAGTGTTGGCAGTGATAATTTTTTGAGAAAATTATATCAGTGGTGGTGAAGCGAGACTTCAGTAAGACTTTAGGATGGGGTAGCCAACATGGTGCTTTCTAGATGTTGTGGTTTATTTTTAAATGTTTGTATTTTGTTGTTGCAGTTGTTTGCTACCCTGGGCTCCTTTAGGGAGGAACGAAAGGATAATATTGATATTATTAGGTTGTATCCAACAGTCGTCAAACTCAGAGTGGACAAATGGAAATTTCTGTCAGTGGCCCACATTGAACTACCTGCTTCCATTAGCTAAAGTGAGTGCAAGGACTTGTACCTAGTGCAACATAACTTTTCCCCATCTCCTCTCCAGATTTGCCTGTTGTACCTCTCCCAGGTCCATTTTGGAGGGTTAGGAGAACCCCACAATCTCCTTAACGCCACATTGAATTTCACCCATGCGCTGAGGAAACCTTAGTTGGATGCGAACCAATAATAATTGGCAATGGGCTCCTTTGGGGAGGAAGAACAGAATTATTATTACAGTGGTACCTCAGGTTAAGTACTTAATTCATTCCAGAGGTCCATTCTTAACCTGAAACTGTTCTTAACCTGAAGCACCACTTTAGCTAATGGGGCCTCCCACTGCCGCTGCGCCGATGGAGCCTGATTTCTGTTCTTATCCTGAAGCAAAGTTCTTAACCTGAAGCACTATTTCTGGATTAGTGGAGTCTGTAACCTGAAGCATATGTAACCCGAGGTACCACTGTATTATCATCATCATCATCATCATCATCCTCACCATCAGAATAACAATAGTGGCCTGATCAGTACCTACTTACATGCAGACCCTGATGCTTTTGTGGGTTCACATTTCCCTGAATCAAGTTTTTCATTCCCTTACCTCCTTCCCTATCCCAAACGGAACTGACCTTAGACTTCGCTTCTGTCCCTTTCCTGCTTTCCATTCACAGATATGTAAAACTCAAGACACGAAAGCCGCAACGTCCTGCTGCAGCCCTTCCGTCCCGGTCCACTTCAACATCCAGCAGGACTGTGGGCATTTTGTTGCCACGGTGCCCTCCAGCATGCTGAAAACCGCTTCCGCGGACGGCCAGGGCCCCTCCCGCGCCGCCACTGAGCAAGACTGCGTGGTCGTCATCACCCGCGAGGTCCCGCAGCAGACTGCCGCCGACTTCGTGAGGGGTTCCGGCCCTTTCCACAAAGCGAAGCCGGAGCTGTACGAGCGGCGGGTGTGTTTCCTGCTCCTTCAACTCTGCAACGGGCTGGAGCACCTCAAGGAATACAGCGTCATCCACAGAGACCTTTGCCTCGAGAACTTGCTGCTGGTCCACTGCAGACCTCCCCCCAGCTGCAACAAAAGCAGAGAGGACAAACATCTGCCGCGGCTCATCATCAGCAACTTTTTGAAAGCCAAGCAGAAGCCGGGCGCCGCCGAGTCCAAAGCGAAAAAGAACCAGGCTCGCTTGGCCCCGGAGATCGTCTCCGCCTCCCAGTACAAAAAATTCGACGAGTTCCAAACCGGCATCCTCATCTACGAGCTTCTGCACCAGCCCAACCCCTTCGAAGTGAAAGCCCACCTCCGGGAGCAGGAGTACAGCCAGGAAGACCTTCCCCCGTTGCCGCACCTCTCCATTTATTCTCGGGGGCTCCAGCAGCTGGCTCACTTGTTGCTGGAAGCAGACCCCATCAAACGCATCCGTATCGTGGAGGCCAAGCAGATCTTGCAGTGCCTGCTGTGGGGTCCCCGGAAAGACTTGACGGATCAGGCCCTTAACCACGAGGAAGCGCTTCACAACTGGATCGACATGAAGCGGGCGTTGCTCATGATGAAGTTTGCCGAGAGGGCGGTGGACGCTGAGCGGAGTGTCGAGCTGGAGGACTGGCTGTGCTGCCAGTATTTAGCCGCCGCAGATCCACCTTCTCTCTGCAAGTCGCTGAAACATCTTCAGCTCCTTTGATTCTCCATAGTGTGTGAAAAGGGCATCGTTCGTTCTAAGGGCAGTGGACTAAGCACTTCCTTAAACAGAAAATGTCACACACCTCCCGTCCCCTCTGTGGAATGATAATTGCGTGAAACATACCGTATTTCATACACAAACACAACGCAAAGATCAAAACCTATGTACATTTCAGGATAAATACCATTATGAGTGTTGTAAACAGACTGCTGGATTCCACCACCAAGTGTATTGCTTCCTGGGTTACTCTTGGAGGTAAATTAAAAAAAGAAAAAGAAGAAGGTATGCGTATTTCCTAAATGGGAGGAGGGTTTCGTTCTTGTGAGATTTTGTTGTTGTTTTGCTTTCCTAGTGAATGTGCTCAATCTTGGAGCAGAGGCTTATTCGCTGTGAAATATCCTAATATATTTTCTATTAAAAAAAACCCCAGCAACATTCTGCGTGATTCCGGATGGCGGCTTAATTTTATACACAGGTTGTTCAGATACTGCAAAGAAGCCATTGGCGACAGAGAAAAGGAGTATGGCGTTTTGATGGCAGCAGTGCGGTGTGGATGCACACATGAGGAGCACCTATCCCATAATATTTGACTGCCTGGAAGTATTGTATGTCTCACCAAACCCATCCAGCTTTGCCCACTCAAGCCTTCCTGGCAGCCCTGCTCCAACTTTACCCTGCCCAGAGGGATCACCAACCTCATAGATGTAGAAACAGGGAAGGAAGGTAACTTGAAGAGAAATAAATTGAGCAAAAAGGAAGAGATTCTGGAGTCTGAAGTGTGCTCTCATTTTCAGGGAAGTGAGCATTTCCTGCATCTCTTCCTGCACCAATTAAAAACAAAAACAAAACCTTTCCTCTTCAGCCCTCTCTGTGAGCTCATCCATACTGCCATATAATGTGGAGAGGGGTGAGTTTACTTGTACCTTGGTTAGTTCTTAGTTGTCCATACGACTTTCCTTTTCAAATCACTGCCTTCCCACGCTTTCCCCTCCCTCAATCGGGATTTTCTCATAAAATATATACAGTGGTACCTCAGGTTAAGTACTTAATTCGTTCCGGAGGTCTATTCTTAACCTGAAGCTGTTCTTAACCTGAAGCACCACTTTAGCTAATGGGACCTCCTGCTGCTGCCACGCTGCCGGAGCACGATTTCTGTTCTCATCCTGAAGCAAAGTTCTTAACCTGAGGTACTATTTCTGGGTTAGCGGAGCCTGTAACCTGAAGCGTATGTAACCTGAAGCGTATGTAACCCGAGGTACCACTGTACTTCAAAAGAGAAAATCCAGATTGAGGGAGGGGAAAGTGTGGGAAAGCATTGATTTGGAAGTGAGAGTCATTTGGGCAGCAAAGCATTAATGGAGATAAAGGAAGCTTAAAAGGTAAAGGGACCCCTGACCATTAGGTCCAGTCGTGGCCGACTCTGGGGTTGCGGCGCTCATCTCGCTTTATTGGCCAAGGGAGCCGGTGTACAGCTTCCGGGTCATGTGGCCAGCATGACTAAGCTGCTTCTGGCGAACCAGAGCAGCGCACGGAAACGCCGTTTACCTTCCCACCGGAGTGGTACCTATTTATCTACTTGCACTTTGACGTGCTTTCGAACTACTAGGTTGGCAGGAGCAGGGACCGAGCAACGGGAGCTCATCCCGTCGCAGGGATTCGAACTGCCAACCTTCTGATCGGCAAGTCCTAGGCTCTGTGGTTTAACCCACAGCTCCACCCGCGTCCCTTATAGGAAGCTTACTGTCTACATTAAAGAACTGTATGGATAAACGGCGTAAGGATGATAATTGCGGTGTCCATGGACCTGTAATTGGTTAGCTGCCCTGAACAGTCATAGCAAAGACCATGCTCTGTACCACATTCCACTGAAGGAATGGGTACTCTGTCCCATACTCTATATCATGTACAGAAAAATGTGAAGCATTTTCTTGAAGGGGAGAGATGAAATGGGTCCATTCATCTCTCACATTCAGATGGACCCATTTTTCAATATTTTTCTAGGGAAAGAGGTGCCAGAACTCAGCCCTTGTTCTCTTCTAATGGCAATGGCACCCACCTGAGAGGTCTTGGAACTGAGTTCCAGAGAATTCCGGCTGGAAAAAAGCACTGTTTATAAGAAAACTTGAAAGAAAAAAAGGAAACAAAAGTTGCCCCGGTGCGGATTGCCAGGGTCTAGGGACTGGCAACCTACAGTACCCTTGTTGTTGTTTAGTCGTTCAGTCGTGTCCGACTCTTCGTGACTCCATGGACCAGAGCACTCCAGGCACTCCTGTCTTCCACTGCCTCCCGCAGTTTGGTCAAATTCATGCTGGTAGCTTCGAGAACACTGTCCAACCATCTCATCCTCTGTCGTCCCCTTCTCCTTGTGCCCTCCATCTTTCCCAATATCAGGGTCTTTTCCAGGGAGTCTTCTCTTCTCATGAGGTGGCCAAAGTATTGGAGTCTCAGCTTCAGGATCTGTCCTTCCAGTGAGCACTCAGGGCTGATTTCCTTCAGAATGGATAGGTTTGATCTTCTTGCAGTCCATGGGACTCTCAAGAGTCTCCTCCAGCACCATAATTCAAAAGCATCAATTCTTTGGCGATCAGCCTTCTTTATGGTCCAGCTCTCACTTCCATACATCACTACTGGGAAAACCATGGCTTGAACTATATGCTTTTTAAGATGCTGTCTAGGTTAAAAAAAAATCACTGAGTAGTCCAGATCAAAATCCTAGAACGTAAAAGAATTTTGATACCTTTACAATGATCAGCATCATACTCACACATTGAAATGGCTATCAGGAAAAGTGGGGGGAGAAGCTGATATTCTTTGCTGGTGTATAGGGTCCCCAGCAAGGTTTAGTGGCTCCAGCAGCTGTCTTGCTCCAGATGCACTACTCTTGTGTAATATTTACAGGAGATTCAAAGCAGGCATAGGCAAACTCGGGCCCTCTAGAAGTTGGTGACTACTATTCCCATCATCCCTGACCACTGGTCCTGTTAGCTAGGGGTGATGGGAATTGTAGTCCCAAACATCTGGAGGGCCGGAGTTTGCCTATGCCTGCTCATAAGTGCTGCTTCATAAGGCAACTTGTCCTCTCATGGGGATTATTTTCCATTTTGGAAACTGCATGTATCTGATCATGGGCAAAAGGTCAGGCGAGTATGTTTCCCCCACTGTGAGGATTGTGAACAGTGTGGCACGTTTGACTTTCTAGGGTAAAGGCCTGCGATGGGGTGAACATCCGTCCCTTCAAGAAACCTGCATTGAGGCAATCAAGGAAGCATTAAAACCCTACCAGCCAAATGGTCTACAGAGGAAGGAGAGGAACAATTGAGAGTTTACATTGCAGGCTTTGTGCCATACATAAGAACAGCAACATCTGGTTTATTAGTCATATCAGGACTGGTTTGGACACCTCCCCAATTTCCCATAGAATATGGATCTGGCAGCCAAAGCAAGGTGGTTTTTTGATGGACTTAGCACTGGGATCAGGCAAGATAAGTGGACTGGAAGGGTTTGCAGAGGAGACTTTTCACCCCTTGCTGATCACTAGCCTTACTGTTGGACTACATCTTGATATTCCCTTCCCCAGCAGGCTTGCTATGAGGTCCCATCACCATAATACTACTTATCTGTAACTCTTCTGCCTAGAAGGTTGAAGTTGAGAAGCCCAGATAGTACTTCAGAGGCTAGATTTGGGTCATGGGTAACCATAGCTGACCCCAGGTTATATTATAAATTATACCATGACCGTAACCATTTGGCAATCCATCTTTCTATTTGATTAAATTAACACAGATGAATCGAGAGGTGCAGTGAGCTGGGAGAACTGAGAACCTGAAATAAACAATACCTCTCAATAGAAATTCCTCACTGTTTTTCTAGTCTTGCTTCTGAATGCTTAACAGCAGCTTGGCAGTCAGAAATTAAGCAGGTGCAGCTTTTATTGATGTAGAAATCAGGTGTGTGGGGGAGAGTTTCAGCTCCAGAATTTCTTCATGTACAGTGGTACCTGGGGTTACAGACGCTTCAGGTTACAGACTCTGCTAACCTAGAAATAGTACCTCGGGTTAAGAACTTAGCTTCAGGATGAGAACAGAAATTGTGTGGCGGCAGCAGGAAGCCCCATTAGCTAAAGTGGTACCTCAGGTTAAGAACAGTTTCAGGTTAAGAACGGACCTCCAGAATGAATTACGTTCTTAACCCGAGGTACCACTGTATCTACAGTGCGTTCAACAATGATTCGTGTTGGAGGAGGCAGCATGAAATTCATACTCGAGGTATGGTTTTTTTTACCAACCACTTTGGAGTGGGTGGAGGGGTGATCAATGGCTCTATGCAAGTCAGTTTGACAGTTACTTACTGACCCAGATCCTGTGCTTTTATGCTAGTGGTGCTGTGGGTTAAACCACAGAGCCTAGGACTTGCCGATCAGGAGGTCGGTGGTTCGAATCCCCACGACAGGGTGAGCTCCCGTTGCTCGGTCCCTGCTCCTTCCAACCTAGCAGTTCGAAAGCACGTCAAAGTGCAAGTAGATAAATAGGTACCGCTCCGGCGGGAAGGTAAACGGTGTTTCCGTGCGCTGCTCTGGTTCACCAGAAGTGGCTTAGTCATGCTGGCCACATGACCTGGAAGCTGTACGCCGGCTCCCTCGGCCAATAAAGCGAGATGAGCGCCGCAACCCCAGAGTCGGCCACGACTGGACCTAATGGTCAGGGGTCCCTTTACCTTTTTAAGCCTAATGTACTAAGCAGGCAACGGTTTGTTCTGACATAGCACCAGAAATAGTGATGGGAAAAACTTCATCACACATTTATCAATGTTGGGCTGCTGTTAAATGCCCTAAGAACAAGTTGTTTTACCCTCCCGAGCCAGGATCCTGCCCACAAAGGACCTGCAGAGCAATCAGGCCACATGCAACCAAGAGAGAACTGAAAGGCTTCCTGTTTGGCCACCAGCAACATATGGTGAGAACGGGTGAGCATTAATATGTAATAGACCCCTGTTAAGAAATCAATGGGGTTACAGTTTACTGAGCCTGGTGACAGCTGGGAGCCTGGCAGCCAATCTGTGTTTGCTGTTCTAACTTTGGACAAGAGGGAATTAGCAACAGGTGGGTCATATTGTTCTCAAAGGAAAATAGTTGGATCCAACACAAAAAGACGGAAATTGCGCTCACTCAGACCAGTTGGGCAAAGTTCGTGCAGTTGCACAACATCCTCCCTCAAGACCTTTGCCCTGTAGGCTAAAAGGCAAACTGGAATGGACCAAATTGCCTGACTGCAGAAATGAGATTTGTGCGGTGACAGCACTTGATAGAGGCAAACCATACCAAGTATGAACTTCAAGGAACAGGTCCCACAACAGCTGATAGTTCGGATGTGCCCTGACCACAGCTCACCTGCTTTCCCCACTCCTCCTTCCTCTACCTTTGAAGGGATGGGCGGATGGATGGTAGGAAACAACCCTTTCTGAGAGTTCGTCATCCATCCATTGTAGAGACCCTGGCTGGCTAGCAAGTACATTTTCTGGCGGGTGACTTTGGGGCTGTTCCACAAATTGCACAGCCCCAAATGCAGATCGGCCAACAAGTGTACACTGCTCCCTGACATGTGCTTGCTTGTATGATACATGTGTATACAACAATCACCTGTTGTCACATCTGTGCTTTGCATTTTTAGTTAAGACACCTAAAATGTGAAATGTGTGAAGAGGGCCTCGTAGGGAGGGAGGAAGGGTAGTGTTCTGAGGTCCTCCCTCACCCACCACCGGCTGCCTCCAAATCCTCTTGCCTCCTCCTCAATACACCTTCACTGGAGGCTTTTGAGCAGAGGTTGAATGTTCATCTGTTGTGGATGCTTTATTTGGGATTGCTGCCTAGCAGTGGGTTGGACTAGATAACTCTTGGGGTCCCTTCCAACTCTACGATTCTGTGACCTCTCTGCACAGAATGACAATTCCATAGAGAGCCGGATTTGACCCTCTGACCTGTAGTTGCTAAGTCCAAATTTGGGCACCCTGGTGCTCCTGAACATCTCCCACTCAACTCAGCTGGCCATCATCTGGTTCACCTGTTGACTTAAGTCTGCAGAGCAGCCTTCCACAACTTGGTGTCCTCCAGATGTTCTTGGGACTATAACTCCCATCAATCCCAGGCAGTATGGCTAAGAGTGATGGGAGTCGTGATTCAAAACTATGCAGAGTTGGGGAAGGCTGCTATAGAACCTCTATGAGGATGCTCTGCTATCCAGTCCCAACCAATCCACACATGGACCAGAGCTAAGCCAGCATTCTGATTGGCTTCAGAGAACCAGGACACTACCTGTACCTTGGGACAAACCAGGTACAGTGGACGCTTGGGTTGCGAACATGATCCGTGCAGGATGCACGTTCACAACCCGCAGCGTTCGAAACCCGCGTCTGCACACGCATGGGTTGCGATTCGCCACTTCTGCGCATGCACAAAGCGTGATTTAGTGCTTCTGCACATGCGCGACCGCCGAAACCCGGAAGTAACCTGTTCCGGTACTTCCGGGTTTCGGCAGTCTGTAACCCGAAAAGACGTAACCTGAAGCAGCTGTAACCCAAGGTGTGATTGTAATCTGTAGTCTTAGATTTGACAATGTACCCATTGGTGAAAGATAGCCCCAGCATAACCAATAATAGGACCTTCTCTGAATGTGCCCCTCTGGCCAGTTGCTTGTTGAGATTAAGGGTCCATCTAGGCTGGAATTCTTTTTCAGCAGTGGCTAGTCAGATGCCTCTGGAAGCTCACGAACAAGGCATGAAGAAACACACAGATAAACAAACCCACAATCCCATTGTTTGCTCCCCGGCAACTGGTACTCAAAGGTAAACTTCTCTGAATGTGAAATCTCTATTTTGCTATCATGGCTAATCAGAGCTGCCCTGCTTTATCAGATCAAGAGTCCCATCTAGGCTATAAGCACATTAGTGGCTTAAACTTTCCCTCTGCTGCATTTCACCCAATGCACGTGATGTGATTTGTTCTCCCACCCCTCACAAACTCCTATTCAATGAGCATGTGGCTGCCTGAACTGTACACATCTCAGCTTAACTGCGGCTTATGTTTTCAAATCGTATGGAAGCTGCTCTGACGGGAAATGCATCAAACAGGAGTATTCCTCAAGTAACTGCAAGATACATTAAAAAAAATGTGGCTAACTGGCTTCAAACACTAGTACGGGGAGAGCATTGGAGCTGGAATAAACTGCAATGTACCCACAGCCATAGATTGAGTTGCTAAAGTATTCTTTTACAAAGCGATCTGCTGTCATGTATAGACAGTGGGGAGGTAGAAGGAATCCTACATAAGTTGTAGATTTCTTGCTGCCTCCCATGCATCGTACTTGGCGCATTGCCACTTGCTCAGAGAGAAGGAACTCTCAAGCATGTAGCAGTAACATTGGGTTCTGCTGCCACCTGGTGACATTCTTAGAAGGTACAGCCAGCCTGGTTTCAAAGGAAGAATTCTTTGGCAGCTAGCCTGTACCACAGGCCAGAGAGTTTGGGGCATATCTAGGGAGCAGCAAGAGGACTGATGGGCTTTAACAATGGCATAGAGGCATACCTGTTCTTCTGCTCAATGTCACTGTCTGCTCAAAAGACCAGAGGCAAGGTACTGGGGACTGCCAAAAAGATGGGCTAGTACTGGAATAGGATGCCAAGCACAGTTACAGCACAAGGCAGTGTCTCTGTATACTGCATTCATTTTGTAAGATCCTTTTTTTTAAAAAAAATTAATTTTTATTAACCGACCAATCAAATCAAATCACATCACATAAATTCCGAATTACAAAGCCGAATTTTAAATTTTGTTGAGGGGACCCATATTTCAAGATCCGAAGGGGGATTCTGATCATCTTCTTGCTACTGCGTTAATGTCCAAATCAGTCCAAACAAAGTTCATAATTCTATCCAGTCTTATCTTGCTGTTTCCACATCTCATCTTGTTCGTATATTTTCTCTTTTTTCTTTATGATCTCTTCTGATAATCTCCTTAAGCCGATAAACACCAATAATAATCCTGTGTGAATTTTTCCGTTCATCCAATCCTCAAATCGAGATTGTTTCCATATATCATCACATTCATAGATAACATCGCTCTTTCCATCATTAATCACAGAACTGTCGTTCTTAAGTCCCTCTGAGGAGTTTCACCCACAATATAAAAACAGCTCTATTTCTCTATTTCTCCTCCCAGACTTAAGTCCTCCAACAGAACTTCCCAATATGGCGACGGTATTTTTAACTGCGTCATTCCAAAGCCCTTATACATTCCACGCTCTTCTTAAAGCATGCTTTGGTTAGAAAGTTTATCTCCACACAGACATAAATCCACAGCTTAAGTCCTTCAAACGACATTTCTGACTTGTGAGGGGAGGGGATTCTTGTTTAATCACATAGAGGAAAGAAAGGAGTTTTTTTTCCCTCCCCCATCCAGTCCTTTTGCCATACCGAGTCTTGGTGTATCTTCATCTGGTTAATTCTTGTTCTTCCGACTCGTCTTGTTTATCAGAGATCTCTTCTGTTAGCAGTCTTTACTCCCCCTCCTTCCTTGAAATATGTGCATTCGCTTCATCCTAATCGTTTCTTTTGAAGTTCTTGCAGCTAGAGGCGCGGATCAGAGGCAGCGTCCAGGAGCGCCGATATCCACAGAAGGGCATTCTGCCTAGTGCCCCCATCCCCACAAATTCGGGGGTGGTATAGGGCACAGCAGGCAAGGGCAGCCCCCCCCCCACAATCCTGGGGGGGTAGGAAGGCTATTTACTCCCATCACAGCCTCCAAATTACCTCGTGTGGGTCGGAGAGATGTTATTGTCAGCCACCTTCTGATGCGCCCCTAGTGGCCCCCCCCCCATTTTGTAAGATCCAAAGCATGTACTTCGTTGCAGAAGCGCCACGCTGAGTCCAATTATGTGGCAACCACAGGACTTGGGAGAGGAAGCAACAGCTGCTTTATCTCCAACGATATTGGGGGATTTAAAGGCATGTTCCCTGCGGCAGATGCAATCCCTAAAACAGGCAAAAACACATACCAAAAAAAAGGCAATTGAAGACAAGGCTCGGTTGGTAGGGCATGAGACTCTTAATCTCAGGGTTGTGGGTTCAAGCCCCACGATGGGCAAAATATTCCTGCATTGCAGGGGGTTGGACTAGATGACTCTTGTGGTCCCTTCCAACTCTACAAATTCTCTGTCCTTAGGTAGGCATGCTCAGGGAGAAGACAGATACAAGATTTTAAAACTGGTCAAGAGTGCTTGAATGCACTGTTGCTGCTTTGTAAACATAAATACTTTATTGTCAGGGAACCAGGCAGAGGGCCTTCTTGGTAGTGGCACCCGCCCTATGGAACGCCCTCACACCAGATGTCAAAGAGGAAAACAACTACCAGACTTTTAGAAGACATCTGAAGGCAGCCCTGTTTAAGGAAGCTTTTAATGTTTAATAGACTATTGTATTTTAATATTCTGTTGGAAGCTGCCCAGAGTGGCTGGGGAAACCCAGCCAGATGGGCGGGGTATAAATAAATTATTATTATTATTATTATTATTATTATTATTATCATCATCATCATCATCATCATCTATGTTTTCTGAGTGGTTTTAACTGTTTTTGAAAAGGCATTGCGTGTTGTTGCTCTTTTTTGCAGGTAAGGGAAAAAGATTGACTGGGGGTGTGAATAAAAACAAGTGCAGGCTTTATTAAAAGGGGAGGGGAAAGACAACCATGATGGAAAGACTTCACCTAGTTTGTACATACTGTATGTTAATAATGCAAGTCACCTTACAAGGTGGCCTTGAACCTTGGATGAAAAAGCTGCTGCAGCTGTTTTTAAAATCCTGCTTCTGTCTACACACCTCCATTTAAGGATGCGAAATGAGCTAGTGAGGACCAGTGGGGCTGCTCACTCATTTCTTTACTAACAGGAGGAGCACAGTGACAGAGACTAATGGAAAGAAGCTATTGTACGAAGACAACAGCCGCCAAAGCATGGAGACACTCCTCATCTCAACAGCAGTCATAATGTACGCCACCACCAGTTGTGTATGACACCAGGTCACAGTTTGGTACAGCAGCCTCTGAAGCCGGGATTTTGCCACTGAACCAAAAAAGCGATGGAAGCGGTAGTCTGCTTCCACCATAACGGCCCAGCACAGAAACCCAAAGACCTGGCCAGGGCGGAGGCCATGCCACCAGGCTGAGAAGGCAAAGGTGGCCAGGAGAGGATGTGAACTGCTCTGCTGGAATATGAGCCGCCTCAGCCACTGGGCTGTGCTCTTGTTCCATGTTCGGGTGAAGCCAGCAATTGTGTTGGTTGTTTCTAGGGTCCAAATGTCTGTGTCCATGACGACTCTGTCGGCAGCTGCTGAATATTGGTGGTGGCCAAGATCCAGCCCCAAACCGGCAGCAAGGAAGAGGGACTCGTCAAGCAGCCAGTGAGAGTAATAAGTGAGCCTCAAGCACAGGGCTGAGGTCCACACGACGTAAACACAGTCAAAGTGGGTGCAGTCGATTAGGTCGTCCAGAGCGGAAATGTATCCCCTCACGATATTGTTCAACAGGCCCAGAGTCAGAGCCCCCAGGCCTTTTTGAGTGGCAGCCCAGAGGAGACCTGAAGAAAAGGGAGCCTTGGAATACCTTACCCATGCCTGAAATCTGCGGAAAGAGCACAGAGGGCCTCCCAGCAGGGTTGGGAAACACAGCAGATAAGTACACAATGGCAGTGCCTGGAGCAGGTGCCAGCAAAAGGATCTCCTCTCTTCAGATGGCAAGCCCACCCTCACTTTGTTTTCATGGATATCCAAAGCCAGTGAGGTGACTTTCTGGGTCATCAGCATGAGGGCAGAAAGGGCAATGGGCAATCTGAAACAGAGCAAAAGGTTAGCTCAGTGACAGGTAAAAGGTAAAGAGACGCCTGACCATTAGGTCCAGTCGTGGCCGACTCTGGGTTGCGGCACTCATCTCGCTTTATTGACCGAGGGAGCCAGTGTACAGCTTCCGGGTCATGTGGCCAGCATGACTAAGCCGCTTCTGGCGAACCAGAGCAGCACACGGAAACACCGTTTACCTTCCCGCCGGAGTGGTATCTATTTATCTACTTGCACTTTGATGTGCTTTCGAACTGCTAGGTTGGCAGGAGCAGGGACCAAGCAACGGGAGCTCACCCCATCGTGGGGATTCGAACTGCCGACCTTCTGATGGGCAAGTCCTAGGCTCTGTGGTTTAACCCACGGCGCCACCCGCGTCCCTTATAGGAAGCTTACTGTCTACATTAAAGAACTGTATGGATAAACGGCGTAAGGATGATAACTGCAGTGTACATGGACCTGTAATTGGTTAGCTGCCCTGAACAGTCATAGCAAAGACCATGCTCTGTACCACATTCCACTAAAGGAATTACGAACTTAATTCGTTCTGGAGGTCCATTCTTAACCTGAAACCGTACTTAACCTGAGACGTGCTTTCACTAATGGGGCCTCCCGCCGCCGCACGATTTCCGTTCTCATCCTGGGGCAAAGTTCTCAATCCGAGGTACTACTTCTGGGTTAGCGGAGTTTGTAACCTGAAGTGTTTGTAACCCAAAGTATTTGTAACCCAAGATAAATGTAAAGGGACCCCTGACCATTAGGTCCAGTCGTGGCCGACTCTGGGGTTGCGGCGCTCATCTCGCTTTATTGGCCGAGGGAGCCGGCGTAAAGCTTCCGGGTCATGTGGCCAGCATGACTAAGCCGCTTCTGGCGAACCAGAGCAGCGCACGGAAACGCCGTTTACCTTCCCACCGGAGTGGTACCTATTTATCCACTTGCACTTTGACGTGCTTTCGAACTGCTAGGTTGGCAGGAGCAGGGACTGAGCAACGGGAGCTCACCCCATCATGGGGATTTGAACCGCCGACCTTCTGATCGGCAAGCCCTAGGCTCTGTGGTTTAACCTACAGCGCCAGCCACGTAGCCCAGCTCAGTGACAGAAGAGCACACAATTTGCATTTAAGAGCCACCAAGTTTTAGGTCTCGGCAATTCTGTTAGAGAGCCTATGTCACATCCCATTTTAAGCATCCGAAAGAATGCCAGGAATTGTAGTTTTGGTGAGGGTGCTGAACATTTTTTGTTAGATATCTCAAACCGCCTCACAGAACTAAAATTCCCTGGATCCCATGGGCAACAGGAAATGGCTAATAAACCAGTCTGTCTGGTTTATATTTTCCCGCTTCAAAAGTAAATAGAGCTGCTTGTCTTTTAAGTCTTGTGTACTTTTCATGGCTCAGGAGCTGACTTTTACGGAGATCCTTTTAAGAGCAAAATTTGTATGTGTATTCTTGCCCACCTTGGGTCTCTTTTTGCAGGGAAGTCTGATCCGGGAAGTGAACAGAAGGGGTGGCGGCAACACATCACTTACTCAAAAGTCCAAATGTGCTCATGGAAATAAAAAGGTTGACTATCCCTCCTCAAAAAGAAGCTCACTGATTAGTGATAGTTTAGTTTGTCCTAATAAAGGTATTTTTATTAGGGTGGCGCTGTGGGTTAAACCACAGAGCCTAGAACTTGACGATCAGAAGGTTGGCGGTTCGAATCCCCACCACGGGGTGAGCTTCTGTTGGTCGATCCCAGCTCCTGCCAACCTAGCAGTTCAAAAGCACTTCAAAGTGCGAGTAGATAAATAGGTACCGCTCTGGCGGGAAGGTAAACAGCGTTTCCGTGCGCTGCTCTGGTTCACCAGGAGTGGCTTAGTCATGCTGGCCACATGATCCGGAAGCTGTATGCCAGCTCCCTCGGCCAATAAAGCGAGATGAGTGCCGCAACCCCAGAGTTGGTCACAACCGGACCTAATGGTCAGTTGTCCCTTTACCTTTACCTTTAATAAAGGTATTACACTACTGCTCCTGTTTATACTGGGTATAATTCCCATTAAGTTCAATGACAATAAAATTAGTAAGAAAACCAGTTATACCACCCAGGAAAGGACACTTTGAATCCAATTGGTCTGTCTACTGTTTCTATGTGTACTGAAATAATGCAAAGTAAACTCCTCCGAGACTAACTCCGTCAACCAACCGATACACTAGACTAGAGCGAGCACATCTTTACCTGATACATGCAGCTTCTTGTAGGTAATATTCTTTGTAATGCAGCCCAAGATGGCACAGTGTTTGCCAGGTCATCTGAATGAAGAATGCCCATGTGTGGACCTGCTGTGGGCCAGCGGAATGGATTACGGCAAGAGAGGAGAAGGCAGATATAAGCAGCAGCAGGGCATAGCACCCCATAGCAGCCCAGGCCAGGAGGAAACCACCCACCAGGAGGAAAGTGTACCTAAAAATAAACAGACGTGTTTTCAAAGTCATGGTGGCAATTTTCAGGGTAAGAAGTTTCCCGCCTGGCAGGAAAGTGAACAGACGGGGAGGCGGGAATGCCACGTAGAAGTGTGGCAAGGCAGTGTTGGGGAGATCTGGGAATCTGTGCTCCCTGTGTAACATCTAGTTCCCAACCAACCACTTTGGTAACAAACAAAAAATCAGCCAGGTCATCACACTAGTTCAACCTGCATCGATACCTAAAGATGCCATTTGGTTCACTGTTAGAAATAAACATAAATTATTAGCACACATCCAATTCACACAGGACTGCCTCTTGTTGTTGCTTAGTCATTTAGCCGTGTCCGACACTTCGTGACCCCATGGACCAGAGCACGCCAGGCACTCCTGTCTTCCACTGCCTCCCGCAGTTTGGTCAGACTCATGCTGGTAGCTTCGAGAACACTGTCCAACCATCTCATCCTCCGTCGTCCCCTTCTCCTTGTGCCCTCCATCTTTCCCAACATCAGGGTCTTTTCCAGGGAGTCTTCTCTTCGCATGAGGTGGCCAAAGTATTGGAGCCTCAGATTCAGGATCTGTCCTTCCAGTGAGCACTCAGGGCTGATTTCCTTAAGAGTGGAGAGGTTTGATGTTCTTGCAGTCCATGGGACTCTCAAGAGTCTCCTCCAGCACTATAATTCAAAAGCATCAATTCTTCGGCGATCAGCCTTCTTTATGGTCCAGCTCTCACTTCCATACATCACTACTGGGGACTGCCTCTTAAGACAGTACAAAAGCTTCAACTGGTGGAGAATTCTGTGGCATGCTATTGGAAGAAAGATGGCGGGGAGCTCCAGTTGTAACTGATTTTCTTCCCAGCTAGTTGTTGCTTTTAAAGTGCTGCACATTCCTATACAGGGCTTTTTTTCAGCCGGAACTTGCCGGAACTCAGTTCCAGCACCTCTCAGGTGGGTGCCATTGCCATTATAAGAGAAAAAAGGAAGGCGTTCATGGTGAGTTCCGGCACCTCTTTTTCTAGAAAAATAACACTGTTCCTATAAGAAAGATAGGAAAGTTCTGGTCCTTCAGATGTTGTTGGACTACAGCTCCCAACATCCCCGACCTTTGGCCATGCTAATTGTGACTGATGGGAGTTGGAGTCCAACAACATCTGGAAGGCCACAGATTCCCCATCCTCTGGTATATACAATAGCCTCCTGTCCACACAGATAAGGCCTCTTTTGTACGTTCCTTTTTCCTAAGGACAGAACCGTTCAGGCATGGAGAATATATCTTCCCATTTTGGTACCCAGAGGTGGTTGCTAGGTACTTAAAAGACCTGGGAGACCAACAGATGACACAAATGTCTATAAAATTAGCATGTGATACTTTACAGGTATAGATGTTCCTGGGAAATTACAGTGGCAAATGGTTGGAGCTCACCTACACTGTTTTGCTATGTCCCCAGCTTCCTCAGAATTTTTTCCCCAGAAAATTGTTTTATTTTTATTTCTTTAAGGAGAAAGGGGCAGGAAATCTAGGGCACGCTACAAATGACATGAGACTCAGCCCCCCATAAACATCATGGCTGGTGGCACTTTCTTTTGCATCTCACTTTCTGGAAAACAATTGGATTGGCCCTTTCCTTACCAATTCACTTTTCAAATCTCCTCCTTATCCACAGGTGAAAACTTTTTCTTTCTCAAGTGTTTCCTAGTTCCTGATACATTGAGCTTATTATTTTCTAGAAGCTGCTGTTTTTTGATTGGCTTTCTTTTTAAGTATATATTTTTAAAAAGATTTCTTAGTTATTGTTTCTATTGTAAACTTTAAAATTCTTGTTTTAGACCTTGCTTTGTTTGCTGCTTATTAGGCAAGAAAAATATAACATTTTTTTAAAAAGTAATAATAGGGGGGAAAAATAGATAATGATACCTACCTTGCATTTATAGAAAGATTCCCAGAGGCACAGAGATAATGGAACAAAATAGCAAATGGAAAAGCAGCTAGCTGGTATAAAGCTGTGGCTTGAAAGAAAAACGGGGTTTCCCAGTTCATGAAGACCCTCATTCTCAAAATGCTATTTTGCTGGTTATCTTCCAGTCCTTTCTCACCTAAATGAAGTGTCTCAACAAACGTTGTTGTCTTTTCCCTATATTGGAGTAGGCTAGTAATGAAAATCACCCAGATAATGAAGGTCAGCGAATCAGAGTTTATAACTATGGAGACGGGACATTCTGCCTAAAATATACCATTGAGGTATATTATTTGTGCAAATGCCATTTTCACTGAGCTGCTGTGTCACGAAAGTCGGATTGTCACCCGATGAGGCCCTTTTGAATACTGATTATGAGGTGGAAGCAAAGATAAGAGCCTCATACCAAACTGATAACATCTCCATGACACACAAAATTGCAATACTTTCAAAGAATCAGAGACGCATAAATGGTTGTTCTTATCCTTCCCTTATAATATCCATCATAAACATTACCAAAAGAATACACAGTAAGTCAATATAAAAAATGGCAACTGTGGTAGGCATGAATAGAAAATTGTTTTGATACATTGGATTGTAGTGGGTATAAGGGTCAGTACAATAGTTAGGTTTCCAAGCGCCCATATTTCTCACAGATGGTCCATGGCTAAAAGCAGGCATGCAGTGAGTTTCACTAGAAATGAAAAGTAGAAGAAAAACTGAACATCCCTTCCCTGTGTGCCACAGTCCTGGTAAATATCACTCCCATCCATTGCCAGCCCACCCATAAGGCAGGCTGAGGCAGCCACCTTGGGTGGCAGAAGCCCAAGAGGCAGTGCCCCCACAAGTGCCCTTGGTCACCCTACCACCACTGGGGGAGAAGCAGCAAGATGGCACCAACATTTTAAGAGATCTTGTGCACTTCACAAAATCTTGTGAGAACTCTGCGAGATCTCATGGTCACTGTTGCTGCTTCGTGGGCACTCCCCAGGTAGGGGAGGCTGTTGTGGGGCAGCACCTTCCTGATGCACTTCGGGTGGCAAAAAGGGATGAGCTACCCCTGCCCAGAGCCACCTGTTGGAAAATTCCCAATGGTACACTTAGATATGTGATGTTTGGCCATAGTTGACTTGGGAATCAAACCCATGCTGCTCCCCTCATCCCACCACAACACTGGGGAGGCTTGTAGCAGTTATTAGTGTGGGTCAGAGCCCAACTAGGGCAGCTAAGGGTGAAATATCCCCTAGGCCGTGAAACCCATTGCGGGACCTTGAGCTGTCTCCTGCCTCAACTACCCCACACTGTTACTGTGAGGATAACCTTAATCTCAGAGTTGTGGGTTGGAGCCCTGCACTGGACAAGAGTCCTGCACTGCAGGGGGTTTGTTTGTGCACGAGCCGATCCTCGTGATCCCTTCCAACTCCACAATTCTATGATTGTGCGTTTCTGAGCACAATTCGGAGTGTTGATGCTGACCTTTAAAGCCCTAAACAGCCTCTGCCCAGTATATCTGAAGGAGCATCTCCACCCACATCGTCCAACCCGGACACTGAGGTCCATTGCCGAGGGCCCTCTGGCGGTTCCCTCACAGCGAGAAGTGAGGTTGCAGAGGGCCTTCTCAGTGGTGGCTCCCGCCCTGTGGAACGCCCTCCCATCAGATGTCAAGGAAATAAACAACTATCTGACATTTAGAAGACATCTGAAGGCAGCCCTGTTTAGGGAAGTTTTTATGTTTGTGCTTTTAATATTCTGTTGGGAGCCGCCCAGAGCAGCTGCTGAGGCCCAGCCAGATGGGCATGTAATAAGTACTATAAGTCAGTACTATAAGTGAAATATACTCGGAGTCGAGAATGGATTTCATGCTCTTTATTCAGCTCATAGTGGTGAGGAGGAATGGAAGTTCCCCCACAATATCTGCTTTATATACACTATTTACACAATGGGCCCCACGTGATTGGCTAATTCCAGGATTCTCCTGTAGGCCAATCAGGTTGTGGATTCACTTCCACCTGGAGCTGGATTGGGTGGCTCCTGCAGACCAATCAGACTGCTGTATTGTTCTAGGACCAATCAGACTGCTGCATTTTGGATCCTATTCAGCTCAGTACATAACAATAAGTAATATAAGTAATAAATTAAACTATAAGTAAGTAAAATAAGTAATATAAGTAATAAATTGTTGTTGTTGTTGTTGTTGTTCCATGAACCATTGTGGGAGAAGCAAGCACACCACTTGAGCATGATATAAATGTACTGCACTAACACAAATGCTGGCTCCCATGTTTGTCTGTTTCCACGAAAAAAAATCAAGACACATAACATTGTGTGCCGGGTATTAAGAGGTTAATACACGCCGCCGCACGATATTGAGCGCATCAATGGTAACCCAGAACGAGGGGAGGAGTTACACGCTCCAGGGCGGGTTCTCATTGGCTACGTCGCTCCCATCCGGCCCGAGCGCAAGGCGCGGGGAATCGATTCCCGAGGGCCACGATCGCCACTCCTTTCCTTCTCGTTGGTATCAGCGGGCTGCGTCGCCGCCGGCCGAGTAATGGATGAGAGGGCGGACAAGATGGCGGAGAAGGCGCAGAAGAGGTGAGCAGAATCGAGCTGGTCGGGTCTCTTTGGTGGTGGGCTTAGCGGCGGCCTGGTGGATGGCAGGTCTGCAATTTGGCTAAGAAGGTGGGCGGGAGCCCCGGTCTTCTTCCCAGTTCTCTTTTGCCCGGTGCAGAATTAAATTTAGCATTATTCTCGCCATTTGCCACGGCTGCCCCTTTATTATTCTCTTTTTACCTTGTATGCATTTCGCCTCTGCGTAGAAATGTCTCGCAGCCGCTGCTGCCCGATCTGTTTCATGGCCTTTTGGCGCCACTAGATCCATTTTTCTCTCCACCGGATCCCGTACCAGTGAAGTGAGGATAAGACTCCACGCATCTGATATGAAAGATCAATAAAAAAAGGGGGTCTTAGTCTGATACTTTTCCAGCTTGGAACTTCTTACTCCGTAGTTTTTATTTATATGCTTTACCGCTTATTCAGGCTGCTGCTTTTTTATACCAGGGGGAGAGAATCTTTTTAATAAAAACAAAAACAGCCCCACTCTCCTGTTGCTTTGCCTTGTAGAGAAAAGTAAATAGGACATGAAAGTTACACACGCGCTGCTGTCCTGTGCCCTTGCCTTAGAAGTCAGCCCCACTGAGCTCAACTGGGCGTATTTTTAGTAGACATGTATAAGAATTCCATTGTTTAAAAATGCTTTCCTCCTTTGGGGGGGTGGAGCAGTCTAATTGTCTGTGTCACAGACTTCAGGCTTGTGAAACATTTTGTTTTTTTACTAGAACCCTGGTTAGGTTTCTTAATTTTTGTAGCCCCCTCCCTGAGGGACACGATGGAACCCTGAGATGAACTGTCAAGCCTAAATTCTCTTAGCACCCCTTTCTTGAACTGCCCATCAAGGAAAATTTGGAGCCACTGTAACTGACCCCTGTTACATCTGGGTAACAGCACCCAGCTCTCCTAATCTGGAATTAAAAGCCACTGAGTGGGTCTCAGCTTGATTGAAATATTCTGGATATATTTTCATATACATGTGCTTTCAAGGGAGATGCAAAACATTGTTGTTGTTTTTTGTTGATGTTCTCTTTTCCAGTGTAAAGATTGCTCCTGGAGCTGTTGTCTGTGTCGAGAGTGAAATCAAGGGTGATGTGACAATTGGTAAGAGAAAGTAATTTGTGTGGTTACTGTAGTTGTCAGAATCTCCAATTTGAATTATTGTCAGATTAAAGATACCAGTCTACAAATAGTCTCTTAATTCTCACATATTGCTTAACGTTTTAAAACAGCATTGCCTTCAGTACGAGACAATCCCTTGATTGTACAGGGGAAGATAATCCAAACAAGATCAATGTTTGTTTACAGTGTGGGTGGGGAACCTGCTGTGGAAATTGTTAGACTCCCAACTACCATCAGCCCCAATCAACCTGGCCAAATGTGAGGGATGTTGGGAGCTGTAGTCAAATCATATCTGGAGGGCCACAGGATTTCTGCTCATAGTTTGCAACAATGAACAGTGAGTAGAACCAGTGAGCCGATCAGAAGTACAGGTGCTCATGAGGGCAAATAGTTTGTGATCTGAAATACCCCTTCCATATTTATGTGGTGCTCTTGCTGAGAATGTAAAAAGCTTGTGGGTGTGATGGCCTGGGATTCGGATTCGGATGCTGAACCTGAGGAATCCCAGCCTGCACAGGATTCCCCTCCTCCAGAACCAGCTGAGCCGGGGCTGGGGCTTGAGCCTGAAGGGTCCTCACCTGTGCTGGATCCCCAGGTGCAGGCACCAGCTGAGTCTGCTCCAGCTCCTGAGGGGGTGGAGGACCCATTGCCTGCAGGTGCTCCACTCTCAGCCCTGTCAGGGGAAGCTGAGGTTGCCTCTGGGTCCGGTAACCCTCCAGCTTCTCCTGAGCTGCAGAGGCTCAGGGCAGAGAGGCGGAGGGAACTAAGTTCCCACAGGAGGAGTGCTTGCCTCCAGGCCAGGAGAGGCAAGTCGCCTGAGGATCGGGGCCGCCCTGTGCCTCGGGACAGATAAAAAGCCAGCCAGCCTCAGTCCCAAGTTGCAGGATTAACTTCGTTGGTTGTCAGTTCCTGCCTGAACCCTGTCCTGCCGGAGCTCCTGACCTCACCCGACTACCTGCCCTGCATCCAACTTCAACTTTTACGGACTGCCTCCATACTGCACCTTCGACCTTGGACTGGACTCGGACCTCTCAGTTAGCCCACGGGACCAGCACAGTTGTGTTCCAATAGTCCCTTCCACTGTTTGAGAATATAGTTGGTAGTTGAGATTTCTTATTGGTTCCATGTACATCCATGGTAGCCATGTATTGAGACAAATTGATACTGCTGCCCCATACCCTCTGTTTTCATAAAGTAGTTGGAGAAATATCTAACCGCTATACTCAGGAGTAAACTTTTGAGTATTTCCTACAGGGCCTAGGACCGTGATTCACCCCAAAGCACGGATCATTGCAGAAGCTGGACCAATAGTAATCGGGGAAGGTAACCTCATAGAAGAGCAGGCAATTATCATAAATGGGTATGTATGATATGTTGAACTTTTCTTGGGCCAAAATGGTGTACCTTGGGAAGGCCTTAGCGAATGCAGCCAAAAGCCAGCTTAATTTTTAAAATGTAAATGCAAGCATAATATTATGCAGTCTACCCTACACTAATAATAATAATAATAATAATAATAATAATAATTTTATTATTTATATGCCGCTTACCTGGCTGGGTTTTCCCAGCCACTCTGGGCAGCTTACAAACCATACATATCATAGCTTTCTGTCCCCTGCAGCTTCTCTCAGTGGTGGACCACATGTTATGTGTGCAGAAGATCCCACCCATATCACCTTGGTTATACCAGTGAAAAAGATCCTGGCAACCCCTTGCTTGAGTTCTTGGAAAGCTGCTATCAGACTGAGCAGATAGTACTGAGCTAAATGGACCATTGGTCTTATTCAACATAGAAAGCTGCCTTGTGCTACCCAAAGCCACTAAAACTTAAATCTCCCAGGCCACCTGCCTTGCTCTTTTTTCTTGGCATCTTCCTAAACGGCCTCTTCTCATTTGCTCAGTTTTGCAGGGACAGTGTAAGTTCAGTGTTAAAATGGAAAGAAATGCAAAGCTTCTTCATGAATGCACTGTTGCAGATAGGTAGTAAATCTTCATGTTGAATCCTTGTGCTTTATTTTATGTTCCACTGTGGAGGGGATATGCCACTAAAGAAAGCACGTGTAAGAAATCTAAGATAAAGAACAAAGCTTCCTATAATCCTTGCATGCCTTCAGTAGTTCACCGTTGTACACATTTAATTTGATCACACAGTATTTTACGTGATTTTTAAATTCCCCTTACCCCACTACAGTGGTACCTCAGGTTACATACGCTGCAGGTTACAGACTCCGCTAACCCAGAAATAGTGCTTCAGGTTAAGAACTTTGCTTCAGGATGAGAACAGAAATCGTGCTCTGGTGGCACGGCAGCAGCAGGAGGCCCCATTAGCTAAAGTAGTGCTTCAGGTTAAGAACAGTTTCAGGTTAAGAACAGACCTCTGGAATGAATTAAGTACTTAACCAGAGGTATCACTGTATTTTGAAGAAGAAGAGGAGTTTGGATTTGATATCCCGCCTTTCACTCCCTTTAAGGAGTCTCAAAGCAGCTCACATTCTCCTTTCCCTTCCTCCCCCACAACAAACACTCTGTGAGGTGAGTGGGGCTGAGAGACTTCAGAGAAGTGTGACTAGCCCAAGGTCACCCAGCAGCTGCAGGTGGAGGAGCGGGAAAGCAAACCCAGTTCCCCAGATTACGAGACTACCGCTCTTAACCACTACACCACACTGGCTCTCTTTGATATGCATTTTGTGGTGTTCTCTTAGTGCAGAGAAATTAAATGGGAATTAGTTTGATCTCCTGAATTCTTCAGTTGCACAGCACTACTGGTGTCTTCTTTAGCCTGGCAGAGCATATTGCTCTACTGTGCCAACAGTCACCTGTCCTCATTGGCTCTGCAGTCTGAACAATCAGCTTTCTAACTCCTAGAAAAAGGTGAATACAAGGTACTTTCTATACTGAAGGACTTTTCCTCATCTGTATCCATTTTTCAAAGCTAAATGTTTTGGGAAGCTGCCCATAATTTAGTTTTTCACCAGATATATTTAAATTGCTATGTAGATGCAAAGGTGGATCTTTCGCCCAGCAACCTCCTTTCAAATTCACACCTGTTCTGGTATTCCAGAAGAAACAGACTTGCCTTTGGGGCAAAGGGTAGAGTGGGGAATCAAAAGCAGCAGCCCAATGCCATTGCCAAAGTTTTAACTGTCCAAACCTTATAGCTACCAAAGATAAAGACAGTTCTCAATCTTTCAACAAAGACATGGTTTTTTTGTGATGTAGAAATGTTAATGAATGTTTCAATCCTTTTACAGCTGTCCTGAAAACATTACCCCTGATACAGAGGAGGTGGGAGCCAAACCAATGATCATTGGCACCAACAACGTCTTTGAAGTTGGCTGTTGTATCCTTCAAAAGAGCAGTGTTTTTTAAAGTGAGAAAGTGTATGTTTGCACAGGACAGGGCTACTTTAGCAATGAAAACACCAGTTCTGTGATGGAGTGATTTATTACACACACACACACACACACGCAACCCTTTTCACAAAGCAGAATTGTCTGAGTTTAATGACCTATCTCAGATTCCACAGGTGTTGTTAGTCACTTATATCTCTTTTGTTCCCAGTAACTTCCACCCATAGGCATTTTGTTCATGTTCAAGGCAAGAGCTTCCTGATAATGATGGGGTGTGGGTGTGTTTGTAGTAAACCTCAATGATATTTTAATTCAAGAACTGCATGCATTTATTTCACTACACAAATGTGCTGCATGGGCTCGCTGTGCCTTTCATTTCACAGGGAATGTGTGGCAAAATAGATGTGTCTGCTCAGCATGTTGCAGCATTCACAACAAACATGGTAAACACATGCTAGTTTCCCTAATGTGAAAAAAAGCAACCCTGCATTGTGAGCAGTGACCTCTCTCTTGGGACAAAAGGCCTCAAAGTTCTGTTTTGTTTTGTCTAAAGGGATCAACCATTGCAGCTGGTGTTCCAAACTCAAATGCGCAATCTTAAATAAATGCAATCCAAAGGACCAGGTAACGAAAGCAACCCTCCTACAAGGCAAGCAAAGCAATGCAAAACATCACATTTAATATCATTACAGTTTCCCTTGTTCTTTCCTTACCTGTAATATTCTCCATGTTGGCTGTGTTTTAAACCTAGTTGACAGCCTTCTAGTACAACAAGCTGTGAGTTTTGTTTAATCTCCTGTCTATCTTCGCCTTCCTTTTCTGCCTAATTTTAACACAGCTTATAACCGTTGAAGCCACAGAACAGTGGTAGGAGCACCTTTGCTGTAACAAGAGGGTCGTTCACAATCATAACAGCTAATTGGTTGCTCACAAAGAACTTCCCACTGATCTTTTACTTGTTCTGCTGAGAGAATTCCACTCACTGTTCATTCCTTCTCTGTGGCAGTTTGTAAGAGCCTAGCAGAAGAACCTAGGACCACAGAGCTGGCTGCTCTGAGCATTGAGGAAAGCCTTTGAGCACACACTCAAAGGTCCATAGGCAGCTTTTGATTAAACTAAAGACCACTGGTCCAGGAGCTTTCAAATCACACTTTACTGAAGCAGGCCACTTGTCCTGAACGCCTTTTCAAAACATGGGGATTCTTCAGAGAGGATTATATTAGGAGGAATCCAGGATAAGGGAGCATGCAAACTAAATATCTAAGTACTCTTCTTAACTGTGAACTTACAGATTCCCAGGCAATGAAAATAGGAGACAACAATGTAATTGAGTCCAAAGGTATGTATGTTGATTAAGTGGGAAATCGATAACTGGGGGTTATTTTTTTGTTTCTGGTTTTTGCATTGTATTACATATTCTCTATGCTTCTGAGGACCACTCCGACATCTGAAAATAGTGGAACGGTTTATGTGAAAAACCAATTTTGATAAATATATTGCAAGTCCGTAGTAGCATGCTTAAAATTGCAGCCTTGCTTTAAAAAAAAAAAAAAGTTTGACCAAGACCGTAGTTTTGGAAACAGCACACACACACTCCATTTGCAAACTTTCTTAATTCTGAGTTTCCCCATGTTCTCCTAGGGCAGTCGTGGGTAACCAAAGGCCCTCTAGATGTTGCTGGATTAAAACTCCCATGAGCCCTAGCCGGCTTGGTCAGGGATGATGGGAGATGTAGTCCAGCGTCATCTGCAAGGTCACTGGGTCCTCATCCCTATGCTTGATGGTACAGACTGTGGCAATTTAAGACCAGAGTGTGGTTGCACATCCCTGGGTTGTTTACACTTGGAAATAAGCAGTGGACCTGGTGGTACTCAGAAGTGAGACTGCACATGATTGCAGCCAAAATCTGATATCAGCTGATACCTCAAACAAGTTGAGTTCTAGAAACAAGACAAAAAATTTGGGATGTTACAGAGGAGTAACAGAGAGTAGACTTATGTTGATGATGCTGGGCCAAAGAACAGACCACTGATGAGACTTCATGACGTTGCTCATTCTAGATGGGTTTTTTGTCTCGGCAGCATTTGTGGGTAGGAACGTGATCCTGACAAGTGGCTGCATCATTGGCGCCTGCTGCAATGTCAACACCTACGAAGTCATCCCTGAAAACACGGTCATCTATGGAGCTGACTGTCTCCGGCGAGTGCAGACTGAGCGGCCCCAGGTAGGTGCATGACAGGAGGTCAACCTTTGCTAATATGTTGCCAGTTGTTCCTCCCTTCCCAACAACATGACTTTGCCAACCCAGTCTGGTCTATCAGGACGGAGAGCCACTTGCTTCCTTTTCTTTCCCATCAACTCAGCACTCCCGTGTCTACTGTGCAAAGGCCAGTGGCAGTGGAGCAACTGATTTGTCAATGAGAATGTCATACGAAACCTGGCACAAACCTAAACACAATTTTTAATCCTCTCTGAGAGGGTCACTTGTAAGAGTCCATGATGCCTGGCCCTTGACAAGCCACAGTTTGCAATCAGTTTCTAATTCTGGTTTTCTAGCTGATTGCAAACTGTGGCTTATCAAGGTCCAGGCATCATGGACTCTTACAGGTGACCCACTCAGAGAGGATTAAAAAGCCTGTTGTCTTTCTCAGCTTGGCTGGGGGGTAGGAGAGACTCCCAGGATGGGGGCGGATAGGAAATAGAAATGAAGTTTCTGGTTAATTGATCATTTGCTTTCCCTTATGTTGTCTTTAAGGATGCTTTGGTTCTTTATCCCATGAATTATTTTCCCTGGTAGAGCAGAACATAAGCAAATGAATTCAGACTGTCAGTATTATCACCTATCTGGTGCTTCCCCCCCCCCCATTTTTTCACACTGCTGTTCTTTCTAGCCACAAACATTGCAGCTGGACTTCCTAATGAAAATCCTGCCAAACTATCACCATCTTAAAAAAGCCATGAAACCAACTTCTACACCTGTGAAGAGCTGAAGACACCCTTCTCCCAGCATGCTTACCAGAACTGCAGTGCTTTCAGGACTCTTGTGTCCGCAAGAACTAACTCACTTAACTTACATGCTCGTTCATTCCATTGTGCAACATAATGTTATTTATTAAAATGTTGAAAAATGAAATGTTGTGTGTGATGTATTCCCCTCAGTGGGTTGTCTTCTTCTTAACCGATAAAAACTTGCCTTTCAGTGGAGGAGTGAAGTTGTTTTAGCATTACAGGAGGTATAATTTTCAGTGGAATTGGGGCACGTTAAATGCCATAGGCACAATTCAGGCAAAGCGATGCACTTTTAAAAAGTTCCACTGCAGTCAGTGGGAGATGCTTAATTCTCACGCTGAAACTTACAAATTCATAACTACCTGCTCAGAGGTGGGGAACCTGTGTCCACTCTTCAGATGTTGCTGGATTTCAACTCCCAACATCCCTAACTATTGGCCAGTCTGACTGCGGCTGATGGTAACTGGAGTTCAACAATGTCTGGAGGGAAGCCACAGGTTCCTCACTCCTGGCCTGGATTGCACCTCAAGTGTATTAGAGCTCCTCATCATTTCTCTTAGATGTGTCTCTCTTCAGACAAAAATGGTGCAAGAGTGAGACCCTAAGTGCTGTTCTGGCAGGAACTAATGGGAGTTGGGAATCCAGAACATCTGAAGGACACCAGATTGGCAAAGGCTGCCCTGAGTAATCCAGCTGTGACTGGTTATCGCCTCCCTTTGGCTTTATAATACACTCTCACACTCCATCCACAAGGCATTTATGTGAGAGAGTGTGAGAGAGTATCTGTACCTTACTGAGCAATCCTATACCTAAGTGTGAAATTCTAAACACCCTTAGGAGTAAGGCTCCTTGGAAAGGGTGGGACTTTCTTTTGACTAACCTGTGCAGGTGTGCTCTGTGACCCAAATCAGCTTAAGTCATAGCCCCCAATAAATCTGTTATATTTCCCCCCAGTTGCTCAAAATGTGCAATCCAGGGAAAGTTAAGCATCCTTAAAACCTGTAAAGGAACTAAGCCCACTGATTTCAACTGTACTTAAAGTATTCTTACATTTATCTGGATTGTACCTTCCCTTTGGTTTTTTCCCTGGGGTGAGAGTTGTCCAGTACAGCAGTACCTAATTTCTGTATTCACTGGAGGTTTTTAAACAGATGTTGGATGGCCACCTGTCAGGGATTGTTTAGCTGTGATTCCTGCATTGCAGGGAGTTGGACTAGATGACCCTCTGGGATCCCTTCCAACTTTACAATTCTCTGGGGCTACTCTATTAGTCCAGAGGCCATCAGCGTAACACAAACTAATAATCCCAGAAGTTGCCAGGTTCTGCCATAATTGGGGTGCCAGGAAGCAAGATGGGTTTTCCAATTATGGAAAACATGCATGCAGGCATATATGAGGCCTGGCAAAACAACGAAAACACTGCGATATTCCTGAGCTGTTTCTCCCTCCGGAATGGAAGCTCCTCATGGAGAACCATTTGCTGAAGATCTCAGTGAGTAGATAGACTCTCAGATTGAAAATGCTTTGTAAACAAAAATATTCTGCGACTGATGGTAACTTCATTAGCATCCTCTAAACATAGCTGTCCCAATCTGTGCAAAGGCCTGCTTCCAGTGGTGGGTGCGAGTGCTTGTTCCGGCTCCATGGAATTCCCTAGATGTCAGTGTGGTGTAGTGGTTAAGAGCAGTAGATTCGTAATCTGGGGAACTGGGTTCACTTCTCCACTCCTCCACGTGCAGCTGCTGGGTGACTTTGGGCTAGTCACACTTCTTTGAAGTCTCTCAGCCTCACTCACCTCACAGAGTGTTTGTTGTGGTGGAGGAAGGGAAAGGAGAATGTTAGCCGCTTTGGGACTCCTTCGGGTAGTGATAAAGCGGGATATCAAATCCAAACTCCTCTTCTGTGATACGATACACGACTGCATCTAGGGCTGCTAGCAGTTGCATGCACAGAGAGCTGGACTGGGAACCAAGATCTCAAGAACACCTAAAGTGTGTGAACTTCTGCCATCCTCATGCTGACCCTAAGGCTCATTAAATAGAGTTGCAAATTGAGAACATGTTTCTCTGTATACACAAGGGGCTGAAGCCTTGACTTCCCTTACTATTTTCTAATCCAAATCTCTCTTGCCCCTGTGATTAATTGTCCCTTAGAAACAACCTTGACATGCCTCCACAAACGTTAGGACTTTTTAACATACAAAATATCCACTCTGCCCTTGGGGAGTTCCAAAAGTGTATATTATTCTTACGCAAGGGTGATTGCTGGAGAGTGTGACCTAGTGGGTAGACTTGATGGATTTGGGATGAAGAGTTCCGTAACACACACTGGGTGACATTGAGCGAGGCAAGTTTCTGTCTCAGCCTAGTGTTGCTGTGAGGATAACCGGGAGAACCGAAGGAGATGACCTTCAGTGAAGATGTGATCAATCATGCCATGTGTGCTGTAACCTGAGTTCCACGAATGGAAAACAATGTTTCAGGATAAATGTCTGCCATGGAGCTGGTGCAAGAGGACATCATTTTGGTTCCCCAAAGAAACCATCCAGTGATCCAGCATAAAAAAGCAAAATACTAGCTCATACTTCTTTTGACTTAAACAAAAGCTTATAGTGCTTCCTGGATAGCTCAGTTGGTTAGAGCATGGTGCTGATAACGCCAAGGTTGCAGGTTCGATCCCTGGTGGGATCAGCTGCCCTTTGATCCCTGCCCAAAGCAGGGCTTGCTGCCCCAGGCCTTGGTGTGAATGTGATTCAGCAGTACTCTTACCTGTGATGCAGAAGGCTGTTGGTGGAGCAATACAATCTGAAACACACATGCCCATTGTGTGCTTGTATGTACAGAACAAGTTGTGTGGTTCTTTGTGTCCTGGTCGCTTTCTTTGATGACATAGCCAAATATAGCTAACCAAAACAGCAATAGCTAGCCATTCCCTCCTCCTTGTTGTTTCCATATCTTTCTCATAACACACATGCCCGCTAATCGTGAGGATTTCTTAAGGAGATGTTAAAGCTCGATGCTTCAAAGATACCAGATGAATACAGAGCAACATCTCCCTCCCCACATTCCAGTGGTGAAAAGTCATTAGAGGAAAGGCTAATGAGTTAACATTGCTGTGATAAGGGAGCTGGAATAGCTTGACCTCCAAGAGGCCCCAGAGTTGAGGAAAAAATGGGTAAATACTCTAAACAATGCTGGGGAAAGCACAGGAAATTGGACTGCCAGGGAGTAGGCCCGTCAAACCAAACAGTATGAATGGTCCAGAGGAACTAAAGGTCTCTTAGGTTGTTCTAATTCTGCCTGACTCTGAGACTAAAATGCTTTTGTGTGTCTGCATCAAGCCCAGGGCATTTACATCAGTGGTGCAGTATATGGTGAAGAGAGAAGGGAACACTTTGTGTATGTGTGTGTGTGCATGTGAGAGAAAATGTGTAGAAAATGGGCACAGAGTTGCTGAACCACAGCTCCCATAATCCATGGCCATTGGCCACGCTTTCTAGGTCTGACAGGAGTTCAGCAAAATCTGGAAGGCCAAAGGTTTTCATAAATGAGGCACACTGTGTATTCTACTCGTTTGTCCCCGGCATTGAGCAAACTTCCTCTATACATGGAGGGTCCATTCAGCTCTCATGGCAAATACCCACTGAGATTTATTTGTCTATTCCAGTTTTGAAGCTCTCAAAGTATCTTATCACCAGCAGGCAGGAACATGGGACTGGCTCTCCAGGATCACTTGATTCAAGTTCAAAGCACACACTTTCCCTCAAAGAATTCTGGATATGATAGTTTAATTTCCAGCAAACCTAAACAGAATTCCTTTTGAGGGAAAGAATGCGCATCGTGTGTGCTTTAAATCATCTATACCAGGGGTCAGCAAACTAAGGCCTGGGGGTTGGATGCGGCCCCCAGGCTCGTAAATCTGGCCCGCAGACCCTGCCGCCGCTCGGTCAGCCCCCACCCGCTGCGGATGCCTTGCTGCGCGGGGACTGACTTCCGCGACGCTGGCATGGCTTCTGGGCGGGCGGCGACACTGGCGCAGCTTCGGATTGGCTGCAGGAAGTTCCTGCAGCCAATCTGAAGCCTCACCACCTGCGCGCTGAGGTAAACCCGGCACTGCCATGGATGAAGAGGCCAGGAGGTGGGTCTGGGCCGTGCCATGGGCATTGTGATGGGCGCATCGCAGGGCTTCAGGCGGAGCTTGGCGCACCTACTGGCCCCGCAACTGGCACCCAGCTCGGCGCTGCTGCTGGTGGTGCGCTTGGTGGCCACACTAGAGCAGCTGGAGGGCAAGCTGTGTGCCACCTGCCCAGCGCTCCGCATGCGTGGCCCGCCTGCCAAACTGGCCTCAGACGACGGGCTGCATGGTGCACACCGCCTGGGAGCTCCGTGGGGACGGGCTGATGGAGTGGCTGCTTCTTGTCAACAATGCCGGTGAGTGGACGCCGCCAAGACACGCTCCTGAGCATGTGCAGAGTGCGTTCCTCCTCCAGGTCTGGAGGCAGCTGCGGGACCGGCTTGCAGGGTATTTACTATATTTTTCACTCTATAAGACGCACCAGACCACAAGACGCACCTAGTTTTTGGAGGAGGAAAACAAGAAAAAAAATATTCTGAATCTCAGAAGCCAGAACAGCAAGAGGGATTGCTGCGCAGTGAAAGCAGCGATCCCTCTTGCTGTTCTGGCTTCTGGGATAGCTGCGCAGCCTGCATTCGCTCCATAAGACGCACACACATTTCCCCTTACTTTTTAGGAGGGAAAAAGTGAGTCTTATAGAGCAAAAAATACAGTATATTTTTCAAAATATAGTCCGGCCCCCCGCAAGGTCTGAGGCACAGTGGACCAGCCCCCTGATGAAAAAGTTTGCTGACCCCTGATCTATACACAGCTTAGTATCCTGGCTTGGATGGCCGGCAGTTTCCTCTTCTGTCCAGCAGTTTAAGAAGGAGAGACCGACAGTAGGCCTGATTTGACCCCAAAACACTCCCTGATTATTGCTCTGTAGCACCCGGCGCAGGAACTCCCAAAAGCTGCCCAGTTTTCTTTTGTAAAGGAAAGCAATCCCATAAGTAGAACGCCTAGATGTCCTAAATCAGGCCGACTCAAAGTGGGGGGAATTCACCAGACAGAACAGGGATGAAAAGCCTAATTGGCAGGCCGACAAGCCGTCCATGTGATGCGAAACACACCAGAGCTCTGGCAGCCGGTTGGTAAAAGTCAAGATAACTGATGGGGGAACAGCACGTAATATCAGCAAATAGACAGCTGGACACAGCTACAGACCAGTGGCAACACCCCAGAGATGTTTCTTTGAAGGGGAACCAAAATATTTAGGCAGCCGCTGAGCTTGTGTATACACAATACTCTTTTAAGGTGGTACGGTGGTAGATCCAGGGTTGTAGTCCCCACCCCCCATGGCTGCTGTTCAGACCTACAGAATCTGCTTGACCAGCTAGAATGTGGAAGAGAAAACTTGAGGATGCAATCTCAGAGTTCAGGGATTGCTCACCTTTTAGGCCTGTGGGTTTTTGGGGTTTTTAAGAGAGTGCTATGTGGATGCAACCACCTCTGGTCATTTATGGCTCCTTCCCCTCCCAACAGAGACAGAAAAAACTGCAGCACAGAGATTTCCTTTTTTCCAAGGGATCTGTGTAAAATTCAGTTGTATTAATCTCTTGGAAAGCACACAGAAGTGAAAGGAACATCACTCTTCCAACTTCTTCCTTTAGCTCTATGTACTATTAAAGGGGAAGGGACGCGGGTGGCGCTGTGGGTTAAATCACAGAGCCTAGGACTTGCAGATCAGAAAGTTGGTGGTTGGAATTCCCGCCACGGGGTGAGCTCCCGTTGCTCGGTCCCTGCTCCTGCCAACCTAGCAGTTCGAAAGCACATCAAAGTGCAAGTAGATAAATAGGTACCGCTCCGGCGGGAAGGTAAACGGTGTTTCCGTGTGCTGCTCTGGTTCGCCAGAAGCGGCTTAGTCATGCTGGCCACATGACCCGGAAGCTGTACGCCAGCTCCCTTGGCCAATAAAGCGAGATGAGCGCCGCAACCCCAGAGTCGGCCACGACTGGACCTAATGGTCAGTGGTCCCTTTACCTTTATCTTACTATTAAAGGGGGGGGTAGCTACTCTCATCATTTCTTGGGGGGGGGGGTAGGGCGGGGAGGGGGCAAAACTCAGAAGCTTCCTGGTGCATCCATAGACTTGAGATGTCAATATGCATTGGGTCAAACACAGATTTTACACTGGGTTTACTTTACAACCTGTAAAGCTTTTTTAAAGAACGATTTTCTAAACCAGAAAATCCATCTTTCCACGCAGGAAATTATATGGAGGTGAATTACAGCAATCTTACGAATTTCCAACATTCATGTATTCAGTGTGGCAGCAACATACATGAACTTTTGGAAATGATCATGCACTTTTTCAAAAATGTCACTGGAAAAAACATAGGCAAATAAGTAGAATGATTAACGGCTATCTAAACCTTATAAACTAGTATCCACTTAAAAAATAAACTAGTATCCACATGTATAAGGGAATGCTTATTAAAAATTGCACCTATATAGCATTGAACAGCAGTGGAGAATTCTGAAACAACACCGATCTTATGGGGAAGATCCCTAACATATGTAAAAGTGATATTGTAATGACCCACCCAAACTTACTTTGTTAAATCTCTGGGGCGGTTATGTGTGCAATTTGTGTACTTTTTGGACCTTTGGAACTGCTGTACAATATTCTCTATTGAGGGAGAAATGCAGTTGTCTTGATGGATCCTTTTTCTGAATACTCTATGAATGAGATGCAACTTACTTTTATATTCTACTCCTTGGATGAAGAGGGATTGCCCCGCCCCCCAGCAAATACCACATGAGGAAAAGGTTAGATCCCCTCACCATGAATTTTTTCAAACCTGTATGTAAGATGCCGAGTCACATTTAATGCCACCTGTAGTTAGGCTTTTAGTATCTCAATGGAATACAGCTTTGGAGCCCCAGAATAACCCTCTCCCATCTTCCAAAGCAAATTTAACTTCTTTAACAAAGAAATTTAACTTCTTGCCAAAGGCGACGGGGATGGGTTGGAAATGACATACCACATGAAAATAACTTATTAAAGATCTATTTTTTTGTACATTTTGCTTCTAACTCCATCAATACAAACTTGACATATTGCCATTAACACGGTAATTTCTATATACACCTGAAGATACAAAAACGTAACTCAGCACAACAGAGGCAGACTAACGCCTCTCTGCTCGCTCTTGGGAGAAGGTTGCTTTGCTTTTGCTAGGAAATTAAGGCTGCGGTGCTTCCTAGAAATGCAAAATAATAATAATAATAATAATAATAATAATAATAATAATAATAATGGGAAATGTTTCAGAAGGCACATAGTGCACACAAGCCTCCCTAGAGTGAAAGGCAACATCCCTAAGAGGATTTGAATAATAAGGACACAGGGGTGGGGTCCATGATTTTGGTTGGGGGGTGGGCAGAACCTCAGATTTGTATTGATTTACAATACAATACATGGGCTACGCCCATGGTGGTGTGCGCCCCCCACCCTTTCCCCCCTAAGAAACGACGCATCCCTCTCTCTGGACGTTTCTTATTTGAACTCCTTGTCGATCAGAGTGCCTTTCCCTCTGGCCTTCTTGCCTCCCAGCTCGGCCTCTTCCTGCAGCATCCGCCTCTTGCAAGCGCCCTCCCTGCGCGGCTGCTTCTGGATCACGCGCGCGTTCTGCGCGTACGACTCGGCCACTTCCTTGGCTTGGATCTCCACCTCCTCCTCGTCGACGGTGGAGACGGTGACCGAGCCGCACTTGCCCATGTCCTTCGTCCGACGGGTCACCATCACTTTCTCGGGAGGAGGAGGCGGCTGCTGTTGCAGCTGCTTCTGGGCCCAGCCCTGCCCGAACTGGACCAGGGCGCCGTCGACCACGAAGGTGGCGGGCGCGCCGTCGGGCTGGTGGCGGTAGAAGAGGAGCAGCCCGCACCGCGCGCACTTCTTCCGGCACTGCCGCTCGACGCCGCCTCCGTCCCGGCGTAGATAGGCGCCCTCGGGCTCGTCCTCGGTGTTGCAGAGCTTGTAGACGTGCTTGGCGGCGTCGATCACGCGCGCGCGGTCCCGGGGCCTCAGGGGCAGCTTCTCCAGCGCGCAGTCCAGCACCAGCACCATCTGCCCGCACAGGCAATAATAGACGTGCAGGGGCTTCTCGCCCTCGCCGTACTCCTCGCGGTCGCGCGTATCCGAGCAAGCCAAGGAGCGGGACACCACTTTGGGCATGGCGGGCGGAAAGAGGGGCAAGCCGGCCAGGAAGGAAGGAAGGAAGGAAAAAGCCCCTCCTTCTCGGATGTAAATGCAAAATGTCGTCACGCTTTGCACTTCCGACGGAGCTGCTGGGATGCGCCGCTTGCAGCAAGGCGCGCGCTGGCGCAGAGCGAGGTTTAGCAAACAGCTGGATGGAGCGCCTCCCTCTCCTTTCAAGGGGGTGGGTCCATGCTGTTTTCAGTTAATTTAACTTCACATATTTAACCAAGTAATCATTAAATTTAATCCAATCTTCCTGATGCTCATTAAATTTAATATGTTAAGTTAAATTACGGTAACTGAAAACAGCTTGCAGATACTTAATTGGCTTAGGATTTTATTTAAGTTAAGTGAGGAATTAATATGTTTAATTTCATAACGTGAAGATCTAAGGATGTTAATGTTTAAGTTAAATTTTATAAGAACTGTGATTTGGAAAACCATTAAAAGGATATGCGATGAAATTCAACCAAGGGGAAGCGAGGAAGTCAATAATAATAATAATAAATTTTATTTATATCCCGCCCTCCCCAGCCGAAGCCGGGCTCAGAGCGGCTAACAACAGTAAAACGATAAAACATTCTAAAATCATTTCATTATAAAATTAATTCCAATCAAATTAATGGCAACCATTGGGCTAGAGTTCTATGAGGATTACCGAAGGAGGGGGTCAGACTGTGCCCTCGCCAAAGGCCTGGTGGAACAGCTCTGTCTTGCAGGCCCTGCAGAAAGATGTCAGGTCCCGCAGGGCCCTAGTCTCTTATGACAGAGCGTTCCACCAGATTGGAGCCACAGCCGAGAAAGCCCTGGCTCTAGTTGAGGCCAGCCTAACCTCTCTGTGGCCTGGAACCTTCAGGATGTTTTTATTTGAAGACCTTAAGGTCCTCTGTGGGGCATACCAGGAGAGGCGGTCCCGTAGGTACGAGGGTCCTAGGCTGTATAGGGCTTTGAAGGTTAAAACCAGCACCTTAAACCTGATCCTATACTCCACTGGGAGCCAGTGCAGCTGGTATAGCACCGGGTGAATGTGATCTCGCAGTGAAGACCCCATAAGGAGTCTCACCGCGGTATTCTGCACCTGCTGGAGTTTCTGGGTGGTTTTGTCAGTCCCCTGTTACGTTTATGGTGTATAACTTTTATGTAAAATAATAAAAATTTATAATGAAAAATAGATATTGGTAGAAAGTGATATTGTTAATGGCCATCTGATTGTGCCAAGCTCTGCCTCCATTTTATAACTGGCTCCACCATTTTGTAACGGATGAGCCTCAGTAATTTTCAGCCATCTCAAGGAAGCCCCTGTGCTAAAGGAATACACACTCTGCAAATATAACCAGGCTTAATAGGAGTTCCTATTAATATAACTAGGTTTAAGAGGAGTATTCTCAAATAGAGAATGCTCAGCTTCTCGCTTATATATCATTCCCAGGATATATATAATGTTAGGTTGTAAATGGGCCTGAAAATCTAGAGGTTATGCTGAAACTAGTCCCCAAAGGCCTGTGGTGGAGTGGCTACTGTCTGCTGGAGCAAAGGAAGCAAATGCTTCAGTCAACAGAAGTGAATATGCTTGCTTATGCCTGCCAATTTATGAAATTGTGGATTAAGGCAACACTGGGCTTAAATCCAGGGAGCACGAGGACAGCCAAGAAAGCAGGGCCATTCAAAAGGAGAAGGGTTGCTCTTGGAACAAGATGCCTGTAGAGACAAAGGTCCCAGGGGCCAAAGTAAAATGACACCTCGAGCCTCAAGGCAGCTTCTGCTAGTTGGAGCACTTTTTAAGGGTGTCCCTTCGGCCTTAAACAGAGGAGTCCCCAGGGCCCCTCACTTTTGAGAAAGGAATTTGTTCAGCAGAAGCGTCAAAACTCCTCAGGAATCCTCAAACAATAGAGGGACTGTTCTCCAACCACAGAGGAAGAGAAACCTGTTTATCTATTTTCGTTAGAGAGCATCCGGGGATTTTTGAGGCACTGTTTCTGATGCGTCATATAAGATACAGGTTAATAACATTGGAAAAACCATCTTGATCTGGTGTTCTGTTGCAGAGCCCCAGTGCTCTTTCCCTGCCCACATAAAATTTAAAAAACAAAGTGAAAAAAGGTAGTAAGTTATTTATTTAGTAACTGCAGTGTTTCACAGCATTGTTGGAGAAAGCTTGCTCACTATTTTGTCACATTTTGATTTGTCTTAAAGCTGTTGATTTTGGCTTTTTCTCCTTATGGAATGGCATAACTTCCTCTGTGTGTGTTTGTGTGCACGCTTTATTAAGTGAAATATGGATTGTACAAAGACATATTTTCTCATGTCAAGTCCAAATGCACTGCTAATCTTCAGTTCTATATAAATGGGGAGACATTGTCTACATTCCCCATACTAGCCATAGTTTAATAAAGTTCTATCATGTCCACAAATTTTAGCATTTTTTCCTACTCCAAACGATTCCAAAGACTTGAACTAACTAACTAACTAGCTAACTAAAATCCCACCTTCTACACTGATAGAACCCAAGGTGGCTTACAGATAAAAAGAAGAACCGCTAAAAACATAGAAAAAGCAACTATTAAAATACAATGAAACATTGATAGGATGAATATTCTTTTGTGGGATGTCCCAACCATGTCATAATTTCAGATGATCGTTGCTAAACTTCTAGCTACATGATTATTATTTTTTTAAAGATGTGGTGAGCTGAAACTGGATACTTCTATCATTATAATTGTTATTATCACTCTGGTCAGTGACCGAAAAAGATCGATTCATTCATTCATAATTATTATTATTTCATTGCAGTAAGATCACAACTTGCGCTCATTTAACTTGTGTGTATTCAGCTTTTACATGCATGGCAAATAAATAAATAAATAAATAAATGGGCAGCCTTCTGGGAAAAATGACTTTCACAACCCCATGCACCATTGAACCCAATGTATTTAGCCTATAGGCGATATTTGCTTTAGGCGCGATCCTTGGAACATAACCCCACCCCCACATAAGTTGCAAGCTTACTGTATATCAAGGCTCACTAGTTAACTGGACTTAAGCACTCAAGTCAGAAAATGGAGCTTTTGCTTGGCAATAGTAATAGGAAAACAACAATGGGGGAAAAGGACTTCATTTGCTTTTGCAGTGACAAAACAACATCAGTCTTATATGGAAACCAGCGCAGTGAAGGGTCACAAGGATAACTGAGAATTTTTATTTATTTTATTATTGCATTTGTATTTATGCTTTGATGAGTACCATATGTAATTTGATAGTGTATTTATTTACCTGGTTTCATGCTTAGAGTCATTGTGGTGTACTGTTAAGAGTGGGTGAAGCTAGATACAATGGGCACTATAGCCAGAATGAGATGTGTGAGGAGTTTGCAGGATTGCATCTTTGCATGTTCAGACCCAGAAATCTCCCCACTAAATAAATTCACACTTGACTCAAATTTTGGTTTTGGTTTTTCACATAATTTAAACCACAACTTTATTGATTACAGGAAGTGAATGTTTGCATAGGTTCTGGTTCGACTAGTTCCCTGCCATGCAGGTAGCGCTGACCCAGGGTTCCAGCATAGGTCAGCCAAGGGTGAACACCTGGATAAGCAGAAAGCTGGGAACGGGCTAACTCCGCCACCCAAATGTCCCCCTGGACTCAGGCACGGGCACAACCCCCTCTCAGGGGTTGACCAAACCATCGAGTCCCTGGATTCCTTTAATGGAATACCCTTCACATAGGGATGGCGAGAGAGTTCTCCCATCCCTATCACCTGAACCAGAGCCTATCCGCAACAAGTTGTGACGATTTGCTACGCGGCAGGTGAAACCCAAATTGCAACAGCCAATCAGCCAAGTGGGGAAAATTCCTGCCGTGCCCCTCTCCCAATGACAGACAGCACACGACGGCATAGCAAGGTCAAGCGCAAAGCCCTAAAAGTAGGGAGAGGTGGGCGGGTGTTCCGAATGCACGCGCCGAAAGAGGAAGCTCTGGGTCACGTGCATGGGTATAAATAGGTCCCTCGAACCGTTTGGACTGCATCCCATTGGCCAGATTGCACCCAGCTACGAGGGATCTACCAATCCGGTGTTGTGGCTGACCAACTGTACCCACCCACAACACAGGGTGTCGGTTTCCAGCTCTCACCACAATACGTGCCCTCTTTAAGGGAGGACCCGATTTATCACCCTCCTTTCTCTCTCTCTGCTTCCCCCTCCCTCCAAATCTCTGCGTTTTTTTGGACGTGTGTCTCCCCCACCCTTCAATTACTGAATTGCTTGCAGAGGGCCCAAAGTGATTCCTTGTACAGTAAGCCAATATAGATGTCTGAAAAGATAATAAACTTCAGATTCTGCCAGGCTCCATTGGGCGTAGTAGCGAGGATTTATTGGGGGGGGGGCAGGCTTTATGTTAGGGAGGGTCAGAACCGAGTTATCAGCGATGTAACTGGTCAGTTACTTAAGCATTTTTATTTATTTACTTGATTTATGGGGAAGGGGAAGCTGCACCCTCTGGCTATGCCCATCCATTATGACTGGCAAATTCTGCCAGATTCAGCCCATATTTGTTCTGGCACCACCCCTAAGCCAGCATTCTACCCCCAGGGTTCAGGAACTGAGCAAACCCTTAAGTTTCTCCCCAGTTCTTTGCAGCTTTGCTCTTCAGATTCCAATACTCCAAGTTCTCACCCCAAGGTCTCTGTGCCTCAGAACTGCTTTGATTAACTGCTCAATTTCTCAATTGTTTATCTTCTATACATACCAGCGGGAGGCCCATTCTCCACTGGAAAGAGAACAGCACTACAGTAGCTAGAATAACAAGGGGGGGGATTGCTGTCGGGCCACTGGCCGTTCTCTCAAGGAAATGGACCGTTCTGCCAAATTCATGTTTTTCTACACAGTGTTGCAGTCGGGGGTGGGGTGCAATAGTTCAGGTTTCTGTATGTCACAATCCAAGTTCCTATGCATGCACACACACACAGTCACAATACAATGAAAAAC